CCAGCCTGAGAGAGGGACGCCATGGGCAGAAGTTGGAAAAAGAAAAAAGAAAGAGTAGAAAAAGATGAAAGACGAACAATTCAGAACAAAGGCTACAAAGTTTATGAGGACTGAGTATCAAGAAGAACTGGAGCGAACAAAGAAAACACGGCGTACATTGGAATGGCAGGAGGACTCAAACAACTCCCGTAGTATAATGAGGGTAAAAACCAGGGCTAACACCCATAGATCTACGGTTCAAATGATCGAAAGACCGGCAAGGGCTAGGGCTCTGCCAACCTTGGACGTCCGGACATGGTGGATGCATGTAGTCAAGAGTACATAACCCCCCTGTACGTACTCTTGATGTAGTTATAAGGCTAATACTTGTAAGGGACACTGTTTCCGAACACAGCCAGTGGTCCTCCGCCTTGTAACATGCTGTCAACCAACTACAGTGCTGGCAACTGAAATCCGACCCCCTAGCAGTGCGCTAGCCGCGTTAGCGATTCGTACGAGACGCTAGGTGGTCGGATTTCAGTTGCCAGCACTATACTGTACTAGTAGTTGTACACTGGAGAATATACATGTACGACATGTACAGTGCTGGCAACTGAAATCCGACCCCTGGGCGGTGCGCCCACATCGCAAAGAATGTGAACCCACCGCTCAGGGGGTCGGATTTCAGTTGCCAGCACTGTACATGATTGTACTACACAGTCGCTGCACCATGCAAATGCAGCATGGGGAGTTGTCGTAGATCCGGATCAGGGAGTCAACGACTACTTCAACTATGTACTTTGTACTTAGTAGATCTACTTGCCTGCACCTGGTCCGGATACCCATTCACAGCGTCGGCGTCGCACATGTAGACCTACCACTACCAGCAAAAGGTCATGAGTAGTAGATCTACCTAGATTCGAAGAGAGGGAAAAATGATGCATGTTTTCCTATTTCCGGTGTATTGTTTCAATTATTTTGTTTGTGTGCGGGAGGATGAGGCCGACGCTGCGCTTGCCAACAAAATATTTTCTGCTTCAAGAAAGGCCGCTTCTAGCGGCAGTGCACAGTATCTAACTTATCATGTCATCGCTGAATGACCTACCGGACAGAACCGAAGCGTTGGACTTGCTCCTTCGCGCTGACAGCATCGACCAAGCTCTTGCAAGCGAGCACGTCATTGTCGCCGGCATCGGTGTAGCAAGGCGAATTCTGGTAGTCGGCGTCATCCTGAATGGTCTCTTGTGTCACATCTCACAGGAACTGATGTTGCAACTGCAGCACAATCCCTGGACGGTGCAGCTCAACCAGCTTTTCGGCATTGAAGCACAGAACTTTCAAACGTTGAACTTTGCCTTCCACCACCAATCGTCCCTGGATAAGGCCACTCACTATTTGACTATACCCGCTGAGTTCATCGCTTGGGCGTACGTAATACGATTCAGTCTGGGCACGGCGTCGTGTGTTGGCATGCTAGTATTGGTGGTGGTTCAGGCAGTCACCAGCAGGTTCGTGCCACTGATAGTGCTAACAGCCACTGCCAACCTTCTCACGCTTGCAGCAGTTCTGCAGGCAAGAGATCTGCCTATGGGCGAGCAGCTGATCATACAGCGTGCCATGCAGTGTGTGATCCTGTGTGGTGCTCCTGTCAGAGTGCTCGGCCATTTCTGTGCCCGGGGAGAGAATGCGAGCAGCAGGCCAAGTCGACGTCGGCATGACTCAATATCCGTGCATGCCAGGAATCGCAGGAGGCTGCCGTTCAGCCCGCATGCCATGGCCCTGACTCTGCCACACACATTATTTGCTGAGGCAAGTGCTGGTATGCCACTACGCCTTCTTGTACCTATGCTCAACAGCTCATTGGGCTGTGTATTTGAATCAGAGGAGCCGGCGACAAACACCAATACTGCAGCAGAGGACCCTGCAGAGGACCCAGCAGCAAGCACCAAAATAATGTGCAGTTGGCAAAGAAATAGAAAACAGGAAAGAAAGCTGGATGTTTACTCGACCGCCCCTGAAACGCCAAATTGAGTCAGCCCAGAGTTTGGAGTTTGTTCCTGAGTGGCTACCTGGCATGTTTTTGCCAGTCAAGTGGTTTTGGTTTTATCTAGTCGAGGTGTTGTTCTTACTGCTGCTCTCCATCATCTGGGTGTTCGCGCCCGGCGTGTTCCTTGGTGGATTCACCGTGCTCAACACACAGCATGTGCCAGCCATGGGTGGCGGCAGTGTGAACAGAGGTGGCAATGAGAATAATACTGCACTGCCGCCTTCCAGTATTGCGCTGGCCACGGCAGCGGGAGCAATCACTGCCACACTCATGTGGATACTGGCGCGAATGCTGTCGGCCAGAAAGCTGGACATCGGCATGTTCACCTATACCGTTGAACGTCTCACCATGTGCTGGATGCTGAACTTTGGCTTTGGTGTGGTTCTGCAAGTGAAAAGCTTGACGAGCACCAGCAACACGGTACTGCACACTGAGCATCCTGACATTGTTGCCATTGGTAGTGGAGCCATTGGCAGTGGAGCCATCATCGTACTGGCCATTATTCTCGTCCACGTGTTCTTCCTGCAAGTTGAAATACCTATCATCAATGCTCATAAACGCCACAGCCAGGAAAATGTAGCAGAAGCCCGGGGAAGAGACTAAGACAAGGGGACTAGCATGCCTGATCCTGATGTAGTGTCAGCACAAGCAGAAGAAGACACTTCGGACGCTGAAAACGATTGTCTAGACACTGGCAAGATGCTAAGCCGCATGGGCAGAGCGTCACGTCGTGTCTGGAGGCGTGCATCGTCGGGGTCATTTAATATGGTGTCCACTAGCAGTGGTTGAACGCTCTGACACAGCAGCTGAGCAGCATAGGTAAGAAGTACTAAGAACATTATCACATAAGATGAGGACCAACTGGATGGTGAACCTTGCTCTGACTTGCTATCTGAAGCAGATTATTGTGGTACTCAGCGCAGAGCCCAAGTGACCAGGTTGGGAGGTTCTTGCAGTGAAAGCTATAAGCCACGCGTAGTGCCGTACATTTCAGAGAAAGCCGGGCTCAGTAGTACAGTCAGACTGGTCCTCTTCCATCCATATCCCTTTGCCATCCGGAAAGAAATTGCTGGCAACCGATTTACAGCCGTGCATGATACGTGGCGCATCCGACTCGTACAACATGCCACGTGGCATTCAGAAACCTGAACCAGGGAATTGGTATAAACAAAAGGGATTTGTATGACTCTGACCTGCTGGCTACATGATAAGAGCACTGAGTTGCATGCACTTGTCATTTTTTTCTCGCTTGTTATACAGAATTGTACTAGTGAGGCGGACATAACGAAAAAAAAACAAAACAAAAAAAAACAAAGAGAATAATTATGTTTCCATATGTCCTTTTCCTTTCTACATTTATTATTGGCTCAACATCCGAGTTGCAAAGAGAATATGGTGAATCTAAATGCAAGCTTTCCTAATCCATTTTCATGAGACAATCCGATGATCAGGGAAAGTCGTCTCAACAACAGAAGCTATGTGGGAAAACAACAGAAGCTATGCGGGAAAACAAACGTATACGTCAAGAGGATAGTGCGAAGTATAAAGGTGAGATGTGAAAAAAACCCAATGTGGGACAGTACAGAGTGTGTGGGTTTACTGTATTGCATGGGATCGAGTAGCCATATACATAATATGCATACATATACATAATATGCATACATATATGCACAATTTCACACCATGACTGTGATGTTGCACATACTTATAAAGTATGTGCGTTCGGTTATCCGGCTCCCTCTTCTATCCTGATAGTCAGTGGAAAACGGATGTGTGCATTTAAGCGAGCTCTGACCGCTGGTATACCACTCGTCGAGCAAGACGGTGTGTATACTTTGCAATTATCATGTACAATGTTCTGCAGAGACGAACCAGTCCTTACCCTGCTGTAATGCATAACCAATTGTAGTACTGTGTCAAATGCCTTCAACTGACCAAAACCATTCTCTTCTTCACAGGTTCTTGATGAATTCAAAATGACGAAAAAAATCCCAAACAAGATGCCTTATGTATGATCTTCATTCACACTGAGCAGCGATTTTGGTGTCAGTTTTATGCTTGGAAGTTTTGATACTGAACTGACCTTATTGAATGAGACCGGAAACCGTGAAAACCTGTTCATGGCATCTCCGCTGACGAATGGTGCCTGAAGGCGTGATCATCAATAGCGTCCACTGATAGGACTCAGGGAGATTGTGGGTGTTTGTCTGCGTGAGTGTGTGTGTGTGTGTGTGTGTGTGTGTGTACGTGTACCAGGCTGAATAGTGGTGGTCTATTCTTCAGCCTTGCAAGCTGTTGGATGGTGCAATCCCAGCACAAGTTGCTATGGCTTCAATCGTAGCTTCGCTATCATCGCCTCCAGCGATGGGCGTCAAAAGGTCAAAGGGGTGTACGTGTGTGTGTGTGTGTGTATGTGTGTGTGTGTTTGGAAGAGGTGAAAGTTCATATCATGACGAGGCTATGTAAGAGTTACGCCATTCTCATTAAATGGTATACATATCCTATAAGATCCCCTCTGAACTGGCGATGTCCGGCGGTAGACGTTGTTGGATCCTGAGATGGCTACCCTGATGCTGTGGATCCATTTTTTGCACCTGGTGTTACCCACTTACCAGGGTGTGGTGAGGCTGGTGATCTCATGAGTGTGATCATTTCCTAGCCCACCCCAATGCAGCAGCCAGAGCTGAGCCGGGATTCAGGAATGCCGGCCAATAGGAGGTTTGATTTACAGTAGAGTCGTCATTCCGATATTCCTTCCAGCGCATGTTTCTCCCCTAGCTCTTACATAGAGACCCCAATGATCAGCCTCTGGCAGTGATCGAATGTGAACAGGTGCGAGCACGGGCAGGTGTGTGCTCCCTATGCCCATTTGTACTTGTATTCCCCACAGGCCTTTGCCTAAATTGAGGGGTCTCCGACACACGGTGCACAGCACCGGTTCCTATCAAGCAGTACAGCTGTGATGATGGGCAGGTTCTTGGCAGGAGTGAGTATTCAACAGCCCGGCGATATAGGTCTGATCGGCTCATCTACCGCAAAGCGTAGGGCCTACAAGTAAACCTGTCGCCTTAGATCTGACAGGATTTACTAGTGGTACATCTTCAAGGATGCCAGAAAAGTAAGAAAGGCGCTTGCGAACAACACGTGAAGTTAAATATACACAGCATCAAAACTGTAAGAAAGAAAAGGAATGCAAGAAAACGGAAAGACACTCGTGCTCAGATTGTTAGGGTCAGTTCATTGTCACTTGCACGAATTCGGCTTCCAATACGGTGCAGCAGGGAGACAATGTCCATAGTGCAAGAGGTGAGCTGGTGAGCATGCGATGAAATCAAAGTTCAAAGAAACCTAGTTGGATAGGTTTTAAAATGGCGTACAGAAGTGGTGCTTGGGCATATTCCGCAGGATTATTTGTTTGACAATTGAGACTGTAAATGTTGAGACCAGGTATACGGCTGCATGTGACTATGTTTAAAGCTGAAGTATCTTTTTTTTAAATGAGCTCCTTCCTATGTCAGAATCAGCTGAACGAAACGGTGAATTCGGCAGGTATGTTTCAAAACTACCCGTAGTCCCTTGGTAAAGTTACGTACAGCAACCGGAGGGTTTTGGTTGAGACGGCTCGGTGTCTAGTTGTGTGGAAGCACATGTATCTCTTCCCTCTGCAATGTTCTCGGCCAGTTGTCTTGTTTTGCTCAGCTCCTCATCTTCTGCTTTATGAAGCGCCCTGCACATGGAGAAATCCAAAGCAAAATACTAAACGGACAAGACAGACAGGCTCGTATACGAGCGTGAACATAAACTTGCCCGTCAGGACATGGCAGCATATCATAGCATGAGCACAGCTGAACACCCGTGCCTGAAGATACAACTTCAATCTACAATGCTGAGTGGTAGTGACTCACCGTGCAAGAGAAACACAGCAGGCTTGAACACCGTCTCCCTGCAAAGCACTGATCTCCGCAAAAAGAGCATTGTAGGACTGTGTGTCAGATGGCAAACACCGGGGAAAATAGTCAACAGCGGGTTAGACCCGGCACAATAAGTTACTGTGTATGTGTCGATGCGTTCAATGACATAGTGGACTATGTTAATCTGGCCGTAATAAGGAACACACATTACAGCATAGAATTGCGGAAAGAGTGGGTTCATGGATCGCGCAAGCATGGAAATGACCTCTAGTTGCATACAGGTGACAGCTGATTTCAGTGGTCAGCAGAGGGATAGGCCTTCGTACAGGTAGTATATGGAACCAGCTGAACACTGCACATTACTGTACTTTCCAGAGTATAAGCAGATTTTTTACCACGAAACACAGACATCTACCGTATTTTACCGGTTGTAAGTCGACCCCGGTTATAGGTCGACCCCCGTATCCGGAGGTCTCAATTCTGCTTTTTAAAGTTGTCACCCAGCAAAGCACTACTAACTACTCTCTGCTACTAACACATCAAACAAATCATGTAAACATTCCTTATTGGAGGGTATAACGTCCCAATCCTTGAAAAAGGCCAATAAACTGGCAAAAATGTGTACACATGGTGCACTCGTGCATGCAGTGCAGGTCATTTTTTGTAAGATACTGATAGTTCCCGGTTACAAGTCGAATCCCGGTTGTAAGTCGCCCCGCCCTTTCTCCTTCTATTTTTAGTCGTAAAAGGTCGACTTACAACCGGAAAAATACGGTACACCAATTATCACCGCTAATTAAAGTGCAGCTTATAAAGATGCTGAAGCCTCTGTGCATACAGGTCACAGTGTGGCAGAGAACACTGGCTGGACTGTTACGTACAGCAGAATGCTGAGTAGGAAAGACACACAGACTCACACAGACGTGCAGACGCACAGATACGCAGACGTACAGATGCACAGACACACAAACACATAGACACACAGATGCACACGTAAATACCTCGGCAACACTCGAGCCAACATCCTGCGGCACGGTCTTGCTCGAGCTGCCGTCTGGAGCCACATCAATCTTGTTACCAGTTACCATAACAACCACACTCGGCCTGGCTTTTTCCTAATAGAGAAACAGAGACCAGGACACTGTTCACAGTTAGGTTCTGCATGATAAGAGTGATACACCGATTCCTGCACTGTGTAGGTCACTCACAAAACTGCATACAGAACCTGTCAAGGCGACCACTTGGATAAGGTGACCACCTGCCCCAGTAGACCACTGCAGCCAGCACCAAGGGATGCTGTGTCCAGTCAAATGACCCTGGATAAGCAGACCACCTGGTAACGGCAGAGACTACATTTTGAAGGTCCCTTGAGCGGTCGTCTCTGTCTCTGTCTGTCTGTTTGTGTTTGTGTGTGTGTGTGTGTCTCTCTCTCTCTCCTCCTCCTCCTCCTCCCCCCCCCCCCCCTCCGCATCCCAACATGATTATCAGATACCACTTAAAATACACATGCACACAGACATTAACACACACACACACACACACACACGTGCTCTCTCTCTCTCTCTCTCTCACATACACACACACACACACACACACACACACACACACCTCAGACCTGCCCATCGCGGAAACGATGATAGCGAACAACTACCGTAATGTCGCGTGCATAAGCCGGATTTGTGCATAAGCCTGTCTCGTGTAGAAGCATGAAATCTGCAACAGCTTTTCGCGTACAAGCCTGTCGAATGCATAAGCCGGGCCAGTACACGAGACGCGCCACGTGTCGCGTGCGTAAGCCGGGCTACTACGCAAGACTGGTGAGCGCGCCTTTTACATGTTCATGTTTGCATGGTACCGTACACTTGCACACGCGGAAAACGTGGGAAGATGCGGAAATCAACACCAGCTGCGCTCGACGGCCATGCAGCACTCTTCAAGCTTCAAACTTACCTTTCCCATGGCATTTTCCGTCTTGTCCCTTGGCAAGTTGCTTGTTTGAAGTTGTTTCGGCGCTCCTCGAACTTTTCACTTGTGTTTGTTGCAGTCTACCCGTAGATAGAACTCATCTCAACCAAGTCTGCTTGTCGAAATGCCGAAAACAAAAGGACTTCGGAGAGAGAGAGAGAGAGAGAGAAAGGAGAGGGGGGACGCGGTTCAGGGAGCGAAAAAAAAGAAAAAAAATCCCGTTGGAAAATGTTGGTTTTGACGTCCAAAAGTCAGCAGTTTGCGCATACAAGCCTGGTCATTGAGTGGTGCTTGTCATATAAGCCTGTCTCGTGTATAAGCCTGTCTTGTGTACAAGCCTGACTCCATCACCGGCTTATAGGCATATAAGCCCCGGCTAATGCACGCGACATTACGGTATGTTAGACATAGCAACTTGTGCTGGGATTACACCATTCAACAGCTTGCAACGCTGATGAATTGACCGCCACTAATTTTAGCCTGGTCAACACCACACGGCTGATTGAAGTGGCTTTTTTCTGGCCAGTGAATCCCAATTTTTTCATTTTCCATTTTTTCACACACACATACACACACACATTATAATCATAAGCAAACAGACTGACCTGCACATCTACCATCCACGAATGCACACTGGTAAATGATGTGCTGCTCGTAACATCATACATGAGGATGACAGCATCGGCATCACGCAGAAAGGACCGGGAAATAGCACGGTACCTAGGAACAATAGGTTGAGAACAACAACAGCAGAAATGGTGAGATTTGAGTAGACAACTTCCTCAAAGTACGACGTGAACTGTACAAGTCAGCAAATAGGCCAAACTCACACCAAACAAGCTGTTTCCGGATTGTATAGAAAAATCGTTTGTGCTGAATGGAGTAAGGAATTTTACTTCCAAGAAAGTACCCATACCACAGTATGAGCTTGCTCTGGAAATACAAAATACATGACGGTCCACAAAGTATCTAGGGTCCTTGCTGCAACTACGGTGCTCTATGCCCTGGATAGGGCAGAACGTACCACTCAAAGGCGGAAAACAACAGAGACCAAAACCTTCCCTCTCAGTCTGTCGTGTTCAGAAACACTCTTCAAACCGAGTGTTTCTGAACACGAAACTCAGGGCTACGGAGGAAAGGTTTGTTGGTCCCTGTTGTTTTGCCTTGCCGTGTATACATGAATTCAAACAAACGCCTTGAGCTACAATCCAAAGAGTCGTGACGTAAAATCCTGCCACAAGAGACAGGAAATAAAAATGATACAAAACTTGTAGGCTTTGAAAATGGGTGAACATTCTGAATGGACTCAGAGCAAGGGATCCATCCATTGCAAAACAACTGACTGCTGAAAGTGGGCGGATGTTCTTACTGCGCACATTTTCCGCAGCCACACAAGCGCTCCTTATTCGCTGGAACACCATCATCCTCGAGGACCATGGCCCGGCAAATGTAGCTCCTCAACGAGAAGCAGTTGGAGGTGAGCGATCAGACCCATCACAAAGCGGTGAAAGGCCAATCAACTGTGTGCCACAGCATGGTTCGTAAACTCCTTCCGCTTCCAAGCAGAACTTGAACCTGGCAAGCTCTGTTTCTCATCCATGGTCGTTTAGGCCACTGCGCCTGCCTGCTGGAGGTTATATACAGCTGTAATACACTACAGTGCCAAACAGAGTGTGTTACACGTTATCATTAGACACCCTTAGCAAACAACGGTAACGCTATTTTTTACGGTACTCGTACCTTGATCACCCAAATAACGTTGAAGCTGCAGCGTATAAACGTTATGGGGGCTGATTTATCGTTGTGACCAACGGTACGTGTTTTGGCCAAATATTGCATAGTCCATACGCATTTCATCTTGTATCGCGTATATGGTGACAAAAATGGTTGTACCGCGCGAAATCAAAGTTATTCTCGTGGCAACAGCGTACTAAAAATAGCGTGCATCTTGCTAAAGGTCGAACCCAAATCACGGTGTTTTCCCCCTTATGATAATACCGTTACAACATAACGTTTTTCGCTAAGGGTGTCTATTGCAGGGGCTTTACTTGTATCTACCCAACAAACAAACAAACCAAACAAACAAAAACAAGGAGCACAGGTCCTCACTTTTCTGTTCCAGCCGTGTCCCAGATCTTGAGTGACGTTTCTTGATTATCAACCCGGACTTGCTTCGAGAAATAGTCCACTCCTGCCGACGGGAAAATATGAATATAGCAGTTCAAAATACACATCAAAAATGGAAAGCCATTATTATCCAAAATAGTTTTAACTTTTATTTTAATACATATTCATCAGTTTGAGGGAATGAAAGGGTAATTGCAGCGACACGGTCACACCACATCAGAAAGCTAATACTAGCGAGCAGTACAGTAATTCTAACTGTTAAATAGGGACACCGTCACATTGTACATACCAACTGTTGTGCGAGTGGACGGGTCCACGGAGCCCTTGCAGAGTCGCTGGATGAAAGTGGTCTTGCCCGCTCCACTGTCCCCGATCATAACCACCTTGAAGATACGCAGTGCCTGGAGTGCGAGCAACAATCATGCGTGAACAGGATTGGATTCATCATTTTCTCATTCACTTCATATGATCACATCAGTGGACCGTATTTTCCGGAGTACAAGCCGCACTTTGAACACCAAAAATTCACCCCAACAAAAGGGGGGTGCGGCTTATACTTCAATGATCAAATTAACAATGATAACTAGGATAGATGTCTGTATTTCGTAGCAAAAAAATGGGGAGGGGGGGGGTGCAGCTTATACTCCAGTGCAGCTTATACTCTGGAAAATACGGTACTTCTCATAAGAGGTTATGCGATAACGTCAAATCCACCATATATAGGAGCCAGTTGGGGTGGCAAAATGCCCAAAGCGGGTACAGAAACCCCTTATATAGAATAATTTGGGGTGGCAAACGTACTATAATTATGACGTGTATCGCATAACCTCTTATCCCTCAGAGTGTGTTTTTATGTTGCCCTTCACACTCTCTTGAGTCCCCTTCCCCCACCACACTGTGCTCTTAGCCGACTAGACCCTCCTGCACACAACCATCACCACTGCGAGGACCCTTCCGTAGACGATATTGATAACTCCTTCAGACAGCAGTTTCGTTAATACATAGCTCATCAGTGAAGGTAGATAGATGTTGAATGATTAAAATATAGACCAAACTGCTATTATATAGAGTTTTTCACTGACTCGACATTTCCTTCACACTCTCTGCCTGAAAATGATGCTGAAAAGGGATTAGCATACGTGTGGCACGAGTCAGCCTTTTGAAGAGACCCAGACCATTTATTCCGTCGTTTTGCCAGACAACTAGGAAAATCGACAGCGAATTCATTTCCCTGGATTTCACCAAAATCATAGAAACCAAAAGTCCATTTTGGGCATGGCCGTAATGTGCGAGTCGGAAGCGCGAGAATCGTCTGCTTTCCGCCCTGTCCAAAACTGGAAGAACCAGCAGAACTTGGCAGAATGTGCTAGATTTGGCAGAGGGTAAAGGAATGCACCCTTTAATATCGTGGGCTATTCCACAAATTCAGAAAAGTCAAGTTAGGCCGTATTTCAGTTACTGTCTTCGGGGAGTTGCAAAGGGAGAGAGTTCAAAGCAGAAAGCCATCTTCACCACCCTACCAACACCACCCTACCACCACCACCACCACTACCACCACCACCACCACCACCACCACCAGGCTGTGAAGCAGGGAACTTTGCTATAAGCCAGCGATACACGGATGACCTATCTATGACGTACATGTAGGTGTTATCCAACATAGACTGTTCAAACACGAACGCATCAATGCTGTTTTCTGTGACAATTGCATGCATCACATGCATACTCCAGTAGGAGTAGAGTCAATACAAAGCTTGTAGCATGCGCAGCATTACAAATTATCACATCGTTTACAGAAAATCACCTTATTCACTTTTTCTCATCTACTAGTATGCATCCTTACCATATACTTTGGTGTCGGTCCGGAACCTTCGACGGTGAAATCCACGTCCTCATACGCACCATCGTCCTCGCAAGGTGGTGTACTTCTCCTGCAAGCACGCCAAAGTAAAGCAAAACTCTCCTTCAATTGTAGCTACTCTATCAACCAGCCGTCGCTGGTATGTTGCCGGAATTTTCCGGGGCCCTACTGAACACGTATCACAGGTAGGTCACGTAAGACCTCGCCATGTTTAAACAGTTACCAGACACCACATTTATAGTGAAAAGACATGCAGTGAGCTGTGACTGGCATGCAGTGAGCTGTGACTGGCATGCAGTGAGCTGTGACTGGCATGCAGTGAGCTGTGACTGGCATGCAGTGAGCTGTGACTGGCATGCAGTGAGCTGTGACTGGCATGCAGTGAGCTGTGACTGGCATGCAGTGAGCTGTGACTGGCATGCAGTGAGCTGTGACTGGCATGCAGTGAGCTGTGACTGGCATGCAGTGAGCTGTGACTGGCATGCAGTGAGCTGTGACTGGCATGCAGTGAGCTGTGACTGGCATGCAGTGAGCTGTGACTGACATGCAGTGAGCTGTGACTGGCATGCAGTGAGCTGTGACTGGCATGCAGTGAGCTGTGACTGGCATGCAGTGAGCTATGACTGGCATGCAGTGAGCTGTGACTGGCATGCAGTGAGCTGTGACTGGCATGCAGTGAGCTGTGACTGGCATGCAGTGAACTGTGACTGGCATGCAGTGAGCTGTGACTGACATGCAGTGAGCTGTGACTGTCTGTCTGCCGCACGGTTTATATGCCACACAACGCACCCCTGATTGTGTGCCGTCGTGGTGGTGGTGGACTGTTCAGCCTGCTGCTGCACAGAGCCCTGGCTGCTCTGGAGCTGGGCCGCAGCGATGGTCTCTGTTGCTTCACCAGCCGGCACTGGCCGTGCAGGCGGAGCATCTCCATTTCCAGTAGCCTCGTCTGCTGCCAGTGCAAACAGTGATGGTCGTGGCTGCACAGACGGATCATGATGCATAGAAAATAAAGACAGGTGAAGGCAGAATACAGACAAATTGCGATAATATCATTGCACTGCTTACACATGTTGTACATGTGGTCGCGCTTGTAGCTCTGTGTCGTACATGCGGCTGCGCGGGTGTCTCTTTGTCGTACACGTGGCTGCGCTTGTGTCTCTTTTGTCGTACACGTGGCTGCGTATGTGTCTCTGTGTCGTACATGCTGCTGACCCGTGATACACGCCGCTGCGCTGTCTTGGAATGCTTTGTACATGCCGCTGCACCGTCTTCTGTCCCTCCGTATGCATCATTTCTCATCTCGTCCCCGTTGCATACACATTTTCTCGTCTTGTCTCCGTTGTATTTGTCTGGTTGCCGTCTTGTGTCCGTCGTATTTCCCCGTCGTTCGTCTTTGTCTCCCGTCCTGTTCAGGCCTTGTTGTACTTGGCACAGGCACCTCTTTCGTATCCCTCACCCCACTTTTTCCCCTCTTTTCTCCACGTCCCCATAATATATTATTTTTGTCCGTTTTGTTGTGTTCATCCAATTGAATTGACGACACACAGAAAGTCACGCCAGGAAGACATTTGGAATGGTGCAGTAAGGCATCGCAATTGCCGGTGAGTGAGGGTCCTGAGGTCTAGCTGGGAAGTTTAAGAATTGTTTATCTATCTATCTATCGATCTATCTCTCAAGCTCAACTGACGAGACGTGAATGCCCTGGAGCACTGTGTATTGAGTCTATTGACTATTGAGCATGGAGTTTTTTCTTTCTTTTTGTACTAAGGTGTAGGTTTGCCAAGTGAAAGACTCGACGTGCTCCTCACGTGCTTTGGATGGCAGTTGTGAGTGGATCGAGTGTCCAGTAATTCGATAGGAAGCGTCATGGTGGGCTGCACGTAGGAACAACAAACCCCGTCTACTATTTCTGACAAACTCGCTATTTCTAAGAAGAGCGTATTATGATTAATTCTCTGCCAAAGGTGCTAGGGGATCCTAGCATATCCAACATTCCGCTACATCGCTCACTTACATGTCCAACAGCTGCAGTACAGTACTGTCGGTCGCCGAAGAACTGGGGGGTCAGCCACCTAGCCTGGACTGTCCTTATTTTTCATGTACTACAGTCGATGGGCAGTTGAGTCCTCGTGTATATATTGGTATGCTGTGCTTGATGAAATTCTAGCCTGGTCGTTCTTCGGCGCCCGACAGTACTGTATACTTGCTATGTGTAAATCTGGGTCCTGCCATAACTATTGTCAACCAAAATCAACGCTGCCGAAACTTTACTGAAACTCTACACTTTTCAAACAACGTGCATGCAGAGCGTGGGATCCACCTTACGGCATCATACATTTTTAACAACAAACTGCATACTCTAACATACTGTTCCAGAGGGCTCTGGCTCCGGCTCCGGTGTGACGCTCAATGGCCGATGCCTTCCCCACTCTGCTTGCTCCATGATCTAATACCAGCACAGGCACACAGGCAAGCACATATACTCAGCAATGCATCTAGCAAGGGATGCATGGCCAGGTGATTAGCCCCCTAGGCCCTCAAGCAACCGTGCTTACATAACAACAAAGTGATGCGAGCGTTCACCACGCCGCTCATGCACTCAGAACGGTCGTGAGACAGTCAATGAGTCGATTTCAGTAGCAATCCCAGTACACGCTCACATACCATTACGCATTTCAAAAACATAGCAGTGTGAACGTGCATGAGAGTTCTACATGCACTTCTAGCATACTCTCAAACCAGTACCATATTTTCATATTTTACTGATCATGAGTCGACCTCTTTCAGTGATGACCTAAAAGCCGAACTAAAAAAAAGGGCTACTAGTACAATCAGGGTTTATTTGCCAATCAACCTGGGAATAGAGGCCCTGAGTACACGGGGGGGGGGTCAACTTAGAACAGGTAAAGATATACATCAGGCCCGCCGGAAGCAAGTTTTGATTGATCCGGCCATAACATAACAAGTTAGCATTTCATACTTTGTGTGTGACAATGCCGGTACTGTAAGTCAACAAATATTCGGCGCATATCTATTTTCGGCCTGATCATATTTGGCCGAAAATTTGTTGCAGCCGAACTCTGTTTTAGCCCTGGGAGGCGGAAATTTGAATGGGCCGAAAATTTGTCAACTTACAGTACTGGGTACACAGAACCTCCTCCTCCTCCGCAGTAAACATAAATATGTTTACGTTGGTGGCCAACAAGTTGGTCTGGTGGTGACCTGACCAACCGGACCGGTTCCGTCGTGCCTGTATAATAATCATATGAAAGAACTCTCGCAGAGCTGCATGCATTGCCACTCTTTACAACAATGGCAGGACGTGGTTTATCAGCTCAAAATCTACATTAAATTATTTTATTTTATTCTCTGACACGGCCACAGTCACGCTGAACGTCAGGAATGCTGATTGTCAGCAAAGACTCAGTGTGTGTCCACGATGCAGCAGGACAGGAACTCCAGGCTAGTCATTGGCAAGAATACTGCATGCAGTGCCCACAGCTATTGTCAGTAATGATGAGATGCTCACGAGCACACTCATCTCTAGAGTGGAGCACTACCGTGGAATTCAACCAGCACGTATTCCGCTGATAAGATGCACATTTGCTTAGTATGGACATTGTCCAGGGCACGGGTGTGTCCTGTCCCGGGGGAAAATCGCGATTCCGCGGCCGCGTTTTTTTCCGCGTTTTTGCGATTTTTTAAAAGACCGCGTTTTCCGCGGTTTTCCCGCGGTTTTTTAAAACTTTTTTGTTGCACTACACGTACACACAGTGCACTGCATGCTTACAACGGAGACTTCTAACTGATTGATTTCACTACATACTCACTGAAAATTGCCTCATATCAACTGCAAACTTGCCGGATATCAATAATATTCACCGCATATTTACCGCAAATTCACCGCAAATTATGCCATATTTACCCGCAAATTCTGGGATTTTTTCCACGATTTTCCCCAGGGACAGTGTGTCGCTCCATACTGAAGTATGTTTAGATAACAAGTACCTCAGATACCAGTGTTGGGTTAGGACCGGGTGAAGTTGTGCTATTTCGGCCGTGACTATGCTTGTCACAACATGTTCCGAGAGGTAGAGACGACATAGGGCGAGACTAACCGACCCCTCTTCTGACAAGTGGTGCTGTGACACAGGATGGCCGGCAAGAATGAGACAACCAAGTTCACCATTCCTAGGAAGAGGCGGGATCTGGGTCAGACGTTGCTCGATGGAGACTATTGGACCTGTTTCTGACAAGTGGTGCCCTTACCAGGATGGCCGGGAAGAATGAGGGGAAGAATGAGACAAAGTTCACCATTCCGAAGAAGAGAAAAGATCTCCACCCGGCGTTGCCTGACGGAGCTAACGCTCGGGATGCTATGCATCGCAGAGCTGCAGCGCAGCAGTTGCAGCGGCATACGGCCGCACTACAGGAGTTCGACAAGGCCAGTGCTGCGTTCTGGCCGCCGACCAGACCAGGAAGCTGATCGGCCGGAGGTTGAGGGGCCGCCCGCCGAAACGGCAAATGTCTCCAAGACCAAGGCGACGGTGTGTTGGCGGTGTGGTTCGGCCGGGCACCGCATTAAGGATTACACTGGTGCCCTGGTGGTGAGTGCAGAGGGCGGTACCAGTCAGCCAAAGCCAGATGAAGGGGCGGTGTCCGTGACGGAGGACGCTGCGTCCGACTGGGCAGTGGCAATAACAGCAGCAGAGGCCGAGCAGGCTCTCGCAAGTACGCAGACCGATTTGTGGGCTGTCTGATGACTGATGGTCGGCTGGCACTGACATGCTCCGCTGGTTGAATGCATGCCTGATTGCTGTTGCTTGCACAATAAGTATATCGGAGGTGTTGCATGTACCCTGCCTCGCTACTGGTTGCGTTGTTGTGTGTGCAGGAACGGCCCTCCACCAGGGAAAAAATGACGTTTGTTCGCTTCTGTGCTCGATAGGCATGGATCACTGATGAAAGAGCTGTGTTTTGTGATGAGAATAGCATGCCGGGTACATGATGGACGTCCAGTTCCCAAGGAGGGGTATGGATCACGGAAGCCAGCAGGAGCAATAAGGGTTTTAAAAAAATGGTGGCCTTGTGCACGATGCGTCATGGCATGATGTTGAGAGGCATGCATGATGCGGCATGCACTACTTGGGCCTATGATTATACACAGAATTAGGATGTCACACGAGGCTCCGCGACATGTCGCGAGCTTTGCGTGGGATTGGGAAACCTGGTGCGACGGCCGTCGCTTGGCATATACACACAGTGGTTGGGGTTACAGTGGTTGAGCACGCTGTGACCACGAGCAATTTGGGGTGCGTACTCGTAGGCGCTGGTGCAGTCCGTGATGGGTTGGCAGTGGCGTGGCCGGGTAGTACCCTGTGGTACATGCATTGCGTTGCTTTTGCCCGTGAAAGAGTGGCTGTTCTATCGGATACTAAGTACACTTTCCTCAGGCGGTGTTTACATGAGGCGTTTCAACCCGGGTTGAGTTCGACCCGGGTCAGATTTCAACCCGCCATGTGCATAAAATGAATTGCGCGTTTACATGACGCATTGCGCTTGACCCGGGTTGAAATTTCGCCCCGGGTTGATTTCAACCCTCCCCCCAAGGGGAGGGTTGAAATCAACCCGGGTCAAGAAAATCGTACAAACGTACTTCTGTGCGTATCTCGCGCCAGGTTTGAACGGCACTGCAGATGCAAATTTCGCGTGAAAGGATTCACGTGACCATACAGGACTGTAGAAGTGGACTTTTGGCGGCATATCAGTATTTGACCCGGGTCAACTGTCTTCATGTAAACGCTCACCTCTTTTGTCTATCGTACAGACTTTCAACCCGGGCTGAACTCGACCCGGGTTGAAATTTCTCATGTAAGCACAGCCTCAGTGTTTTCAGCATGAGCTGGGTACGTCTTATCAGAGTAAATATACTGTGACTACAGTCAAACCTCGTTAGGACGAACTGCAAGAGACCGAACAAGTTTGTTTGTCTTATCTGGAGTTCTTCTTATCCAGATCTGACAAAAAATTGATATGCATATTTATATGGATAGTATCTATATGAAATTGCTGCATGCTGTGGCACATGTAAACTGACATTTTTTTCATAACAGTCATAAGCCAGCAACAGGTAAGTACAATGTGCAATAAATTCATGACAGCATGCTCTCCAGCCTGCAGCTCCACCTTGTGCCTGGCCAACCATAGGATTGGCCCTAGTTCGTACTAAAAGAAAGTTCGCCGTATCAGTGTTCGTCCTAACGAGGTTTGACTGTACACTGATCAGGGGGGGGGGGGGGGGGGGATTACTGTGTGGGACCAGGGCAGGATGTAGCTGTCCATCTGCTATAATAAAGACATTCACCATTAGTCTCTGCCCTGATTGCATCAGTCTGATCATTACACCCTCAAGTCTATCATCACTACAATTATTTTCTAAGCACAGAAATAGCCTACACAGTACAGGATCATGAACCCTATCAAGAGTACAATAAGCTCCCAGGGAGTTTATTGTACTTTTGGCGGTAAGCAGAGAGTGTGCTGGAGGTGCTTCTGGGAGACTCCAGCAAATCCTTAGGCGGCCACTCATAGTACCAATGAACATAATAGCAATATATTATAATAGCTTAGTGTTAGCATTAGCGAAATCACTGAGTTCCCCAACATACGGAAGAGAAAATGACCCCAAGCTCACCCAGCGCACAGGAGTTGGTCCAGCTTATCCGGAGTATACCTGGTACACAGGCCGCTCACAGCGAGCGCTCAGTTTCCAAACAGGATTGTCTGCAGCCTGCTACTGTGACAGAGAAGGCAACCGTTTGAAACTGAAGTCTGAAGCGCCGAGGTCATTTCATTTTCAAGCCAGTCCCAACAGGGTGGAGGTGCAGTAAATCCCATTAGATTGAAAGTAGTTAGTTGAAACAGCAGGCGGCCTTGCGACGTCGACAGCAGCTCAAACGACGCGCACAGGCGCTCAGTCAAGGACGGCTCGTGACACCAGGACAAGCTGACAGGTACTGCACTACTGGTAATGGCACTATGCAAAACAGTAGAAGCGAGCATTAGCAGCAGCTTTGTTTGACTTTGGCCCTTGGGGAGGCTAGGCAGGATGTGACTCTGGACATCCTGTAATGGTGCGGCATCCAGTATCCAGGTATCCATGGCCTCTCCGCGATCCGAGGCAGATATGCACCCTGGCTTGATGCACGGTCCGTGTGCAAGAGCTCTTGACCCGCCTGACCCAGCAGTATTGTGGTGTACATACTATCCTGACCTGATGGCTGAGTCCTTCTCAAGTGAACACTTTTGAAATGGAGGTAAAATAATAATTCCAGCGCACACTCACAGTAACAATCACGGTAGTACAGTCTACAGCTAGTTCAACACTAGCAGGAGGGGTAAGCAGGTGCCTGGTGGGAACCATTCACGTAACTCGTTGACTCGGTAAGTGGTAGCCCTACATGCCTTTCTTGACTCGCATCGCACTTGGCAGTCTGCCGGAAACGCTAATTTCAGAAATTTTCGGTGCTCAATATTTTCGGTATGAGGGCAACAGGCTAGGTTAGGTGAACAGAAATTTTCGGTACAGAGAAGCAGTTCCCTATTGCCAGTATTGGATTATGTGTGTTAGTGTTTGTTCGGTGTATTGAAATTTTAGGTATGAAACAGACGCACCGAAAGTACCGAAAATAATAGTACACCGAAAATTTGTGAAATTACAGTACCTAGCACAAGGAACAAAATCGCTGACATAATTGCGATTATTGTTTTACATGTAGATCTACCTCCTTCCTTTTTTGTGTCGCAGCGATGACCATCGTCAAAAAAAATACCGGGCGAACTAGATTGCAAACATATCTTTAATTACAACTAATGGGAGACAAACAAGTCACTGGCAGAAATATATTATAATAATTATTTGATTTACTTGAGAAGGAATGCGAGGTCACAACAAAAACATGATAGAAAATGACATGAACGACACCTGCGGCGGGTACGAGCGCACTACGACCGTACGAGTCCTGTAACGATACGTACTAAATTCTAATAAGTACTGTCAGTTTTGTGCCTAGTTGTTGCACTTTCTGATTGTATGTTACAGTGGTGGAGAGTTACTAAATTAATAACTGTAAATAACTCGTTTCCATACGTCCTAGGCGTAGTGCATAGCGCTAAAACTGCTGAAAAGGTCTTGTGTCGTAAGTTGTGAACTCACTTCAGTTCAGACTTGGTAACTACTTAGCTATGCATGTAGTTGCTGCAAGGAACATAACAATCATGTATCATGTGGATCCCCTGCTGCCACAACTGCATTCCAAACAACATTCCCCACTTGTTATTGCACAGCACTGAGCGAGCTAGAACCATAGACTGAGCAGAGCTATACTATAGACTATAGTATAGAGGACATGACAGGCCAGGACAAACATCATTATCAGCGGGGAACAGTGAAAAACAGAGAAAAAGAAAAAAAACGACCAGTATTACTGTGGCAGTAGATCTATTATTGTCATAAATAGTAGTACCAGGCAGTAGTACACATGCCAGTCCCTGTTACATACTCAGTCTCACATAATTATAATGATCTAGTCATTCTTCTCATTGTAATGTCATTCTCACTCATACTCATACTAGCAAGAGTTCATCCATAACCCCAGTGGGGTTATGGGCTCTTGATACTAATTACTAGATCTATATGATTATGTAGAGAGAGAGAGTCATACCCTAGTAGAGCAGTCACTGAGAGGGACGACTTGTATGCATGAATGTTGAAAAAAATGAAAAATGCCAACCCTGGCCTGGGGGTAGGCCTCGACCAAATATGCAAAAAAAAAGGAGCATATTATGCTCGTCGCATATCAGGGAAAACGTCCATAATAATATTATGCCAAAGGCTTAGCAAAATATGCAAAAAGATATGCCAAAATATGCTCGACATATTTTTAAAGCAGAAAGTGTGGATCATTTCAGTAAAATTACAACCTTGGAATATTCATTGGCTTCACGGCTATCATGCTTATGATGCAAATCAAAACACATGCGGAATAGTATGGCTAGGGTGTGTCCCCAGCAACTGTAGCGATAGTGTTCGTCCATGGGGAAATGTAGCAAACGCCTCAACCATTCCAAATTCATCCATAAAAGGTGATTTCTGAACGCATTTTGTCCATAATATGAACGGTTTTGCCCTCATTTTCTTCAGAATATTTGAATTATATGCTGGCTTCATTCCAATATTCCCTTTGTCGCTCAATATGCCATACATGTACATGAACTGTCCGAAATATGCGGAAATATGCGCAAGCATATTTGGTCGAGGCCTACCGGGGGGGGGAGGGTAGTTGAGAAAAAAATATTCACTATCATTGTGTGTATTTTGCCCGTAGCTGAGCCTCAAATAAAGGCCCTCATCCTTGACGGACATGGCACCATGCCACATTCTGATAAAATGCCCAAGTGATGCAAGGTCTTTTGTTTACCGAGTACTGTATGAGTACAAATTTTCGTTCACGAAATCTTTCGTTAGATCACTCCACCAGCAGAAGTTCCTGTTGATTATCCCGACAATCACTGTACTCGAAACAAGTCTTGATCTCGGAGCACTTCAAGTGACCTGTCTAGTTCTCCTTATTGATTCTGTACGGCCATAGCTGTAGTACCATGCAGTGGATCTACTAGTACTTCTTCCATGAACAGTCCCTGAAAAACCTCCGTATAATGTGATGAATATCTACAATCGTAATCACTGAAAATGTTACAAAATTAAAATAATTCAGAAATTTTTGGTGTCATCATTTCAAAAAAGTTGAAAATGGAATTTTGGAAAAAATATGACATATCGGATCCCGAACACTTTAACGCAGCCACTTACACATTTAGCAAACTTCACTTCTCAACTCCAAAAACGGTCTCTTCACTGCGATTCAAACCAAAATTAAGATTAACATTACACCAAATTTTCGGACCTGACCCATCATCAGGTAATATCCCGAAAAACCAAGGCAAATCCCGAGGTTTTGCCCTGGCGATCCAGAAAAAGCACTCCCAGTACTTGGCAGGTATGATTCGGTAAAGTTCTTTTACAATATCCAGCCATTGGCACAAGCACTCTGGAATACAAGTCCAGTCAAGCATATGTGCATTGCACACGTACAGCTACTGTAAATATCAGCTGCAGTGGGCCATAAGGAAAGGTTTAAAGCAAGGTGACAAGATACATTGAGTAGATTGGAGCATAAAAAAACGTTGAAGTACGACATAGTTTTGGTCAGAGTCATTTGACACAGAAATACCGACAGTCACAATACATGGCATGGTAGTTTCCCAGTTAGAATCCAGAAACGGAAGAGCTTCTGTGACAAATAGATAAAGGCCTGAAAAATCACTGTTTGCAACCTCTGCTTAAAATGAATATTTGAAAAATATTCTAAATAATGCCATGCCGAGAGCCAGATACCAAGGCAAGTCTGGGGGCCTAATGAACTTCCACTCAGCGGTACACACACGCCCACGCACACACACACACGCGCACACGCACACACACACACACACACACACTGCGCACCCACCCCCCTATTCAGCAGGGAAGAATCAAGACGTCATCAATCATAAAACGTTTCCTAACGTTATCATCCCTGAAGAGAAGTCAGGAAAGATAGTACGTCCTGGGGATCATACGCTGGCCTATCACCATCCACTTCGTGCGGGACATCCCTCTTGGCGACTTTCGAGAAGAGACTCTCTCGATCTGCACCGTGAAAGTGATAGCGCTCACGTAGCTTCTGCTTCATGAATGGCTTGACGAGCGCCCACACAATACTGAACAGCGAGGACTGGTTGACGAGATGGAACCCTTTGAATCGTGCCGGGAACGCGTCCTGGAACAGCTCCATGACGACAGATACACGAGAGCGGTCGAACATGAGCACCTTGCCCATTGTCATGTCTGCAAAGTTCTGGATGAAGACGAACCCGTTCACCTGTGTTTCCTCATCCTCGATCACATGATCCAGAACGTATATGAGTGTGCGCAAAGCATCCTTCATTTTGAAAGAACCTTGATCTATGCGACCCGGTCTGAACATGAACATTCGCCGACCTTCTGAATCCCGGTCACCAAACACACAAACCACTTGATGCTCCAGGATAGGTCGCACAGAATTCAGATCTGCATCCTCGATCAGATCCGCATGCTTCTTACGAAACAAATGGTAGTTTAACAGTAAGCTCATCGCCCTCTCTACATCATACTTCCTAGCACGTAAGAACGCAATGAGAAATTTGTCTGTGTCCTTGCGTAGTGTGAAGTCCTCGTGTTCGACAGTGTATTCCCGAATCTTCTCCCTCAGAGCGGCTAGGCCTTCCTCCCGACGTTCCGGTGTTTCATTCAGTTCAACCTTGACCTTCTCTATACTCCGCTCGCACAGGCCTGAAGAGATCCATCTGGGGTCCACCGCGGATGCCATTGCAAAGTAATTTAGAAATGGAGGTGCATGTGAAATTGACAAACGATATTTCCTGGATCTTAGGAACCAATTCGGCACAGGTGAACGAACAACTTGTATCAGAATGTCGAGATTCTAACGACAGTATGCCGGTACGGACTTAGACCGCTTTTAATGTACTAAGACAAGAAAATAAAGTATTGCCAGTCAGGGACTACTAAAAACTACGACAATGTAGTTGACAAAGAAACAAAATTTGTAAGTGGCAACAAAATGAGAACACGAAGGAAGGTGGTGGGTGATGTCACATCAGCAGCTGTCAGGGCGATCATGCATTCATGGTAACGTCAGGGCATGGCGCATTTTGCTAAGATGACATCACCAGTTACAGTGCAGTATAACACAACCTCTTCCGCTTTCTCTTCGAAATTTAAAAGCAGTATTGCACGTTTCTGGCTTCAAAGAGTGCCTCTCCTTTCCACTCGGAGCTCTTGTCGCACATCCTTAGGGCTCAAGGAAGGTAACCATATCAGGAAGGGCTGAAAGAATGGGTCTGTTTGGAAAGGAACCTGAAAAAAGCCCGCGCGAGCAGGTGAGGAACCCAACTCTTTGAAGCACATTTCGAACTTCAGTTGAAAACAACTTGCAAATTGAAATATCCTACCTATCTTTCGGTGTGTATGTGTGTGTGTGTGTGTGTGTGTGTATCTGCAATCTGGTGAATGATGTTCAACGTATTGTGTATCGTGGCGTGCGGTGATTCGATTCCAGGTGAGAGAGTGGAGAACCAAACTGAGGCGAGAAACGAGAACTCTGGACAAGCAGATCCGCTGTAAGAAGAATTATTTGCTGTGATCGCAATGAAGTGCTTTTCGGAGAAACGTTCACTCCATGTTTCGGTCCACTGTGCTCTGAGCTTCAGAGTCTGGGATCTAGCTAGACTGAAAAAGCAGCTGCTGTTGAATTGTAGTACAATTTTGAAATAGAGTGTGACGAAACGTGCCGTATATTTCTCTGAAGTAATTCTGGTTGACCGTGTACAGGTTAGGCCTCTGGTAATCTGGAGCAGAGCAGTGATCATTGCAGACACAGCACACATACAGATGTCACGGGCTATTTTCATTGGCGTGGACTCCACGTAATTTCTGCCACCCACTATGCGGCTGCATAAACCAAAGTGCTAGTGGAGAGGTTCCGGGTACGATTTTCCATACCAAAATCCGTAGAGGCGCTAGGGATTTTTTCGAGGCGTGCTTCATATAATTTTCCGGCACGGAGAAGCCGTGTGGACTGGCTTTAATACGAACCATGTATTTGTGTGGATTTTTTGCGCCTTCGAGTGCAGAAAGATTTTTCGCATACAAATTTGGTCCGAGAAACACCGATTATCCGCAGGAAGTTTTGATTTCGGTACAAATTTTCAAATTAAAAAGGCACCGCGCGGGAATATGACGTAATTTGCGATCGTAACCTAGGCAGGTGCAGCAAATACATATGTTCTGTACTCAGGCAGTTCACTACTCGAAAATGAAGTATAAGAAATCCGTAGCGCCTCTGCGGGTTTTGGTACAGAAAATCGTACTCGGCAACCTCTGATACATCAGTCGACTTGTAAAGACTACGCATATAGCGAATTTCGTGATATAGCGAACTACCACCACAACCAACATCAGCAGCAGCAGCGAGAGTGCTGTTTTCCTGCTCTATTGCTCTTCCCTTTGTCGATTGATGGATCAATCGGTACCAACGCATTCGTAACTCCGATTAGTAACTTCGGCTCTGCTCTGTTTTGTTTTGAACTGTATACGCATTGGATTTCTTTGTATTCTGTATCTCGTTATCGCTATCTTTTCCTCTAGCCCTCTCGCTTAGGATGAGCTTTCTTTTTTATGGCAGCTTAAGCGAAGGCTATATACCTGCTTTATGCAGGTTGATGCCAACGCGAACAAGCAAAATAATAATAAATAATAATTGCTCACTAAAAAACAGGCTGGGACACATACCATGTGAATTGTAAACCACGTGATGTGAGTTTTCGCTGTCGGTGGACCGCATAGCAAGCACTGCTGGCCTCTCGTATGCTATACTAGCCTATAGATTGTACAGGTAGATGCACAACATGTGCTAGTAGTATGCAGCCATGACAGCAAGACAAAATATTACTCTTTTCTTGGGCAACTGCAGAAGGTGTCTGATTTTGACTGAAAATGATTTGGGCAGCACTGTGTTTGCTTCTTGATGTACGGATTGCTATGAAGGGGGGTGGATTTCTTGGATCCCCGACTTTAGTTTTGTAGATTGTATTTCCAAGCATTGTGAAAGTCATTGCTTGCTCATCTCGGTTGTATTGTGTGCATTCAGCCATACAAGGAGAAGAAGCAAAGGTGAAGAAATCACTGAAGGATGCAGCTAAGAAAGGCCAAAAAGACGTTTGTAATATCCTTGCCAAGGAGATGGTTCGATCACGCAAGGCTGTGAACAAGATCTACGCATCAAAGGCTCAGATCAACTCTGTGATGATGCAGATGCAGAATCAGCTGGGTAAGTTCTAAAGGAGTGTGTGTGTGTGTGTGTGTGTGTGTGTGTGTGTGTGTGTGTCTGTGTGTGTGTCTGTGTGTGTGTGTGTGTCTGTGTGTCTGTGTGTCCCATATGGTGCAGTGGTATGTGCAGCGATTTCCAATCGATAGGTTGCGGGTTCGATTCCCGACAATTATGGTCACACACGTCTTTCTTCTCTTTCTCAGACTCTTCCTGACTTTTCTTTCATTCTCCTGGGTGGTTACCAACAGCCAGTGCATGCCAGAGTATGTGGTGTGATGTGTGTGCGGGAAAAAAAAGACCAAAACGTAGGAATTCACTGGCCAGAAAAAGCCACTTCATAGCTGTGTGGTGTAGACCAGGCTGAATAGTAGCGGTCAATTCTTCAGCCTTGCAAGCTGTTGAATGGTGCAATCCCAGCACAAGTTGCTATGGCTTCTGCTGTAGCATCGCTATCATCGCCTCCAGCGATGGGCGTCCAATGGTCCAATGGTGTGTGTGTATGTGCATGTGTGTGTGTGTGTGTATGTGTGCGTGCGTGTGTGGGTGTGACTGTGTACACGTGTATGCACATGTGTGTGTGTGTGCGCGCGTGTTTTATGTCCTTCCAACACGAGCCTGTCATGCTAAGTCTCCCTATAAGCACAGCCTGGGTTTGGCACACATTGGATGTGTTGATAGCACTGGGTGGGTGTTTTTTTGAATGCAGTTGGCAGTGAGCCTTCCGCACTCTGACTTAACTGTATCATTTGTGTGTGTTGGCATATAAAAGCTGCACAGCTTGCTGTGTGTTTGTTTCAGCATAGCCCTCCCCATTGTGTTCAGTCACTGAGCATGTGTGGTCGAGTCCTAGGTAGCACTGCGTGTGCTGCCCGCACACTGGGTATTTTGCTAGTACCGGTATGTGCTGCTGTGTGTGCTCTCAAATCTCACTGCCTGTAATGTTCCCATGCTGTGTTTAGCCACACAACGTATGGCTGGTGCGATGGCGAAGAGCACGGAAGTGATGCAGTCCATGAATCAGTTGATGAGAGTGCCGGAGATTGCAGCTGTCATGCGTGAACTCTCCAAGGAGATGACGAAGGTGAGGGCACCGTGCATGGACTTTTTTCTTTCTTTTTTCGCTGGCTGTGTGCGTGTTTATGTCCACACATGCACAGGCGCCCATTCCGCCTGCAACAGTTGGAGGCCTTAGCAAAACATAGCTGGCAGGTGCTAAATCCTTTGTGTGTGTGTGTGTGTGTGTGTGTGTGTGTGTGTTTGTGTGCACGTGTGTGTGTGTGTGTGCAAACGAGGGGGGGGGGGGAGAATCCCTGCTCAAGATGCTTTATCGAGCATAGTATTCTGTGTCAGATTCTGTAGAGGGTGTGCTTGTGAGGAGGGGGTAGGGGGTACAATTTGTGTCAGTGTTGTTCCTCTCCACTTTCTCGATCCTTTCCTCCTTCAGTGCAGTCAGTCTAAGCTGTCTTGCCAACTGCCCATATTTTTGCATCTTTATTTAACGAAAATTTGGAGCAATTTCCGCAGTGCAAGAAAAACAGCACTCGTCAGTCTGCAAGGGACTGCAAAGTGCTTGGAGCAACACTGTGGAGTGTGTGTGTGTGTGTGTGTGTGTGTGTGTGTGTGCGTGTGTGTGCGCGCGCATGCGCATGATGTGTGTGCACCTGGTCTTTGTTTTAGGCTGGTATCATTGAGGAAATGATGGATGACGCATTCGAATCTGCATTGGGTGATGAGGACGAGGAGGAGGCTGCTGAGGCTGAGGTGGACAAGATCCTCTTTGAGGTTACCAATGGTATGTTGGATGAGTGTAGTGTTTTGATCCTGTTTGAGGTGACCAATGGTATGTTGGATGAGTATAGTGTTGATGAACTGTTTGCTGGTGTAACCGTTTCAATGTGACAAGAATGCTTTGCTTTCGTGATAGTGATATAGTGATGGGCTTGACATACACATGCACCTCTTGTCAGTCTTGAGGGGTGGTTGCTGAAGCAGATATTTGCTGGAGGGGGGGGGGGGGGGGGGGGGGGGGGGGAGAAAGAGAGAGACAGACTAATCCTTTCTTGCTCTTTCTTTATATGCACTTGAGGTGAATTGCAGCAAATATGGACACTCTGCATTTTGGGCTGGATTGTGTAAACTGTGGATGGCATTGGTGTATTTGAGTGCACGACCGAAATAGGGAAAAAACAATTATTAGCACTGCTGCTGCTGCCGTTGGTGGTGGTGGCGGTAACCTGATGTATGCTGTTTTGCCTATATTCTGTGTTTAGGTATTCTGGGCCAAGCAGGACCTGTGGAAGACAACCCCCTGGTGAGTGTCATCTGCTCAGTATCACACTGTGTGTTGGTGGTCTTCCTGTCTCTTCTAGCTCTGAAACTACTCTGCTCTTCAGACGGTAAAATGCCGATCATGAACATCATTCGTGACAGCCTATTTGCAGACGACTTAGCACTTGTTGCTTCGACTCATACAGGTGCCATGCTTGCTCTTTATGGATGTCGTGGGACTCGCTGGCCTCAAAGTCAATGTATCCGAAATGAATGTGATGGCTGTTGGTTTTGGCATCTGTGCTGAGGATCTGCCCCGCCCCTGCAGGCGCGGCAAGGGAATTGTTGAGAATGTTGAGAATGTTGAGAATGTGGAGTGGATGGTTTTCGTTCACTTAGGTTCCATTATACAATTCCAGCAGCGACTGTACCGCGTTAGACACCTGGTCTCGGATAGCCTCAGAGCGTTTGTAGCATTGTGCTGATCTGTATTTGGTGACAAGACCTGTCGGCTCTTAGCATCGTGTGTTCATGCTTTCTTAGCAATGCATAGGAATATTCTGTGTTGTGTGCTGTGAGTATCATGTACTCAATAATAAATTATGCACCATTGACTGGGACCCCTAGTTGATGAATTACCATTGCCTCCCAAATGGGCTCTCCACTGGGAACAACTGACTTACATCTCACCAAATTTTCGGGTTTGATCCATCATGTATGTGAAAGGTTCATTTAGGAGATTCAGTTTTTATTAGGGTGTAAGTGGCTGCGTTGGAGATTCCGAACAATGCAAGAATCGAAGATATTTAAAAAAATTCTCTCTCTTTTCACCATTTACTCTCAATGTAGCCCGCGCCAGCAGCTGCTGCCGCCGCTGCTACCGCTGCATCAGACGAGGAGGAGGATGACGAGATGCGGGCTCGCCTGGAGGCCCTACGCAGCTAAGTACAGTTGGGTTTCTGAGAGTGGGCGCTTCACTGGGAATGTGCTTGCGTCGCCCCTGGTTCTTTCGTGTTGATTCTCCCGGCCATAGATTCTCGGTCTGAAAGACGTTGGACGTTGGGAAAGAGAGAGAGGGGGGAGAATAGGCAACTTGGCGTTTTACTTGTTGCTGTACATACCCTGTATATATCGCCGTCAAGCTGTATTTTCTGCTCTTGATTGTCATGTTGTTATTTCCTTGATTATATCTACAAGTACCTCCTTTTTAACACCTTGCAGTCAACTTTCTATGCATCTTCCCAGCCCTGCTTTGCTCCAGTAGATGTCGAGCAATAGTCGATGTCTGATTCGCTTGTTTGGTGGCAACTTTCCTGAGCTGTACATTATTGCTGCTTAAATAAGTTGTGCATTCTTTGATGGTGCTGCTACAACTGCTACTGTTTATTTTGTTTATTTTTTTCCTCGTTTGCATTGGGCTGTGCCTGCTATATGATTGTCTTGTTTTGTGTCTACCACTTTTAAAGGTTTGTAGTCTATAGGAAGCCTCCTCCAGGGGGGCATATGTTGTACTGACTTGTACATGAAATGTAACAACTATCAGTCCGTGTTTTACGTTTGCACTCTTCTTCCACAGGCTGGAAGGTGTGCCTTGCTTTGCTGCTCCTTGTCCTTGCCTTGCTGCCCCTTGTCTCTATTGTTGCTTAGTGGTCTCATTTGAATGCTTTGCTTTTGCTACCAGTATACCTAGTACCTCATAAATGAACATTTGCCTGTGCACGAATGGCAATTTACTCCGTATATATTAAATCAGGGCAGTCTTGTCTGACTATAGTTGAGAACATAATCAGCATGCCCTGCACAAGCCATGAACATGGGCATGCCCGTGATAGTAGGGAGGTTTCGCTCGACGTAATTACATATGAAAATAACGTAGGAACTGCACGTAATACAATTACTCTAGACACTCTAGATACTAGATACTCGGTACTCTAGATACTAGATACTCTAACAATTTTATCAAACATTATGATAATTACCACATCAAATGCTGCGGAGACCTATCCAGAATCGGCGATATGCTGGCCCTGGCCTGGAGATCTGCAACTATAATCAGCTTCTACTTTGCAACACTAACGGATTAGTCCCCTTTGTCGATTGATGGATCAATCGGTAGATTCGGCTCTGTTTTTCTTTCCTTTCTTTCTTGTTTTGAATTGTACGTTGAACTCATTGGATTTCTTTGTATTCTGTATCTCGTTATCGTTATCGTTAGATTTCCCTCTAGCCCTCTCGCTTAGGATGAGCTTTCTTTTTTATGGCAGCTTAAGCTTTATGCAGGTTGATGCCAACGTTGCAACGCGAACAAGCAAAATAATAATAATAATAATACTGCACGTAATACGTGAAAATCAGCGCTGGTGAGTTTCGTTCTACATGATTTCTCCACGACTGCTAGCCTAGGCATGCCTTGCATGCGTCCAACACGACCCTTCATTTTGTTTTCCACATGGTTGTACCTTGTTTCCCGCGGCCGGCCGGCTTGAACGTTGCCATAGAGAAATCCGGAAAGTGCGAAAAAATATTTCAAAAAGTTTCGAAAATATTTCAAAAAACAACTCTCCTACGAAAATCCGTAGAGAGATTTACGTCTGAAAGTTGCCCTCTCTCCCTGGCGCACGCGTACGACATACGGATTTTCATACGTCATTACGTAGAGCGAAACCTCCCTAGTGTCAGACAAGGAGTGCCCCAACCATGCAGTACGTGCATGACTATGTGTGTCATTCTGCTAACTGGTAACGTGCACGCCGGGGGCTCTCGTATCTAGGCTGTGAAACCACGCATGCAGGGACTGATCAAGCAGAGAATGTCTGAGGCATACCATGGTATACCTACGTGTAGCTGTATTCTCTTTCAGTCCCGAGGAAAAATCACTTTCAACACACGCGCGCACCCCCCCCCCCCCCCCACACACACACACTGAGCGGTCTTTCTGAAGTTTTTATTTTATTTGTCGGCATAATGAGGGTACAGCAATGCATGATATACTCGGCATTGGTAAAGGCTGTACTTGTAAATAAAACTCTAGCCGTCCTAGTTGTCTACCGAGAAATGAGAACGCTGGTATGTTTCCATGGGCTACCGGTATGTAAAAATAATTAATTTGCTGAAAATCTGGTCAAGTTGACACATACAGCAAAAACACGGCACTTACGAACAAAGCAAGCAGTGCAAGCTTTGGCAGTCCTCTGGCCATGGCGTTAAAAGAGATTTGAATTTGAAAATGATGAAAACTACTCGCCGAGGAAAATCATTAAAATAAGGGGCAGCCATCACTGTTAAAGGTGGGTGCAAATAACAACGAGGAATTTGCACAGATTGTTTGGAATTAGCCCCACTGCATTGTTACAGCTGATAGCGACTGTATAGCAATGCTTGCTGACTAAAGCTGGGCGCATGGGCATTGGGGTCTGCAGCATGCTGTGCGGTGTTCAGCATATCGCGTGAAGTCACCTGTGCTCCAAGCACACTATGCCAGGCAGTGGTGGTGCTGAGGATATCTCAGCGCTCACCGTCAGAATGCTTACCACCGGGACGCTTACTCTGAGCGCGGCCAGACTGACAGAATGTATCTTGTATGCTGCCAGAAAAAATCGTTGGAAACACGATGGCAATTCCAGCTACCGACGGGAGCATTAGCAAGACTCAACAAGGAACATTGGTCAGTTCTTGGCGGCATGGTAAGCTTTGTGTAGACCCAGACTGGTGGTGGTGGTGGTGTGTTGCAGGCTACACACTGTTTCTCGTGTCTGAGCCGCCATGCGCGAGTTGGTTGCGTGCACCGATCCAGTCGTCGTCGCTGTGCCGGTCCTCCAGCTCAAAGTGAATGCTCGGGTCGGACATTGTGGCGATGGACATTTCCTCGTCGCTCCTGTGCATGGACATTGCATCTCCCTCACTCATGACACGGCGCTTGGCATTCGCCATGCTTTGCTGACTTGGCCTGGAGTCGCTACTACTCATTTGATTGCTGGTGGATGCAAAGCTTGGGGTAGTCATATCGATACTGGCGGCACACAACACAACACAACAAAACAAAACACAAGAAGAGAACACACGAAATAAAGTGGTCAGTAGCGAGCGAGTCAGTCTGGTCTGGCTCAAAAGACAGTCTGGTCTGGCTCAAGACATGATGATGGCAAGGGAAAACTTGGTTTTTGGCACTTTTCGCACAGAAAACGGTAATATCATCTACACGACTGAGCTACCCCCAACTGGCCCTGTTTGCACATGACTGACCTGCCCCAACTGACCCTGTTTGTACATGACCTGCCCCAACTGGCCCTGTTTGTACATGACCTTCCCCAACTGGCCCTGTTTGTACATGACCTGCCCCAACTGACCCTGTTTGTACATGACCTGCCCCACCTGGCCCTGTCTGTACATGACCTGCCCCAACTGGCCCTGTTTGTACATGACCGACCCCCCCCCCCCCCCCCCCCGACTGACCCTGTTTGCACACGGCCAAGCTTTCCTGATTGACTATGTTTGTACATGACTGAGCTACCCCCAACTAGCCCCGTTTGTACAAGAACAGTTTCACTCACCTGGAAGGTCTGCTGAAGGCCACGTGACGACTGTGGCGAGAGCCGCGACTGCCCTTGCCGTGGTGCATAGCACTGTGATGGTGATGGTTGTGATGGTGATGATGGTGGTTGTGATGCGACATGTGCGCCTGCGCCAGTGCTTCGTGCATGGCTGCATTCCAGCGCAGCATTCTCAGCCGCTGCTCCAGCTGGTGATTGGAGATGTGATTGCGGCTGCGCACGCCACACATCTGCAACAGAGAAACGGGAACACCCAATGCAGGGTGAGTGGCTGAGACAGACTGCATCCTAAAAGTGGACTGTATGTGGTACTGTATAGAGCGTGCAAAATATACAGGTACATGTACTCAGTTGCAAATCATGCCCATAGTGTTTGGCAGGTAGGCCGCACCGCCACGACTGGATCAACTGCGCTGATCAGAAGCTAGTACACGTAGTCATGCAAGATGATCGTATTCACAATCACACTGATGAAGAGCCAGTACTGTGTACAAACCTCCGAGACGAAATGAGTGTTGCTCTGGTTTTTAGATTCACAGGGCACCTATTCCTCACCCAGCCTTTCCATCCCAACAACGTGTACAGATGACATCACAATGACATCACAATGACATCACAATGACATAGCGTGCACACAGACTACACTCAGGGTATGCAATTGATGGCCTGCTGGTGAGTCGGCGGATTCGCTAAGTATACAGCATGAGTCGGCGGTTTTGCTGGAGCTAAGGCCACACCAAGTTTTTTCATTGTTTCTCGTCACCGCGCGCGTACCTTTCTTGAGGATTGGACCAAAAAAAAATCTCGCGTCCCGGTAAACACGCATAAAAAGGCGTTGTAAAAGTACGCGCGGCGTCAAATCTGGAGTGCAGTGCTAGTGCACGAACCGAAGGACGACTTTTGCACCGTGTATGTACGCATACCGGTAGTTCAAGTACCACGCCACCACACGACCTGGTCGTCTTCTTTGCTACACACAGTTCCGGTACAAGTCAAGACAGTGCATGACAGTGCACCGTTTTGGACTGACAGTGTTCCGGGCATCGGTAAACTTGCGGCATTGCGGACTACAAGCACTGTGAAGTTGCCGTGATTCCTTGAGTTCTATATCAGTTCATCTCGTCGTGGGCGACGATGGCATCTGAAATAGTCAGCTTCGCTGTGACTGTGGATAGCAGAGAGATACTTTCTTGGAACGCAGATAGAGGAACACATCGAGGTACAGGTGCAGGAGCCTGGTTTTCTGGCTGTATGTTGCAATTGACTGTCACGCGTGGTGTATAGTCTGATTTTAGGTCATAAATTGGGCCTTTGTAGTGTAAATAGCAGATTTTGTTTTTCAAACCCTATTTTGTTTTTTTTTCGCCCGCCCGCGTTCCTTTTGAGATTTTCAGGTGACGAGAAACAATGAAATAACTTGGTGTGGCCTAATGCTTATCCGCTTTGCCCCTCCATAAGAAAATCTCAACTGATGAATCCAAGTGATGATGTAATGGCATAACCTTTATCACTACAATCATGTACTTCTTTTGGAAGTACCAATACAGTTATACTGCATCAACATACAAGGTGAGAGAAAATGACAAAGTAGATGGCAAACCTAGAGTACATGTACTCTGCTGTGCACTACAGCGGAACATGCGCATGCAATGAGTTCATAGTGCTGCGTTACCTCCTGTAGTTCATTGCTCGCGGATGGCACAAACAGCTTCTGGATAAAGTCATCAGATGTGACCCCAGCATCGCGTGCACCTACGTCAGATAGACGCTGATAAACCACAGGGAAAAACAGAACGGAAGAGACAGAATAAGAGAAGTGAAATACACACTCCTACACAGTCTGATGCAACTAGGTACCACACGGTCCTCTGTTTATGAAGACCGGTGAAGACTGGCGAGGCATACACATGTACGTCAAATGGTGACAGACTAACGACAACACAAAGGAATTCTTTTGTGAGGTTCATGATAAACAATTGATTACGTCACATGGGCACGATCAGCGTCGATCACATCAGTGTTCCTTTTTTCATCGCAAATCCCTTACGAGCACCCCCACACCCACAAATGCTCACACAAATGCACACACAAAGGCACACACACACACACACACACACGCACACAAACACACACAGATGCACACACACACACATGTGCACATGCACACACACACACGTGCACCCACATGCACACACACGCACACACACACACACGTGCACATGCACACACACACACACACACACACACACGTGCACACACACACACACACATACCTTAGGTGCCAGCGGTGTTCTGCAGGATGGCTCTGGTGCTGCTTTCAGGTCCGATCCTAGGCAGGGCACGCGCAACTCAGATGGCAGACATGGTGTAAGTGGCTCTTCTGCATTGCTGACACTATTCAGTGGATCACGCTGATGTTGGTACCTTTGAAGAGAAGTTATGCAGTCACAGAACACAGAACATATCATTGATGTAAGCAGAACAACGAACATATCATTGATGTAAGCAGAACACAGAACATATTGATGTAAGCAGAACAACGAAGATCACAACAGACCATTTTAAAAGTACAGTAGAATACCGATAATCCAACTGTCCGAACGTCAACTATCCGAACGGTCAACTATCCGAAATGCCTGTTTGCTTGGATTGGACAATGACAGGCAGCAGCAGTCTTACCCTCGCAGATGAACAGTCTTGGCTTGATGATAGCACGTCCTCTCTATCTGACTGATCAGAGATTCGGCGCCCTCTCCGTTTTTACGGATGAAGAATGGTGTCAAGTACTTCATGTCGTAGTATGCCATTAGCTGGTAAAACCTCTGAGAGAACAGCAGATCGAGCACAGAAGACAGCTATTTACCATAGTGACTACCGCATGTTCTCCACTAAAATCTCTCTTATTTCTCAATGAGCACAGAGCGGGTTTTTCTTGCAACTAAGGTTTCACGCCGTGCGATCCTCAGGCAACACAATTCTAAGACAGATGTGCCACATGCGACTTGCGACACCTGCGACTGAGACACGCGATTCATGACATACCAAGTATTCTGTGAACCGTGTGTCTCACTCGCACAAGTGTCGCAAACCGTGTCACAAAAAGTGGTGCAATCCCATACACTGTACTCATACCCAGACCAAGGACAAAACAAGTAATAGTGGTGTCATTCTCTCACCTGGTCTCCGATTTGTCCAATGATCTCCTCAATGCCAGCGGTGATATGATCGATAGTCCTAGAGTGTATGATGTGATTAACCGTTGGATCATCTTTGCTCTCCTTCTGGACATGCAGGTAGTTGACTAGAGGCTTGATAGTTGTTCCCTGCAAAGTGAACAGCAAATCCACACGTTTGGGTCTGAGTACTTCGACGTCGTCTACCACTACCTAGCTGCTTTCTGCATCCGCGACCTCCCAGTAAGCCAGCACAACTCCCTCCAAGTAAACCAGCACAACTCTTGATGTGGATGCGATAAGTTGCACAGCGATGGGGATAATTCGTACAACCCAGGGCACACGTGCCACATCCATATCCCCGACCCCCCCCCCCCCCCCAACCACACCCACCCGTACCAGGCCTTGCGTAGAGAAAAGCCAAAAGGTGTACCAAATGCACACAGTCATGCACAGTCATGTACACATACACACCCACACACTCCCACACACACACACAGGAACACCCTAACCTGAACAAAGACTGTGAAGACAATGAGGCAGAAGGCAGCGGTGAACATGGCATCCTTGGATGGAACGTGAGACTCGTTCAGTAGTAGCACCAAACTGAACGAGACAGCACCTCGCAATCCACCATAGCCCTGAAAAAGAAAACAGATGAAGCAGTACTATATTGCATGGCGCAGCTGTTTTGTCCACACCACCATGAGAATGTAACCCCATGAGTGTGCAAATCTGCATATGGGGTCTCTGATGGCAACAACTCACATCACACAATCTACATTCGCTGCAAGTACGCTTCTACAATGTACCAGCGGAAGTTAATGTGCACACAAGTATGGATCTGTCAGCGATTTTGTCTTCTGGCCCTCATGAAGTGTGCTATCTGTACTGCTCAATTGTTTGCTACAATACTGCTTGTCAGTCAATGACAGTCACCCATGCATAAACAAAATGATGATGACATTATGAGAACAGACCTGCATTGTACATATTGAAATGACGTTTCAAACTAACTCTGGTGTATTCACAGGATACAGAAGCACATGTACTATGGTAATTATTGGACATGACATAATAATATCTTTATGTGTCAGTGATATCACACGAACATCTGAAAGTGACATCAGACATCACTGTGCTGACGCTTACCATCAAAATCTGCTCCGTCTTGGAAATCGGGAAGATCCGATATTTATTGGCCCAATAGGTCAGAGCAAAGGTGCCTGCCATGAATTAGAAAGAGGAGAAAAACACATACCCGAAGTCACAACATACACTGTCTTGGCTTATCGGAGACGGCAGCCGTGCGAAGACACGCTAACACTTGCCATTAGCCGCTGGATGTCACGCCTCGCGTAGCGAATACTACAGAGTGGTATTTGTTGACATGAGCAACGGGTTCTATCGTGTTCGTCATCGGGTGTTGATTCACGAACTTCAGAACATTCGCATTGACAGTGTGGCACTGAGATGGTTCGCCAACAACCTCAACGGTAGAATTTACGGTATCTGAATCACATGGTGATGAAACGAATGTACTCGAGGCGTGCCACAAGAATCAGTCTTGGGTCATTTGTTCTTTTGATGTGAGGCATGTGCCTAGGATATTCCGGCATGCTCAGTCCTAGCAGAACGCTGATGATATTGCTTTCCATTTGAGCACCTAGTCTATTGAAGCTGTTCAGCGTAAGCTGACCGATGAACTAAATGTTCCGAGTACACACCTTGAGAGCGTTGGACTTGTACTGAACGCTAAGAAGGCAAAGTTCATGGTACTGCAGAAGAGGTCGATGCCTGCATGCATGTCACCCCTGACCATACTATCAGCTGTGGCAACGCTACAGGTCCACTTTCCACCATGGCACGCTACCTTGGTTTGTGCATTGACGAGCATCTTACAATCGAGGATCAGACTAATGGTGTATGCATCTCTGCGTATAGGGAAACTAGAGCCTTCTGTCGTTGCCGTCAGTTAGCGGATCATGCAACTAACCATATATTTCATTTGTCTGCAATACAGTCCACCATTGAATATCGTCATAGCAACGAGGCTTTGTGCTGCATACCTCAATGTGAAAATGGGCGTTTCCTGTATGTGCGGGCTCTGTCAAACTTTCTATGGGATATGTATACGAAAAGTAGTTCTCGTGGGACAATTCCAAGCCCTTCTCAACTAATCCATCCCTACCCTTGGAAAATACCGTGGAGGTTCAAAGAGTTTGGAAGAGACTTTCATTTTTTCCAACCATAGCTTCGAGATCAGAGTAGTGCACACCCTTGAGGTGACTATTAAAATTATTCCCAAAAAAGGAAAGAGAAAGAAAAAAGTCTGGAGGTTGCGGGATTTGAACCCGCGGCCTCTCACATGCGAAGCGAGCGCTCTACCACTGAGCTAAACCCCCAATACATTATTCTACAGTGACAGAAGTACTAAGATTGGGAGGGCACATGCGATAGCTCCTGAAGAATGAAAATTCTGGCATCGGTTCCAAAATTCAGAATGCATGGATCACTACTATATAAGTACATTAACTAGTGCAGTAGATATTGGTTATAACGTGCCCTTCTGATTTTTCACATTTTATCACTATAACCGGTATATCACTACAGGCGATTTTCAACTGCGCGCGTCCCACATACACATTATACACGTGTGGGTACTCGATCGCGCTAATGTAGCGTACTGATACGTGATGGATGCTACTGCACCTTCTCCAGTCTAGAGTGAAGAACTTCTTGGCCCAAAGGCATCATCCAGGAAGCACCAGACCAGAATACCCTATGACAACACACATGCGGCTCCAAGTCGAGACATCAATGCCTCACACTCGTGTGTTGCTATCACTATAGACGATAATTTTTCTGCACAAAGAGGTGTTTTGAATGGTGATTCTGTATCCTTATAGCCGATTTATCGCTATATACGATATATTGGTTATAATGATAATTTGACTGGCCTTTTCTGGTTTTGCTTTTGATATTTTCATTTTGTATCAATATAGCCGGTTTATCACTATGTCCGATGACTTTATAACCGATATCCACTGTATAGTGAACAGCATCTTCATGAAATGTAGAACAAGAAATTGGGCACGTAGGAAAAAACAACTTATATTTGTTTATTTCCGTGGCCAGGGGCGCAAATATTTCGGCGAGCTTCTTCAATTTCAAAAGTTACTATTGTGCTCATTGAAGTAAAGCATCCTGTGCCAGTGTACTGCTCCCCAGAAACAGGTTGTCATAAAGTTGTAATTAATTATAAACCTTCGAATCCCTGCCCAGAATCCAATCTGATGCAACAAGACTTGCAGGTGGCTACACAACTTTGAACTATGATAAATACAACCAGAGCTAGTGGTTGCTTCAAACACCCGAGGCGAACTGCGGTAATTGAACAATATGATCGCGAATCGAATCGCAACAAGGAATAGCTAACTGATGGTCAAAAGCTGGAATCACTTCACCCTTGATCGTAATAAAATGCCACGTGCCTTCGCATACACTGTACAATGGGCCAATGGCACTTACCAATGAATCTGAAGAGGAAAGCGAAAACCAAAGTGCCCAGGACAAGGCCAGTATCCCAGATGAAGCGATTCGTCACCGCTTCCAGCCCGAGGAAAACAAATATGATGGTCTCGCTGGCAGCACTGCAAAGTAGACATTGCAGAAAATGCCAGAAATACAAAACGTACATTGTCCAAGTGTATGTCGGGCATACCAACATGTGAGTGTACTTGAGTGCGGGGTAGACCTGGGGCTAGGTTGCTGGGCTGCACGATTAGCGCCAAGAACACGTCTTGAACTCACACGTTACATTGTACTGCAGGGCAGGATTTACTCCAAACCGCATAGCAATTGCCGAGAATAAGTCTTGAAGTTACATGTTATATGTTACAGTGAATATAGCTCGTTTCAGGAGACGCAACTTAGAGCCACTCCTGTTCTCATATGACTGTGTACATGGCCAATATAAAATCACATTCGGATGATTCCTGAGATCAGGAGTCTGACCAAGCCATCACCCACCCTCAGGTTGCAACAGAATACAGTAAAACCTGTCTAAGACGACCGCTCAAGGGACCTTCAAAACGTGGTCTCTGTAACCAGGTGGTCTCCTCCACCAGGGTCATTTGACTGGAAAAAGCCTCCCTTCGCCATGGTTTCAGTGGTCTTTTAGGACAGGTGGTTGCCTTATGTGAGTGGTCGCATTGACAGGTTTTACTGTGCAATGGAACCTCACAGTATACCAGTGCTGTCAACCTGCTCGGTCTGATTTGCGTACTCGGACTGCAGAATTTCCGTATTTTCCAGAGTTTTTCAGTACTACCAATTTTTTTTAATCCCATGATTTATAATGTATTTTTTGCGACATTTGTAGTCTTAGCAAGGCTTGGGGGTGCTGTACCGGGTGCTCAGTAAGTCGCACATGGTCTTGGTCCCAGGAAGTAATGCGTCACACGAACTGTAGCCTAGTGTAGGACAGCCAGCAATGCACGTACATGTAGATCTACACAGCCCTTGAAAGCGTTGTCACTGTCTGAGACTGAGGTTGCAGTCAGGAACACTGTTTTTGTCGCGAATGGCACCACCATTTGCGAATCTTTCTTGTATAGTACGTTGTATTATATTGCGTCGTTTATGTCTCTCTAACTCCCATATACTTCAAAGTAGGATCTGTGCCTTTTATGGATCCACGTCCTGTATGAATCTGCGTCCTATATGGAACTGTGCCCGTTATGTCTAGGTTCCATATCGGATCTATGCACGCTTGTACGTGTGCTTGTTTTGCTCTAGGTCTAAATATAGATAAACCCCACATGCGAGCTTTCCATAACTATTCAGTGTGTACTATGAGCTTGTTTATGGTGTCTCTTGCATGCGCAATCTATTTCCATGGAAGCTAGTTTACGTTACCTTCAGCATTGACTTCCATGCACGCTGCCTTGCACACTTCAAGTGCAGAAATGTAGTTATAGCTTCTTCGCCCCTTTTGGTGTATTCTATTTGTTGCATTGCTGCGCGTACACATAACTGCCTGCGTGCACGCTTTGGTTTGGCTGTGGCACACAGCCACCTTTCATCATTCTTTCCTTTAGACCTCATGGTGGTCGCCACGTAGTTTGGTCTGTCCACAACCAACAGTCAACAGTATGATAACCGTGTTCTTGTAGCCGACATCATTATGCTCTCCCAATCTGAATCAGTTTGATATTATAACGTCTCGGCTACAGTTTTTAGCGCGATACTAGTAGTAGGTCTACTCTGCAGTTTTATGTGCTCTGCATGCAATTATGTATTATAGTCATCAGGGTTCTAGCCAAAGGGGGTAGGGGGCGCAGCGCCCCCTACTCTGTTTGCTCGCCCCCCCCCCCCCCTGTGAAAAATTGGCGCCCCCTACTCATTTTTTCCCGATTTTCGTGTTTTTCATGCATAGATGGTTCATAAAGGCTCATTTGTCTGGGGTGAAGTCAGGGATTCGCCCCATATACGTTGCATTTGGCGTGGCAAGACAATATTGGACAGTGGAAAAATGGGATATAGGGTAACTGTTTCCCATGCCCACCCCCTACTATGTTGACCTGGCTAGAACCCTGGTCATGTACATGTAGAAAAAACTGGTTGGTTCATAGTCAGCTGATCCATACTTCTCAGTTTTCCGTACAATTTCAGTCAATTTCCGTACTGCGGACAAAGGAGCGAATTTCCGTACAAACTACAAACACGGAAAAATACGGAAGGTCGGCAGCACTACAGCACTATCACATGCAGGGATAGAAAGTGCACACTGTACAGCAGCAATACCTGCTCATCTTCATGAAGTACTTGATGGTGATGCGACTGTTGTAGGAGATATTCTCGTGCAGATAGTGTCTCATCACCAGACCGCAAGCTATAGCACTGACACGGACACAGGGATAGGTAAAGAGAATGAACTCACAAGTCAGTATAGACCGTAGTACCGGCGCAGTTCTACTTGTAATATCAATAGTCCTTACGGTACATTATTCTGTACAATAAAAAGTTTAAAATAACAAGTGCAAGTCCAAAGGCGATCATGTAAAATGTAAAACGTATTGATTAAACCGTATCATACATGACACACAATGCCAATCAAAGTATGTTCAGGGTTAATTCAACTTGGACACAGCACGTCATCCTCCGCACAACAGTTGGTGAGCCTCATCGACACATAGTCATAAAGTTCGGTTGTTCCATATTACAATTGCATCCAGATGGAGTGGGCACTAGGTACGGCTCGTGTGCTACAACAAACCTTCTTACTGATGCCACACAACTCAAAGTGGTGCCATGAAAGTGACATACATGTGGCCAAGCATACATGTCGGCGTGATGAAAAATCACAGCAGAACCTTTGGAGGTGTTGGATCACTGCAGACTTACGCAAGGATTCCGGAGAAGTGGAATATCTCCGCACTGAGAAAGCTCAGATAGCCACAGAGAAACGTAATTAGAACTTCCAGAACTGGACAAGGAGCAAAGCACACGGTAGAGCAGTTTGCAAGCTGCTTACAATATACCTGTAACAGTTGATAATGGTTAGGAGATGCTGGCTGCGGCTAAGCAAAATCCGATCCCACATAGGGAATGGCACAGGGAATGGCATAGTGGTACAGGCAGAGAAGAAGCGCAGAGTTGATCTCGCAGCCACATAATGCCTGGCCCCTATATGCTGAGGGTGGGGGGTCAGACTCAGGCCTGAACTGTACATGTAGGCTGTACAGAGGCAACATGTCCACAGCACACACAGACGGGCACCACTAGCACGTGAAGAGTGGTACAGCCTCACACTCACAGCGCTTTCCGATACTAGCCAACTAGGAACAGAAGTCACCATCAACAGGTCAAACAATCCCTGAAGTGTCTCTTACTTTGGACGCTCTCCGTAAATCGTGTGATGAAGCTGGCCACTAAGCCAAACAGCAAACCAATGACAAGACCACCAATACTGACTGTGAAGAACGACACAAACGCCAGTATGATCTGCAGTAACATACACATACATACACAAATAAAAGCAGAACATGCAAACTCTAGACTCCATACATACAGAGAGCGGAGCCATCCGGTTTGATAGAGTCCTCAATGTTCACAGCAGTAGAGCTCCACTGTATATCACACGAGCCACGGAGCACACGTGTCTGGTTACACTGTAACTAATACATGTACAGTCAGACCTCGCTTATCCGGATCCCTCGTCATCCAGACGAAAAACGTTGGTTACCGATTTACAGCATATGTCATCCATACATGCAGTATGCGTGTTCGATTATCCGGTTCCCTCGCCTATCCGGATATTTTGTGGAAAACAGATGTGTGCGGTTGTGCAAGGTCTGACTGTAGTTTCATGACAACTTGACCACATGTGTGGTGCTCTGTGATTCATGTGACACTGTACAATACAATGTACGTGTACTTGTCAAGTGAATAGCTGACGTGTGTGCCAGTGAACGGTTACCTGACAGGGAACATCTTGCACTCTTGTAAAGAGAAACCCGACATGCCACATAAAACTCTTTTAATACTTTATGAGTCATAAGCCCTTGACAGAAGGTCAAATACTATTGCTCAGCCAAAATGGTCCCACACACATGAACCCGCTCACACCAATGAAGCTCCAAACGCAAGAAGAAGGAAACACAGCCTGGACACTAAGAGAAGCCAGGCATAGCTAAACTGTCATTTCACTACTGTATATAACATGCAGTTTTAGGTGTGTTAAAATTTCGGTGTCACGGGCCTGCCAGGTTTCAGGTGTAATGTGGAATTAGGTGACCAACATTCCCTTCACATACAGTGCATACTCTAGTGCCCTTTCGGTATGATCTAGATTTAGGTGCCTGGTTTCTGTACCGAAGTAACCAAAATTAAAGTTACACTGAAAATAACGTGCTATACAGTATCAATACATCAACAGAGTGTGACACAGACAGATTCAGAAATATGTATGCGAGGTGACTCACGTCGGTTGCCGTGACCGCTGGCAAAGCAACAAACGTTTCCGCCGACTGGTACAAGACAACGCTCACGGCATCGTTCAGGATCGACTCGCCAAAGACGAGGATGAACAGCGATACGTTGACGTGCACCTCATCAAAAATTGCCAAAACCTTCAGGATCAAGCAAACAGAGAGTCACACAATACACCTGACAATGAATTAACCTGCATACGCATCCGTACAGGGCACACTATGCACGCACCCATGCACAGACGATCACTTCCCAATAGCGCAGAGGAACGGCATGATACAAGAGGATCAAGTGCCGGAGAGCTCGTGCTTGAAACATGGCTACAGGCAGCACACCAGGTGTCTATGATTATTATGAGGTAGCAGTATTGAGTCGACAGAGCTTCCTTAAAAAATATCTTACAGCAACAGGGTCGACGGCAGCAGAAATGGCACCAAACAGCAGGCACTCGGGAAACTCAAACGTCGTTGTGACTTTGATAGCACCCACGGCACGTAGCGCGTATAGACCAAGAGCTGAGGCACAAGATATATACATAGATTCATGCATGCGTGCATTCGTGCACGCACGAACGCACACACACACATACACACACACACAAACGCAAAGACAGCCAGCCAGACACATAAACACACATGCAGAGGACAGAAGACAAGTTTCAAGTAGCCAAGGACAGTGAGCAAGTGACTGGACTTAAAGCACTCAGGCCTTTTTTCAACATTAATCACATTTCATTACCTGCGCTGACTGAGCCTATTGTGGAGACATCCCTATGCACCCATGCACTACTGTAGACGCCAGGTACAACTGATGGTGCTGATGGGAGAGTGCTGTTTCGCCTAATGTGCTAGTTGTCTGCAACCTAGGTAGTATGCAAGGTCAAGCATGTGTTTGCTGCCATTTTAAGACCATTTAAACGGTCATTACCAGGTGGTAGGATATCAAATTACCAACGCTACAGAGGTTCCAGAGTACGATTTTTCCTGCCAGAATCCGTTGAGGCGCTACGGATTCTTTATACGTCGTTTTCGAGCAGTAAAATGTTCCGGAATACGAAACTTATGTCTTTGCCGTCATCATGGTCATTGCCTAGGTAACGATCGCAAACACGTCATATTCCCGCCCTATGCCTTTTTATTTTGAAAATTTGTACCGAAATCAAAATTTCCCGCGAAAACTTTTCTGCACTCGATGGCGCAAAATCTTCATACGAAACATGGTTCGTATGAAAGCAAGTCCACACGAATTCTCCGTGCCGAAAAATCGTACGGAGAACGCCTCGAAAAAATCTGTAGCACCCATACGGATTTTGGCACGGAAAATCGTACCCGGAACCTCTCTATTAGTAGCAGCCACCTTTTTCAAAACTAGCACACCTTCTTCAAAACTTGCACAGTATAATTAATCAGCCTCACTTCAGAGTATGATCAGAACAAGACAGGCAGCTTACCCATAGCAAATACATTCCATATGGTTCCCTAAAGAAGCACAGATAGGCAGTAATGAAAAAAAGAGGTAGCAGATAAAGAAAATTCATTAGCTGATGACCGTCTTCAATGCTTTGCATGCACGAGTACATGTGTATTGTACTAGAAGTACAGGGTACAGTCAAGTGGTGTGCTTCACTGTCCGAAGAGTGCTCAATGCCCATGTAGGGCATGTTCTGGCTGCCCGTTTTGGATCCATCAGTTGCCTGATGATCGTAGTAATACGTGAAACTCAGAGTTGTAACAAAGCTTTCAAACTCTCTCTTGTGTAGAAGTACAGGGTATATATTTGAAAGCAAATGCATTACAATACTATACATGCCAACCGTTGCAAACCTGAGATCGGGACAATGACATACCTAGGTATGAAAATGAATACAAATCTAGCTGAGGCATGCGGCAAATGCACTTTCGGGTGCCTAGCATCACCCTGCGAAATCGGGACGGTCCCGGCCAGATCAGGATGGTAGGCAGGTATGCAATATTCAGCCAGGTTTTGCAAAATTAGGACAGGTATGCCATGGCAAAATGTATGGAGAAGCAGATCCAAAACCCAGATTTTTGAGATTTAAAGTGGGGGTTTGATCCTCAATTCGGCCCAAATCCGACTTTCAAAAGCCAGCGGGCCAGTTTCCTATGAATGGACTGTAGTCCTCTTCAAGTGCACACGTGTGCTACAACATTCAATGCTGGTCAGGCTTGCCACATCAAGTGGTAATCACCTGGCCAAACACATAACATGATACGGTGCTCAGCTGTGCATGCTTTGAATCAGGCGAGCACCCGGGCAGCTTACCACAACGGCATAGAGCAGAATAGTGGTCAGGTTGTCGAAGAATGCACGGCGCTTCATGAGGTAACCAGCATCCAGCATGATTCTGTCAGCAAAGCACAACCAGCAGCGAGTGAAAAACGGACACATAGACATGGATGTGTCATTCAGAATGCACACATACGATTTATGCCCAGAAAGATAACAGAGATAATTCCGTGCTTCTACATGTACATGTCCCTATAAATTCAATAGTCAAGCGCCCAGACCGGTTTTACCTAAATATGGCAACACCTGACTTTTATGCAAGTATTGTCATGACAAGGTGATGAGCTTTCCCAGCGTCTGCAGAGATAACCGTCGAGACAAAGAGCTTCATGCTGCACAGTTGCTCTCCGTAGTTTACCGAGCACGAGCAGCTATGTACCAAGCTACGTACCTAATACGCCGCTAACAACACCAGTATACTGCAGTGCACAAGGACCTAGCCATTGCTACTGCAAGAGTACTCAATGCTGCAAACCATCTATTATATAAATGTTCCCGACACTAGATGTTGTTGATTCAGAAAAGTGGAGCAGTTAGTGGCGTTTATTTTTCACGATTCGGACACTGTATGTCAGTCTACGTAGTACAGGTCAGGTACTAATACGTGTAATCACACAGAAATTTTGAATTCGCGTTGTCCAATTTTCGCAAAAATGAGAACATTTCTACGTCGTAAATATCAGGCGGTTCAGAGTACTACGCTGTAGTACACAAATCTGCAGAGCTGTTCGCACAATACAGTAGACAAGCGTGCCGGTTGCAATAAGACACACACCCATACACACACCCATACACACACCCATACACACACACACACACACACACACACACACACACACACACACATACACACACACACGCACACGCACGCACACACACACACACACACACACACACACACTTACGGTGGCAGGAGGTAGAGGAAAAAGAGGTTGGGGGTAAACTTGATGACTTGAGATGACGTAGCTCTATACAGCAACACCACAAAACACCACAAAATGACATTGTTGCACAAAATGACATTGTTGCACAAACCCATCACATGCATGACTCCCAATCTACTGATACTAGAGCGGCGGGAGATTTAGATAGGGACCAATACAAATGTGACTGCACCATCGGCAAGTGGAATTCGGCTCTTTAGTCGTAGGATAGATTGGCGTAGATGACTTTCACGGCATTTGGATATAACCACCCAAATGGTGGACCTACGGCCGTCCCTGCTGGATACATGTATGTGTGCGTGAGGTTAAGTTAACTCTGTCGGTGGACTGTCTCTGAATGGCAAAACTGCTATGGCGATGTTGTAGTAAGTTAGTTAATGTTTGCCACATGCACAGCCTATGATCAAGCCAAGGCAGACTGGATACGACACAAATAACATTGTAGCTAAGTGTGATCAACATCTTCACATAACTGCTGAAGTAGTGTTTTTTGTGTCAGATAATGACTACACACAGTTACACTTACTCTATGATAGCGCCCACGATAAGACCAAAGATGATCAGCATACTGTAAAGAGAGAGACGAGATATAGGCACAATAACTTACACCCGTATCAGAGGAGTCCGGATAAGAGATGTTTAAGTAGACTCATAATGTTGTATACAGTCAACCTACCCTTATAACGATAACCCCTATAACGATATTTTTCTGCCAAACCAAATCACTCCATTGACTTTTGTATACAACACCTTACCCTTATAACAATATTGCTATAACGATATTACCCCTATAACGATATAAAATGGGCTGATCACCCAGCATTTTTCTATTTTATAACAATATCTAGCAGGGAATATGTAGAGTCGACTATTCAGGTAGGGCAAGCTTCACTTGAGAAGCCGCTGGGACATGACGAAATGCAATGGGGGCACCAGTAATGCCTTGTTGTGTACACAATGTGCATAGAACATACATGTACCTTAGTTTTGATGCTATGAAGAGTGTAAAAAATGAACAAAAATCATGCATTATGACGTACATGTATGAAATGAACCAGTACCCTTATAACAATATTACCCTTATAACGATATTTCTTGGTCTGACGCAAATATCGTTATAAGGGTAGGTCGACTGTACATGCAAATAGTTGAAGAACGGCATGACAATCTTGCGACTTTAGCAGCCTGCAGACTACCAGTAATTCTAGGACATGCAACCCAGTGACTTCAGCAGGTCGCAGACTAATTCCACCCAACTTGATTTTAAACACACACACGCCTACCATGATTCAGGTGCCTTGGATGACAGCGCTTCCCATGAGTGGAACACTAGAGTTACAAGCAGGACACAGCAGCAGGCATGGACGATATCATCGACGGATACTTACCAAGTACATCAATCAAATGCACACTCGGTGAAAGTTAGGTTTCTATATATGGAGAGGAGAGGAAGAGTTCTTTACATTTTATTGGCCGAATAGTACTGTTCACAATTTGAAATAGTTTCTATAACTGTTTAAAAAAATGTAGCAAAGTATATCCAGCAAGGAGAGGAAGCTTTGCTACTTGGAGCTGAATGTCGACAGGCCCAGTCTCTTGCTCTGTTCTTAAACTTCACCTAGTGTTCCCAGTAAAAAGGCAGTGGCCTGTTGGGACTCACCTAGTAAAATAATAAAAGCTACTACCACTAGTTGCACGTTGTTGATGATCAGAAAGCAAACTGGTGCGTCAAAACAGATAGTCTGAGCATAAGGGAGAGCAAGGTGAGGAGGCAAAAGCAATAGCGTGCACTGTGCACACATGTGCAGGCAATACGGTGGTGGATTGGCAGCCACACAGGTGGCACTGGCAGTGGCAGTTCTCACACAGATGTGCTAAAAACATACATTATAAATTCCATGCTCGTGGGCTAAGGTGGCAAAAAACCCACACGGAACAAACAAACAGGAGACAGGCAGCATGACTACAAAACTATTGTCAGTGATTTTTCACGTGTAAGTCACAAGGATAGAACTTGTTTCCATGACAAATGTGAAACTGTGACTTGCAACAGACCTTTCTGTCCCTGCTGCGTGAAAAAAAGATCTGGCAGTATTGGAGCAGGGGAGCTACATGTGCCTACTTATGTATAGTAGAATCGCGCGCCGAAGAATGTCAAGCCTAAGATGCTAAGACCGCTACAGCCTTAAGTTAAGAATGATGATGTCGGTTTTCCGGCAGGTTTTGTCACACATACACGCATGTATGTAAAATAATAAGCTCCCTGGGAGATTATTTACTCTTGATGTGATCAAGTATGAACTGGTTCTAAGAACACGATGTAAGAAGTAAGAACGCAGCTGAAAATCAGAACGTCCCTGGCTAATGCCCTGGAAACGACGGTTTTCCGGCAGGTTTTGTCACACATACATGCATGTATGTAAAATAATAAGCTCCCTGGGAGATTATTTACTCTTGATGTGATCAAGTATGAACTGGTTCTAAGAACACGATGTAAGAAGTAAGAACGCAGCTGAAAATAAGAACTTCTCTGGCTAATGCCCTGGAAACAACGCTCTTGGGCGCATGACTCTCCTGTCACATGTGATCACGCACATGACAGTTCTATCCTGGTGCGAGATGCTGCTGCATTGAGCTCAGCAGTGCCATACAGTCAGGGATTTCCTACACATCCTGTGGTTGTTTCCCCCAGGTCCCCAGCCTATGAAGATTATGGGAATGAGATTCATATGGAGTGACCAACTAGTGCATATTTGTACGGAGTGACAAACTAGTGCCTGTATAGATGTGGTGCCACAGTTCTGCCACTTCATACAAAATCATATCAAATGATGACGTAATCAATAACCTCAATATCCTATATGCGATTTGTTGACAGATGTCACATGATAATTATGTGATACCAGGGCGACCTGGACTCATGTCATTTCATACTCGCTAAAAGTGAATTTTCGCCGGTGGCTACAAGATATGGCGGATCCTGATTTGATCGACTTGCACGCCCGTCAGTTGGGTTATGCGCTCCTCCTGTAAATGCATGTCTCCCCGAAAGATGCAAGCTGAGCTGGTTGCTCAGTCTGTCCCCGGGAAAATAGCTATTTCACAGATACATGCACAGTCCACAATTTGGACTAATTTTTAGAAGTTCTTTAGGAGATACGACCGCCGGAACTCCGAAGCAGTTTTTGATTGGTCCGGTAGTATTGTGGCCTTTCATACAGTTTGTGTATCGATATAGTGGATACACATGCCAGTGTGTGTATCGATATGGTGGATACACATACACATGCCCCTCCATAGTAGTAAACAAGTGTTGGTGGCCAAAAAGTTGGTCCGGCCATAACTAGGGTTGAAACCATTATACCAATTACTCGGTAATCGATCGATAATTCCTTAACAATCAACTAATCGTTACGTTATAGATTACTCGATAGGGATTCTGAGCCCAAAAGGTGCCGAAACCCCAGTTTTTGTGAAGTTTGGATGAGTTTCCGCCGTGAGTATGCAGTTGCCAGGGGTATGGTTCATGTTCTGAGGTTCAATTGCCTCCAAAACTGCCATGTTTCGGAGCTACTCTTTCACTAATGCAGATTTTTGGTATTATGAAGACTGACATAGCGTGTGGAAACAGAGTCATTTTGCATAGAATTCTGACACTATTTGCAAACGATTATAATCGAATAATCGATCGAGAAAGAGTAATCGATAGGTGAAAACCCACGATCGTTTCAGCCCTAGGACTCATAACCTGACCAACCGGACCAGTTCCGACGGGCCTGGGAGAGATGAGCCGCTTTCTGGCAGGCAGACCAGTAGGCAGTAGATTGGCCAATTCACATTCAAGTTTCCCTAAAGGAATCACAAATTCCCCACGTCGCATGCTGCAAATCGAGATTTCCTCCACGATTTTCCTGGGGAACTGGCTATTTTTTTTAAATATTAACAGCAGGGCCTAGGGACCTTTTGGAGAAAGTGCACCTTTTGCATTATAATGTATTTGCTATTTGCCAGCCACCTCACTTGACTTTGCCCTATGTAAGAACATGCACAGTCATGTAAATGATACAATATCAGCGGATTGAGTACTAAGAAGTAAATTTTAGCGAAATTATCTGTAATCTGGAAATGGGAAATCTTCTCACATAGTTTCGCTACTCCTGCCACGAAAAGAGCCATGCCGAATGTGTAGGGCGTTCTGACACGGTCAAAGTCGAAGCGAGCCACCCGGATAGAAGCATGGTGGTTGTCATCCGGGCTCGTAGAATTCTCATCGCCTCCATTTGTAATTACTTCGGCGTCCACGCTGCAGACTCCATGCTCCAAGAGGAAACATAAGGAAAGAAACACGAGAACTTTCCATCGAGATCTAGAGAGCGGCATTGGTATCGGACAGGTGTTTCACCCAACAAAATCTCGGGCAGTTACTATCAGAAGGAACATGTGCCATGTGCCACTTCAAATCCGAGTAAACCACGAAATGCTTCTCACTCTCAAGTCTCAGTTCTCGATCTCGAGTCGTGCATGCTTTGCCACCAAAGCCAGGCAAAGAGTACAAACACTGAAAAACAGTCGAAAATAAAATTAAAAGATGACGACGCCACGTGGCCAGGCTCGATTTGGAAAGGGAAAACCACATGCACGTACAAGTGTGTAGATCTCGTGCAGCTTGCCAGGCAGAAGTGAGTTCCGCGTTCGAAGGGCATCTCACTTCTGTCGGATCTGTGGAGTGTGTGGAATTCCACCGGAAGTGAACTAAAGTTTCTTGACACGTGACTCCAATCTGAGTTCTGTAGCTGAGCTGATGCCCTGCATGCACTGGCTGCAGCGATGCTCGCTCGATCGACGATCGTACTTCGGAGATCCGCACTATCACTACGTTACGTACGTAGATCTACATGCCGGTACCGGTACACCAGTACGCAAACTGCACTGCATGCATGCGACTCAGCTCGCATTTCTGACATTTTCTGCATGCACACCACGCACAGCTTCCGTGCCGAGATGCCCTTCTTTCAGCTTTTGTCTTTTTGCTACTGACTTTCATTTTTTGACAAGTCACCGCCGGCGCGCCCTTGCTTTGCATCGTGTTTTCTGCGAAGAACACGCACTTTTGTCTTTGTTGTTTTATGGGCAAGTAGCTGCAGTGTCAGTACGACAGCAGTGATCGTTGACTTTACTCTTTAGTTTAGCGCCGCTAAGGCCGCGCACCCAGTTACATACCGCACTTGCATGTATGCTGTAATCTGGTATTGCTAGCGCTGGGTAGATCTTGCAGCGATCGTATCCACACGTACACACGATCAGATCGAACACAAAAATAGTGACGGAGCGCTGAAAATGATCGATATGACCTGTTTCTCCAGGACGAAATTTATTTGTTGAAGTGTTCAGACTTCAGTTGAGCAGAGCCAACGAACTGTTGATGATGGAAGCCTGATGAAGAATTTACCCCGAATTTCTGAGTAAGATGGTATAGCAGCAAGCCGATGTCCTCGCGAAACTTACATTAGCACTGTGTGGTTGGATTAGGTAGTCAATTCTGCCCAGAGCAGGAAGGAGAAAGTCGCCATGGCGTCCGTAAAAGTGGCCGTTCGAGTGCGTCCCTTCAACCAGAGGGAAGTCGACCATAACTCTAAGCTGGTCATTGAAATGGATGGACCTCGCACAGGTAACACACACCAATCATTCACGCAGTACTATTACCCAGCGGTCAAATTTTCAGTTCACTATGCGTATCCTGAGAAAACACACCATCTCCAATTTTGCAAATTTCTGTTACTGATTGCTGCTGCTGCTACAGCAATTATTCACCCGAAAGACGGCACACCAAGAACGTTTTCATTTGACTTTTCGTACTGGTCTCATAAGGTAAGATTACCCCTCTTGTTGCTCATTTTGGCTGTGCTCTTGTTATCGTCCTCCCCTTTGGTACTTGTGCGCTGATCAAACACAATAATCAGCTGTGCAGGCTGTTTATCTGCTCACTCTCACCATGATCACTCAGCAGCAGGCAACATGTGCAGCGTTGACACGTGCACCGTTTTCAAATCCTACCGCGTTTCTCTTGTCGTCCTCTTTCTAGTCATGGCTCGTCACAGTGTGTGAGCATCCATGCGTGAGCAGGGCGGTTGAAGCGTCCTGTGTACATGTACTTGTGGATCATCCATCATGACATGATTGTACATGTGGCCCTAGAACTACAGACAGTAGAAGAGGAGCACTGATGTCACAGCCAGGCACTGGCCACAGGCACATGGGTGTGGGTGTGTGTGTGTGTGCCCTTTCTACATAGTCATTTCACAAGAAAACAAACAAAATTCAAACAGGAAGGCATGCACTTTAGCCTATGGTGCTGTCAACTTTTTTGAATTTTTGAGTTGATTTGTTCTCAATGACTTGCATGAGAGTTCACTGTATGAGTGTAGGTAGATTGCTACCACGTCGGCCATGACTATTGTACATGCGTCGCATGCATCAGGACTTGACTTATGAAAGGGATTTCTGGTTTATTGCAGACCAAGGATGATGGCACTTTCCACAACCAACAAGTTGTCTATGATGACATCGGCCATGAAATGCTGGAGCATGCATTTGAAGGGTAAGCGCATCATTTTCGCTCTGTCATCTGCACACCGACATGCATGTGCGGTGCTCATGCCATCATGCCCGAGTCCACAGAATCCACTGCTGTCTATGTACTACTCTGTGTGTGTGTGTTGCGCGTGCACTTGTGCGCTCGTGTGTGCATCTGTGTGTGTGTGTGTGTGTGTGTGTGTGTGTGTGTGTGTGTGTGTGTGTGTGTGTGTGTGTGTGTGTGTGTGTGTATGTTCAACCTTTGATCGTATAGTGGAAAGGCGAATGGTGTATGAAGTGGCGAAACCTGCGCTTGCGGTGCCACTCCACACAAAACATTTCGAACGGTGATGTAGTCGCATAGTCTCTATCTCATAATGACATTTGCCCATTCCTACAGCTATAGTCAATCCTAGGTCATTTTGAAAGTATGTACATTGAAGGGAGAATCCTGTTTAGGTGCTTGTATGTGTGCTTTCAAAGGTATAACACTTGAAAGTCGACTCTTGGCAAGTTTTCACTCTGAAGCTGCAAGTGAACAAGGGATTTCTCCACTTTCACCGTCATCAAGGCACATGATTCGAAAATGGCGCTCGGCTTGAATGTCCTCGTGTTTGCCTATGGAAAATCGAAGTTGCTGCAAGCATGACACCTGAACTGTTTGAGGCAAGATGACTGCGATCGGCGTGCTGGCATTGTGACTAAGGCACTGGACAGCAGCACTGGTGTTTTGACCCCGTTGCAACCAGTTCAGAGCTGAGTGGTAACGTCGAGCATCCAGGATGCTGAGGATTCATTTTATAATGACGTTATTATAAGTATCCAAAAAGTGCCGGAATGCCTTTTGAGTTAGGCACACTTTCTGCTTGCAATTTAGCAGGCCGCTAATAACAAAGTCAAGTACAATTGGGATGTTTGAAGCCTACATTCGTGTTTTTGTTTGATAATTTGTCTTGTAGATACAATGTATGCATATTTGCGTACGGCCAGACGGGAGCGGGAAAGTCCTACACCATGATGGGCAAAGCACACGACAAAACCGACGGTGGTATCATTCCACGTGTAAGTGTCTTACTAGTGTGCGTATACCAGTACATACTCTGCTGTGGGTTGACGTTTAGCAAGCAGCTTGCGCATGTAGATGACTTTACCGATGCTTGGACTGATGGTATGCTCTATTTTTGTTTCTGTGCCATGTCCCCCCCCCCCCCCCCCCCCCCCTTCTAACGATACGTTCCTGACTGAAAGCATCACATCTTCTGTTGTGTCTCTTGCAGCTTTGCGAGGAGCTGTTTGCGCGTGTTGATGCCAACGATGATGCTGACTTGTCTTTCCATGCTGAGGTGAGCTGACCTAGGCTTGCGGGCGCGCTCGCGCGTGTGTGGGTGTGCTTATGCATACTAATTCAAAAGCATGTCTATTCTTCTTTTGAGCTGCAGTTATTCGATTTCCTGTATACGTATAGCCACCTCTTTACTAGTCTTTAGTAGTCCAGCACTCTTGATTTCTTGCAGGATTTTCAAGAAACGAATTGCTGCCATAATGTTTGCCATGGTAATCCGCATTTTTTAATCCGTCTGCGGCAGACCTTTCCCAATGCAAGCAATCAAATGGTGTACAAACTCAAGCTTTTTATCCAGCGTCCATACATGTACAGTCCGTTGTATACTGTGATGGACTACAATGCTTGAGAGTCAATTACGTCGTAGACTACCGCAGACTAGAGATCAGATGCTCGCATTGTGTTGTCAATTTGTCATAAAGCAAGTTTGCTGTGTGTGACTAGCACCCATTTCCTCTGAAAGAAAGCTCACGAAACTATGCACAATTTGATATGCATTATTATTGCCGAAAACGTTATGTGTGGATACTAGTATTTTGTGAATCCCTCGTTAATTCAGCGGAAATCTGCCAGACAGGTGGCACCAGAGGATGAAAGGGACTGTACTTTTATTCTATTGCTCTTTTTTTTAATGTTTTGAACGCCTGTACTGCATTTTGTTCTGTTGTTTTATTTTGTGTGCGTGCTTGTAGGTCAGCTACTTTGAAATTTACTGCGAACGCGTGCGTGACCTTCTCAATCCGAAAAGCAAGGGCAACTTGAAAGTTCGGTAAGTTCTCAGCTGGTCTTCATGCACTGAACACCCGCGGTGGCTGCTGCCTGCTGGGTGTGGTGTGTCGTATTCCAGCTGGGATGTGTTGTACTGCATTGTAGGGTGGCCAGCATGATTCATAGACTTGTCCATGTTAAAACCTGAAGATGGGCCTTGCCCGAAAATTCGGATGACTTTTATAAAAAAATGTCGTTGATGGACTTCGCCTACAGTCCATTCAGAAAAAAATGAACTTCTAGCTTTTGGCCATAAATGGGTCAAACGTTGAGTTTTTTTAGAATTTTTTTTCTGCAATCCCATATGGAATCCTCTTCCAATTATGTTTCTGAAGTTTTTTTGTCCAAAAAGCAAGCCAAAGCAAGAATAGGATTTCGGCCAGGTTTTGCCCCAAAAGCACTGAATTGGGAAAAACCATCAAAATCCAGGCCGTTTGACCCCGCCTGCAACAGTGCATTCTGCGGTTCGAACCCCAGTTCAGGCACCCTTTTTGGACCCTTTTTCAAATTTCAAAGTTCGCAGCACTGCACTGTGTACGATGAAATCACGAAAAATCGCCAAATACGGGAGCTCGCCAGAGCCAGGACCCATCTTTTTATGAATGGACTGTAGAGACCATTTTAAAGAGTGTATATGTGGTTTTATTCCGTTTAGTAAATGTTGAAACCTGTGCAATATCTGCAGTGTATGTGATTAGGTATGTATAGTCGTCGCCAAAAGAATCCGGCCAATGCTATGCTAGCTGTACATGGGGCTACAGTCATGCACTGCCACTACTTACTATACCCTGCTGCCGGGCCTGCATACACTGATACAGGCAGTGCCGTGCTTGACTGCAGGCAGCATGCTCAGTGCAGGCTCTTCTCCCCTGTGCTGGTATAGTGCAGTATTCAGTAAAGCATGCATGCCACAAAGTACCGCCGGTGAACGCGTTCCATATCACTCATATCCATGGTATCGGCATTGCCCGGATTTTTTTGCGACGACTGTAGCATGTAAGTCTGTCACCCTAGTAATCAGGGCATAGATTAACGGCCGGACATCGGACATTTTCCGGCCATTTTCGGCCACTGACTGGACGTTTTCAATTTCACCGGACATAGTGTCCGGTCAAAAAAGTGAAAAGAGAGCAGCGACCTTTCGACCTTTTTATGCAGAGTTGGGCTTTCTTCGGAGCTTCGTGCCAAATGCGACTTGCATATCGTACAACTAACACGTACACCGTAGTCTCAGGCGTAGACTTCACTATTTTACTTGATCCGCCTGTGTTGCTACAGTCAATTCACACTTTCGATTGTTGGTGTCGACTTCGCACTTGAATCGATGGGTTGGACTGCTAATGAGTCATTGTGAATATACTTCAGTACTGCTAAAAAAAGAAAAGAAGAAACACCCTGAAAATGTGTTGTGGAAAATGTCCGGGCATGTCAGGACAGATTTCAAAACGGAAGGACATTTGTCCAAGCTAAATGAAATCCTTAAGCTATGCCCTGCTAGTAATATATAAGGACTTGTAGATTACTACTGGCAAAGTGTAAATAATACACCCTCAAAGGCTCCAACAGTGCTGTGCCGGCAGGAGTATGCGTCTTATGGATTCTGTCTTCAGTACGCAGTCCTTGCATGGAGTGGTGTGGAAGATGTAAGTATGTAAGGACAGTCCATGTGAATACTTCTCACCATGTGTGTTTATCTGATTCTCCAGTGAGCATCCCAAACTTGGTCCGTACGTGGAAGACCTGGCCAAGTTGGCGGTAACGTCCTTTGCCGATATTGACCGTCTCATTGATGAAGGCAACAAATCTCGGTATGGAATTATGCCGTTAGAGCTGCACATGCTAAACTGTTCAGTGCAATATTATTATGGTGGTAGTTCCTCTTATGGTTATTCCACTCATGGTTTCTCTGAAGATTTGTAGTCTCACGTCCGGTAATTTAACTGGTTGTAGTAGTCCTGTACAACGGGTAATTTTAGCGACTGTGATATTTTAGCAACTTAAGCGAAAGGAGTGTTTTCGCTAAAGTTTTGCCGCGCCAATCGAGCATTTACATGTACAGTACAGTACTACAACATCCTTCTTTTTAAAGTCTGAAGCTCGGATTGCTAAAATATTTCATCGTGAATTGGTCCAGATCCAGAAAACGCTAAAAAATTTACCCGCTAGAATTAGCCGTTCTACAGTATGTGCATGCTGTGGACTGAACACTACAGCATAGACATTAGGGCTCAAACGATTAGTCCGATTAACCGGTTGCAGACCGGTTACGAAGAATTAACGGTTAACCGATAAAGATAACGGTTGCGCAGTAACTTTTCAGTCAATTTTTCAAGTATCAGGTCGTTGCAAAGTGTGCACTTTCGCGGGCTGTCGCACGCGTACGCAATTTCTGGGCTGTCAACTCGGTCATATCTGGTCTCTTGGTGTGAGAGTATGTATGAATGAGCATGCAAGAGAATGTACACGTGTGCGTTGTACTGAATAGGGTACATTTTTTGAATGAGTATAGTCAAATATACGGTTAAAAAAGAGTCCGCAGGATTGCCGTGGCTTATAGGTTATAACCGGTTAACCGACCGTTAGCTTAGCAGTTAACCGTCAGGGGTAAAACCGTGACCGTTTGAGCCCTAATAGACATGTGTCATCTTTGGACAAGGTCAGCCCATGTCAGCCATTTCATGTGTTATCAACTTACCGTGTGTCTGTGTCTGTGTGTGTGTTGCTATATAGTACTGTTGCTGCTACCAACATGAACGAGACCAGCAGTCGCTCTCATGCTGTCTTTACTCTCGTCTTAACCCAGAAAAGGTACATTCTCTGCTTTTGCTTTCCGCGGAAACTCCAGCAACTGTGCTTCTCTGTGCCCAACTACTTCGAAGTATTTGTCTGATAGATACTGTATGTACCTTTGTGTGGTCTGTGGACATTACTTATCATCTCTGCAAACTAATCCTGTGCTGTTTCTAATTTTGCTTAATGCTTGTGTGTTTTCTTTGCGCTGTTCTTTCGTTTGGTGCTATAGATTTGATCAAATGACCAAGCTTACCTCAGAAAAGGTAATTTGTTTGTCCCAGTTATCTGGCCTGGACCTGTGAACGTATTACCTGTTCTTCATGACTAGATGCCTGAAAAGCCCGGCTTTTGCCTTCAACATGTCTGAGTTTTGATGGTCACAGGTCTGAATCTCTGTACGATGTTTCATGCATTGTATTCTTACAGGTCAGTAAGATCAGTCTGGTGGATTTAGCTGGCAGTGAGCGTGCTGACTCAACCGGTGCAACGGGTTCTCGTCTAAAGGTAGGGGTGTGCCCTAGACCTGAGTGAAGTAGGTGTTTAGTGGACAGTGGAACTCACTGGTTGGTGTAGAATCATGTTGCAGTCAAGTACCCACTTGTACCTGTATGTATGTATGGTGTAGCCCAGCAAATCCTCCTTGAATTTGCACTAGCTCAACACTGCTTTCCACGTCATAATCATTGAGTGGATATAACTTAAGGCTATTGGCCACACCTTGATCAATTGACCTCTTCTTTTTCTGCACTGCAACTGGCCCGTATTTGATCATGCCTATTGGTTATAGTCCATAATTAATCATCTAATTTGGAGCAAAGTAGAGTATACACAGTAGCCTTGTGTAACTCCCCCCCCCCCCCCCCCCCTGGATTTTAACCATATTTTTACTAGTATGTTCTATAAATGCTTGCCCCCCCCCCCCCCCCCCTCATGTGACGGATGATGTTGTTGGCAGCCTTTGTTTGTTTTCCCCACTTAAATTCTTGGATTAGACAGTTTATGCTTTACAACTTTTTTTTGTTATGTCTGCGTTTCGAAGGACTAACATTTTCTTGCAAGTTCTTTCTTGCCAAACGTGTATAATTCTGGTCAGTGGTCACCAGGATTGGTGAATCAGCCACGTCATTGTGTTTTTCTTCCTTCAATTCTCTGCTTGTTCCTCCTGCTTTGCTGTGTTGACTGATGGCGTGCAGGAAGGTGCCAATATCAACAAGTCCCTGACAACTCTGGGAAAGGTCATCCATGCTCTGGCTGAAGCCGTAAGTTGCCGAGTCAATGTACCGTCTCCTTCCCAAAATCATGCTATTTGCCGCACCAACTCATATACATGTACCTGCTTTCAATTATGTATACGTTCAAGTGACCGTCCGAGTTACTGGTATCTATGGAGACCTGGCAGCGAATGGCCGACCCAATAGATTTTGGTCTAACGTTTGCGGATCAGTCACTCAGAATGTTTAAATTCTTGCAAGCCGCTTACAGTTTGGCGAGTCTTTCTTTAGTGTGGTTTTGAAACGGTGCATGCACGCCTCCGTATGTTTCTCTGTTCTTGCACAGTCCGATCCAAAGAAGAGGAAGAAGGTTGATCTGAAGAACTTTGTTCCGTACCGAGACTCAGTTCTGACTTGGTTACTTCGTGAAAATCTTGGTAAGGCAGTGCATCATTGCAATGTTCTGAACGTTGTGAGCGTTCACTTAGAAATCATTGCCAGGGAGTTTCCCCGTTGTTCCTGATCATTAGTTGTCAGGATTTAGGCATCGTTGCCAAGGCATGATGGCTGCTCACAAATGTTATGGAGCATGCAGGCGACTGTGGCGACATCTGCTGCAAATGTATAATATTTGCCTTGTAACATCTCAGTGTAAGTTGAGGTATCAAAGAGCCCATGCTAGTATCACTCATCCATGCTTTCATATCAGTAAATGTCTTGTAATGGAGTCATTGCTTAGTTCCTGCTTCGTGGAAGTCTCAGGGCACATCCAATGCTACAGGCACTTGCTACTCCAATGTATTGCTGCATGTACCTAAGCCCGCACACGCGCACCCACACACCACACACACGCACGTGCCCGTGCATACCACGCATGCGTACATACACTTACATACACATACAGGCCTGTCTTGTTGCTGTGATGTATCCGTGACTTCGTGTTAGGCCACTACTTTCCACATATACAGTCAACCTTGCAAACAACAACCCTTGAGTGTACATGAGAATATGTCGTTATTCTCCGGGTGTCGTTATTCATGAGATTGAAAGTATGCCGTCAAACGGTCACTTGTAGTTGTAGGTCTGAAGATTGTGCCGTTATTCGCAAGTTGTTGTTATATCTGATGTCCACCGATGTTGACTGTAAGTCGTGCTGCATCTCGGTTGGTTTCTGACAGGTGGTAACTCTCGCACAGCCATGGTAGCAGCACTCAGTCCTGCGGATATCAACTATGAGGAGACGCTCGGCACGCTACGCTATGCTGATCGCGCCAAGGCCATTATGTGCAAGGCCATTGTCAACGAAGATCCCAATGCAAAGGTAAGATTGACTGCCCAAGAGCTTAGCTTAGTGGTAGAGCATCACTGGCCATAAACCAGGATCCCTGGTTCGAGTCCTGGTGGTAACAGTCAATTTTTTTCTTCAGACTTTTCCTGTTTGCAACTTTCCCTCAAAAGTAATGAATACACCTGATGTACTGTAGCAGGAGCATGGGTATTACTGTGCCAATGGCCCAGGTTTGCATGTTGGAACCCTGGTTTATTCTTGAGAAGCTGTGCTTTAAAGTGATGGTTCCTTTTTGCTTTATGCTCACACTCAAATCCGCTATTCTATCTTGCATGATTTGTTCCTCTGACAGCTGATCAGGGAGCTGAAGTCAGAGGTTTCCCAACTCCGGGACTTGATTCGCGCTGAAGGTCTTGAGGCACAGCTCAAATCCATCGGTAGGTATTAGTATCATATTTTATTTAGGTGTCACTGTGTGTGTGTGTGGGGGGGGGGGGGGGTTGACACTGGGACCCTGTGAGCAGATCTGCACCGCTTTTTGGGTTGTTCTCTCGCCCAGTCATCTTGCATTTCTACTCACGTGCCTGGATTCTGATTAGGACTATGGCAGTATCTCTTGCAACGTCATCACTCCGATATTTGAAACAATCCATTCTCATTACGTTAGGATGGACTCGGATGGAGAGCCAGGGATACATTGATAGCAAAGAAAAGGACCAAGGAACTACAAGTTACACTTTAATGTCCACTAACACTGTCTCATTCTGTTGTTGATGTGTGTTTGCCCAGGCCTCTCTGGTAAGCAAGAGCTACCCGCTGGGGCAACAGCTCGACCTCGCGCCAGTTCAGCCACGGATCAAGAGAAGCGCGAGGCTCTGGAAAAGCTGCAGGAATCTGAGAAACTGATCGCCGAGCTCAACCAGACTTGGGAAGAGAAGCTGAAGAAAACACAGCTCATGACATCGGAGCGGTAAGCTAGAGATGTTGTTTGTAAGATGTTTTTGGATTTTCCGATTGGCCGAGCTCGGCTGTGAAAACTATTCAAACCACTTATTGAAAATGAAAACAAGTGTGCAAGTGAATGATATGTAAGCCAGGTAGCCTATTTGATTCAAATGACAACATGTGTATTGCAGCTGCAGCTAGAATGGCTTTCAAGCCTCCTGGATTGGCTACCAGAGAGTTGGCTCTTTGGGTTTGCTAGGAGGTGTTATGCGTGGTGGTGGTCTTTCTCAGTGTGCACTTGAAAAGTGGTCATCGACTTCGTGAATAACGGCCTCGGGTAGAACAGCAACCCGTGAATAACGACACACTCTTCAGACCTAGGGACCATGTGACTGCGTATTTTTGAACCTCACGTATCACGCCAACTCGTGAATAACAATACTTTTCTCATGCACCATCAAGGGCCGTTATTTGCAAGGCTGACTGTATGTGTCATTTGGTATTTACGTGATTTTTTTCATTCCTGGAACAAATTGGAAGCGTTTCCAATTCTTCAATGTAGAACATGCATCTGCGCAATCCACACCAGTCCAAATGAACACTAGGAAGGTTAGAACCAAACGTTTTCGTTCCCTTCTCTTCATGGGCTCTTACAGGGAATAAAGCAAGAATGACTCGAAGACAGCAATTATCTGGGCAAAGACTTGAGGGAGATAAGCATCACGCTAAAAGTGTGAAAAGGTCAGCTGGTCAAAAACGGCATGAAGATCAAATAATAATACTAACACATCGGATGTATCAAGAGGAAAGATTGGTGTTAGTCCACGTGTGAGTGCTAAGAATAATATTTCCTCTTGATACATCCGATGTGTAAGTATTATTATTTGATCTTCATGCCGTTTTTGACCCGGTGACCTTTTCACACTTGTAGCGTGATGTATATCTCCCTCAATTCTTTGCCCATATAATTGATGTCTAAGTAATTTTTCTCATTCTATCTCTTTCAATGCGCAGTGAGACTATGCTTGCTGCAATCGGTCTGTCGGTGAACGCTCACGAGGATAGCGCTGCGGTGGGTATCGGCCAGCCGTCGACAATGCCCCACCTTGTCAACCTGAACGAGGACCCGCTGATGTCCGAATGCCTGCTTTACTACATCAAGGAGGGCGTGTGTCGTGTTGGCCGACATAACTCACCAGTCAAGCAAGATATTCAGTTGTCCGGCCTCAATATCCAGGATGAACACTGCGTCATGGAGAACACTGCAGGTATTGTACCATCTAGAAACACCTGTGATCTTACTCCGGCAGTCGCATGTCTAGATTCACTGGATTCACTGGAGCACCTGTCCTATTCTTGTCAGTATGAAGCATGTTAGTGTGGAATGGACTGGTGGCTGGTCAATCTAATCTTCGCTCTTGATTTGTCTGGGTGACTTGCTTCTATGCATAGAGTTTCCATTTCCAGTGCTTGTATTGCGTGTGTGTGTGTGTGTGTGTGTGTGTGTGTGTGTGTGTGTGTGTGTGTGTGTGTGTGTGTGTGTGTGTGTGTGAGTGAGTGTGTACATGTGCATGTGCATGTCCACACATGTCGTGTCATGATTAGGTGAGATTCAGATCACACCCAAGGACGGTACTGTGTATGTGAATGGTCAGATAATCCATGAGAGTACGGTGCTCAACACAGGTGCCCGTATAATCCTGGGTGCAAACCATGTCTTCCGGTTCAATCACCCTGAGCAAGCCCGGCTATTGAGGTAAGTATTAGGTATTCAATGTAGCAGTTCTTCCCTACTTTCAAAGTGGTGTCAGACCATTGATGTTGATACTAGAGAGGTTTCGGGGTACGGTTTTCCGTGCCGAAATCCGTATGGGCGCTACGGATTTTTTCGAGACGTGCTCCATACGATTTTTCGGCACGGAGAATCCGTGTGGACCGGCTTTCATACGAACCATGTTTCGTATGGAGATTTTGCGTCATCGGGTGCAGAAAGATTTTTTGCATACACATTTGGTACGAGAAACATCGATTCCACAGTAAGTTTTGATTTCGGTACAAATTTTCAAAATAAAAAGGCATAGCGCGAGAATGTGACGTGTTTGCGATCGTAACCTAGGCAATGACGGCAAACATAGAAGTTTCGTACTCCAGAACATTTCACTGCTCGAAAACGACGTATAAAAAATCCGTATCGCGTCTACGGATTTTGGCACGAAAAATCGTACTCCGGAACCCCTCTACTGTCTACAGGTATTTGCTGCTCTTGGCGTTCCTATTGTCGTAGTCCGGCGGGTGTCTAACGCCCTGGTCTGCTCTGCTGTCAATCCCCGGGGGCGGATCCCGTGCTGAGGGCCTGGGGGTCTCTTTAGTTGACCGGCATCACTGCCCCGTGTGCCGGTCAGTGGAAGTTTCCCTGGCGGTTTCCCCTGTTTGAGGGTGCATTTTTCCAAACCCGGTTACTTCCCCCGGCCCCTCACGGTCATTTCTCCCAAATGGTGGGACAGAAGGCACGTTCGGTCTGACAGCTAACAATTTATCAAGTTTCTCTGTCATCAGTTTCATTTCCGATTCCATATCACGTTCGGTCTGACAGCTAACAATTTATCAAGTTTCTCGGTCATCAGTTTCATTTCCGATTCCATATCAGTCAGTCTACGCTGCACAGATGGCGGACAGGGGGACACAGGAGCACTGGCCGCGGCTACTAACTGCATGTTTAGAGTTTCATGTGGTTCTTGATGGACAGCGGTCAAGTCCGTACCGTCCCATACCCTCTCTAGATGCAAAGCATATTCCAGGGCCTCATCCACATTAAACGTTGGGTTCTCCAATACCCGTAGTTGCAATTTGGAGGGAGAAAGCCCATCGATAAATAGGTCCCTCAACAACTCCCCTTGATTGTCTGGAGTCATAGTTGGGTACGCTCGCACCACTAACCGTCTTAATTCATCGCAATAACGGGCTAGTGCTTCCCCAGTCTGGCGGCGTCTGCCTTTAAATTGAGCTTTAAGCTGACGTCCATTCCCAATGGGGGCAAATCGGCGACCCACTTCTTCAAGTAGCTGCGGCCAGTCCCTCCTATGTCCTAAGGGAAGGGTGGTATAAACTCGTTGAGCCGCCCCCCTTAGTCTGACCCCTAGAAACTGTGCCTGTACTGCCTCAGTCCACCCATTTAGGTTTGCACATTCTTCAAAATACAAGACTGAAGTTATATTCTTCCCAATCACCCTCACCGTTAAAAGCCTCTGGCATGATGAGCGGCCGATTGGGTTGGGCATCCCCTCCATACCCGCCGAAGTAGGCGGCAGGAGCATCGGCATCGGAGCAGGTTGAGCCACGACACCTGGGAGAGGACCTGGAGGAGCGAGAGCAGTAACAGCAGCTGCAAGAGGAGCAGCAGCAGCAGGAGGAGCAGGAGCAGCAGCAGGATCGTTGCACCGCATGCGGCGGTGCGTACTCCCATAACGGGAATGCCGCAACCATTCCACGTGTCGTACGTTCCGTCCAAAGGTGCGCGCGCTTTTTGCAGCTCAATGAACGAAACGTGCACGCGCTTTCAGAAGTAGAAAAATTACGACTACCAACCAGCCCGGAAAGAAGATGGGCTGTGTGCAGCTTCCCATTGATCACTTGGCTTATGTGAAAGGATATCGGAGTACGACGAGTGTGTGTTGAGTGTCAGTTTGTATGAAAGTTCAATTTACATAGGATAAATGCCTCGGCTTCGTTTTTATGGAAAATAAAAACAAGTTGTAAATCCCGAGGCGAATTTTTATTTCCCATAAAAACTCAGCCTCGGCATTTATCCTATACGTACCGCCAAGAGTACATGAAAAGCAGAGTGTGCAGCTTGGGACCTTTTCTGCTATAGGTGTCTGTCATGGCGGAATTCCGTGATTACATCATATTTGGTGCAGATCTGAGGCGGGAAATGGCGTAGTGCGTACAACTGAGCTGCAGTTGTGCAGAAAGAGACCTGCTTGAATCCTGCTTGTACGCACTACATCACTAAAATGATGTAATCACGGAATTCCGCCGTGACAGCCACTCATCCGAGCTGCACACTCTGGTTTTCATGTACTCTTGGTACAAACTATTGCATAAAGAGCGGGAGCTAGCTGGGGGAAATAACAGGGTACTCTAATTTCAGAAATTTTCGGTGCTCAATATTTTCAGTATGAGGGCAACAGGCCAGGTTAAGTGAACAGAAATTTTAGGTACAGAGTAGCAGTTCCCTATTGGATTATGTGTGTTAGTGTTTGTTCGGTGTATTGAAATTTCAGGTATGAAACAGACGCACCGAAAGTACCAAAAATTAAAGTACACCGAAAATTTGTGAAATTACAGTATACCAAATATTCCCCAGGCCTTGTGTGAAGACATAAAATAAAGACGATTATGAACCCGTTTACGGGAGATAGATAAATAATTAGACACCTAAATAAGGCAGACTTGTCACGTAGAGGCCTAAAAGGCACGTGTCAATAGTATGGATATGACACTATGTACCTGCACGGCCTATGTAGTTATGTGTGGCAGCCAACGCAGAGGAGAGTAGCCTTGTAAAGGTATGAATACTGTTTGTGTGCGTGTGCACGTGTGCATCTCCGCAGGGAAGAGCGGGAAAAGGAAGAGTCATCGCAACCGGCCGATGGTGACAGCACCGCTCTAGCTGATTGGTCGTTTGCTCAACGGGAGCTGATTAAGGTTCAGGGCGCGACTGTTCAACGTGAGATGGAGGAAAAGTGAGTGCACCTACAGTCCATTTCAAAACTATAGACGCGTAGGGTTTTTGAAATATTTCAAATTTGGCTGGAACTTTTTGAGAATAGTTTTCGGAATATTGCTCAGGTCCGCTCCACAATTACTCTCATAGTTTCTAAATGATTGGATAACAGACGCCCAATTTGGAAAAATTTATGCACAAAGTGATCACAGATTTTATGTGGAAAAGAGGCTGGCATAACGGTTTTTGCCTAGGTACGCGTCTATAGTTTTGAAATGAACTGTACTCTCCTTTTTCTGAGAAAGCTGTGTAGAAATCCTGCTCTGTAATAAGTGATGCTGTCTGTTCATGTACTGACCTCTAGTGTCTTCACTCTTGCCGTTGGGTATGCTGTATGCCAATAATACCAGATGCTTGATGTTGTGATAATTGTTTTGCGTCCTTCAGGGTCTCGGTTTTAGAAGAGCAAATGAAAAGAGAGAAGGAGGAAGCGGAAGCCGTCCTGGAGCAACAGAAGGAGGTGAGACACAACATGCAGTCTGCACTCTGTAGTCAGCAGCTTATTCAGTTGTCATTCTCGCATGGTATCAGTGTACGCTAGCCGCCGGATATTGAGATTCTGACCATGTCCCGTGTCTCTGTTGTGCCTGGTGTACATGGCTGTAATCAAATCAGGAGTTTGAGCAGAAGATCAAGCAGCTTCAGGAACAAGTTCTTGCAGAGCCCTCTGGGACAGTGGTGGAGAAGCCAGCAGAGCCAGGTAAGGTGTCATGCAGTATAGCATACTGGCTTTGTTGCTATCGGCCTGGGTGAATTATTCTCGCTCTCGCTCTCTCTCTCTCTCTCTCTCTCTCTCTCTCTCTCTCTCTCTCTCTCTCTCTCTCTCTCTCTCTCTCTCTCTCTCTCTCTGTCGCTTCTCCTCTCTCTCTCTCTCTCTCTCTCTCTCTCTCTCTCTCTCTCTCTCTCTCTCTCTCTCTCTCTCTCTCTCTCTCTCTCTCTCTTTCTTTCTTTCTCTCTCTCTTTCTCTCTCACTCACTGTCCCTCTCTCAATCAAACATAGCAAATCATTTGATTCTGAAGTATCGCATGGCAGCCCAGAAACTACTGGTGCACCATTGACGAGTGTGGAGAGTGCTAACATTTTCTCTGATGCCTATTTCTTCTCTTTGTGCTGTGTGATAGAGCTGACAGAGCAGCAGCTTGTACGCGCCAGACTAGCTTTGGAGCGCTGGAAAAACCATCAGTATACTTCACTCAAGGTAACTGTTTTAGCCATGAGACGTTGTCGCCTTGATCACCTCTGTCTAGACACAGTCAAGTGTTGCTTTATATGTTTGTATCTACGTACACGTACTAGTACGTCAGCGCTTTTCACCTTTGCGTAGAAATTGACTGTTAGAAGTAGTGAACTTTTGCACCTCATGATCATAATTTGTGTTTCACATACATGTACGTACCACTTGCAAGGTGCGATGATCGCTCGATTCGATCCAGCACGAATAGCCAGGTGTGAATTTGTCAGCTAAGTATTGGCTTTACTACCGCTGCATCTTGCTTGCTTCTCTTGTTTGTCTCCAGTGCTCCTGAGCTTTTTGCTGGCGTGTTTTGTTGTCCTTGGTTTGGCTGTGGGTTTATAAATTGTGCATGTTTGTTCTTCTACATGAACTGCAGGAGGATCTCCTCACGTATGCGGTATTGTTGAAAGAGGCCAACGCTATCAGTGTAGAGCTGAAAAAGAGGGTAAGCAATTGGTTGTTGCATAGAGATCTGTGTCACACCGGAAGCAAGTGCTGTTTTGAATACTCCCACCAGACTGGGGTGTGGTTCTAGTTGGTTGTTGCTGTACATGGCGTGTGGTTATAGCTCCACTTTGTTTTGTTCCTCATCAGTAGAATGTACTGATGTGCACAATTGTCTCAGACAATTGCGACCATGCCTTACTTATTGCCTAGAGGCAATTTGCAGTGTAGACCGTACACGCACTGCATCTCATTTGTGCAACTTCGTGTTTGTTTACGTGTTGTCCTAAGCTTTATCTCCAGTAGACTGGGTAGCCAAGACTCTTTGTTCTTGTGTGCGATCAGTCCGTATGATCCTGCCCCGGACAGCGGCTCATCCGTCTTTAGATTACACAGTACTGAGTAGTGATGTGCTGTATTGTGTTTTGCATGTGCGCATGTACGTATGTGTCTCTCTGGCTGTGTGTGTGTGTGTACGTATGTGTGTGTGTGTGTGTGTGTGTTCGCTTGTGTAAATATCTGTTCTTACAGGTGTGGTTCCAGTTTACTCTACTCACATCCACACCGTACACACCGATCCCGAGCAGCGTTCACGATGGCACCGACCTCAACGAATCACAGCTCAACACCGGCATGTTTACCATGGCCTCCATCTCCAAGGATCCAGTAGACCCATCCAGCTCGGGTACCGCTACTCCACGTGCCTTGAACCAAAGCAGCGCGGCTCTAACATCACCAGCCAGTTCATCTGCCATCCTAGGCGGTGCTGCTGCTGCTGCCGCTGGCTTAGGTGTACCACCCAGTCATCGCCAGCAGCACACCGTTGTGGCCATTGAAGTGACTGATCAAACCAACCATGCTGTCCACCACTGGTCACTGCGCAAGTTCAAGTGAGTACTGGATAATGTACAGTGATGCCACGCTGTGTTCAGTGTATTGCGGGCTAGTGGTTATGGTTCCGCCGTGCACTACTCCGCCAAGTGCGTGCAAGCCAGGCCTGGAACTGCTTCATAATACTTGGTGGTAATTGGTTTACACTGCCTGGTAGCTCTGTGTCTGTGTGTATGTACCGTAAAGTCTTGTATAAAAGCCGCACTTGAATAGAAGCCGCAATTTTGGGCCCATCAAATCACACATAAGCCTGGTTTTAGTGTTGACATACATAGAAATACCTGTCTTGTATAGAAGCCTGTCTCATATAGAAGCCTGCAAAATTTCACCAAGAAAGTCATAGAAGCCGCGGCTTTTATACAACACTTTACGGTATCTATTGTCCTACAATGTTACACTAAGGCTGTATGGTAGATAGTGTGTTTGCTTGAAGTGACAAGTGCTTCCGAGTTGTAACTACAGTGCTGGCCAGGGAAATTCAACCTCATGAATAAGTAACGCCGTGTTCGAGTTCACAGACCAGTATGTGTGGTGCTAGGGCTGTGTCGCACCCGGCACTATTTTATTCATGAAGTTGGATTTCTTTTGGCCAGCACTGTAGTAAGGAGCGCATTGGTTAGTGTGTTGTATACTCTCTATTACCCCACTAATCCGTTCACAACGGTTGACGTTTTGTTTGTTCTCCGGCCTAGGCGAAGAATTTACGACATGCGAGCGCTGTATGAATCGTCTGTTGAACACCGCTTGCCAACGACTCTGTCCACAACGAATCCGTTCTCAGACCGGACAAGTTGGTTCCGACCCATTGGCAGGTACGTTCACTGTATATTGTGTAGCAACACTGTTGCTCTGCCGTCAGTTTTATTTTGCATTCCAGGCTCTGAGATGGTAATCAAATTTATCTTTGTACGAATGAGTTTCTGGATATATCTGTTTTATTTTATTTTATTGTCTGATATTGACTTGGTTGTACACTGTGTGTCTATGCAGGGGCTTTGTGTACGTCAACAACATTGTGTATGATTTTCCGCTGTCACATGAGGTCTTGCTCGTCAGTGACAAGGCAGATACCATCGGCAAAGTGCAAGTGACCATAGAACCTGTCGATGGTGAGTGGGAGCAAAGCTTTCCCAAGGCTAACACACTTGTAGAGTTATTGATACACATGTACACATGTAGAGAGTGGTAGGGAGACAGATGAGAACCTGTGCGTGTGTGTGTGTGTGTGCCAGCTAGTTCGGTTGGTGGGTACACTTATGCCTGATTGTGTTGGGTCTGTTGCCAACGGGCTCGGCTGCTTGAAGGTATAATGTTGTACCTGCCACCTTTGTTGGTTCCAGGGTTCATATATTTTCTATTTGAAGTATACATACCTGCTTACCATGGACTTCTTCTGGCTAGATTAACTCTTTTGTAATCAATGGTGCTGGTCAAGCTTATATCAGACCCACTCTGATTTAGCCACCCACACTAGTAGCAAGTATTACCTTCACTGGGGTCAGGGGTAACTGCAGTTGGATCCCGGGACGGATACCCTGATGCCGTCAATCCTTTTTCTGCACCTTGTCCTCACCCACTTACTGAGGTGTGGTGAGCCCATAAGTAGGATCATTTTCCAGTCCACCCAGAATTTTGGGGATTTCAGGGGGTGTCGGCCGTTGGGCGGTTCAATAGCCAATTGAGTCATCTTTCCAAGATTCCTTTTGAGTCTCTCTCCCTTCTCCCGGGGAGACCCACGTGACCAGTTTTGGCAGTGAGCAACAAGTACAAGTGTGTGTGTGTGTGTGTGTGTGTGTGTGTGTGTGTGTGTGTGTGTGTGTGAGAGAGAGAGAGAGAGAGAGAGAGAGAGAGAGAGAGAGAGAGAGAGAGAGAGAGAGAGAGAGAGAGAGAGAGAGAGAGAGAGAGATTGATGCACGTGTAGGGAGTGGTAGTGGATCAACGGTATTTTACTGTATACCTGTTGCTACATATTGCCTCACTGCCTTGTTTTTGTTGATCTGCTGCTGCAGCGTCGGAAGAAGTCAATGAGAAGGATCTACGCCACCTTTCTTTGGATGATGTAAGTTGAGAGCACTGGTTGTTGACAATGCTCAGAAAGTTAGAAAGCTTATGCGTGGTATGCTGCTGCCGTCTTTTGTGGTATACCAGTAGTTCACTCATGTCTCTCTTATCCAGACCTCACATTTAGGGGCACCTTGGTCGTCCGGCCAGTGTTTTTGGTCTGAGTTTCATGGAAACCACGTAGCGGACGCTATCTAAAGCAGACTACCGCAGACGTCCCGGATAAGAGACAGATATAGGTGTATTATTTCTTGTTGCAATGCACCCTGTCAGTTTGGGTTGCTAATTGCATTGGCCATGTCATGTTTTAAACTAAATATCTCCTAAGCAATAGGATAGGTGTTGTGCAGCCCCATGGCCGAGGATATAAATCTCGTCGGCTATACTGTAAAAGCAGAAATTTTCGGTGGTGTAATATTTTCGGTATTCTCCAAAATCGGCGGTTCGGTAGAGGGAAATTTTCAGTAAAACCCGTTCTCCAGGTAAGTGTGCTTGTACTACATGTATACAGTATCGGTTGTACCGAAATTTTCGGTGCGTTTTATTTTCGGTAAAACCTGTCGGCACCGAAGTTACCGAAAATAAAACACCACCGAAAATTTCTGCTCTTACAGTATGTACTTCAGTTGTAACATTGCTGATTGCATATACCATGACGTTGTTGGGTTCTGCTGCTGCTGCTGGTGGTGTCATTGACGTTGTTGTTGCGTGTGTCTTTAGGTCACGAAAACTGACGGCATTCCGGCTGCTTCATCGACACCGGTCAGGGAGATGCAATCCATGGCTGAGCCGTCAACACCAACTCAGATGGAGTCGCCTCTTGATGATGCTGATCGCCACCAGGTACTGTAGAGTAGACACAAGATAGATATGCGTGTGCCGCACTGAGCGTGAACGTATACTGTATTGTGATGCCATGTTCCCGTCAGCTATCCATCATTGGTCTTGCATGGTATTGAGCCATTGTGTGGTAGTTCCGATCTCACCTGTCATCATTCCTAGTGTTGTGTCTGTGCACCATGTGAATGCACCACGAATAGTAGTGTCTCACTTTTCCATTGTCAGCTTTTCCTGTTGTACTGGCACTCCACGTGTCAAGTTCTTTTCCATATACTGTAAAGGGAGAAACTTTCGCTAGAGATTAAATTTCGCTATTTTCGCGACCATCACACATTCGCGAACATAAATCGCCGCAAACCTCTCCGTACATTGATTGTAGACAAGATCCGACTGAAGAGATAGAATCGCAAAAGTTTCTCATCATGAACCAGCCCAATTTATGAAAACGCTAAAGTTTGTCACTTTACAGTAGGTGTACCTCACTGTAGGGTCAACTTGCAAGAGACAACGTATTTAAAAATGCTCTGTACATCATGTACTCTGTACTGTTATCTGTGTGTGTCTGTTACAGGTATGTGCTGGTGAGGAGGTGATAGACTTAGCAGGAGAGGAAGTTGGCAGCGGTGAGGAGGCGGTCGGCGAGGCTGACTCCCCGCCGTCTTCATCCAGTCCCGACGGTCGAAGGCCGATGGCGCCGCGTTTGCAGGTGAACGGCCTGCCGCCTGACGACACATCCATACACTTACCACAGCCCGGCTGGCTTTCAACGCTGGGCGCTCTCGGTGCCGATGGCCAGTCTGTGCGCTTCCGTGTGCGTGTCAACCGGCTTGTCGGTGTGTCCAAAACCGAGACGGAGCTCTTCATTCAGCTGGGGTATGTATAGTTTAGCTGTGTAATGCCTAAGTTCACTTGTCATCAGGTTCTTAATCAATCTTACTGCACCTGAGAACCCCAGAATATGTTCCGTATATCCACTAATTATCAGTGTTGTACCCTACCCACGGCTGATTTATCGGTAGGTTTGTGTGTGCAATATGTTCTTCACGAAACATTTACTGCAGTTCATGTAGAAAGCAATTTGGCCAACATTTAATAGCCCGTGATTTGTCTTGCCAGATCCATGTACTTCTTTTTCCAATATATACGTTTTTGTTGCGTTACTGCTGGAAGTACATGTAGTGCTGAGTGTGTGTGTATGTTCTTATCTCTGATGCAGTTTTGTGCAGCGTGGTGACAAGTTCAACACAACGTTCATCACCAACGATGCAGAGGAAACGTCGGACAATTTCCAGTTCTCGCAAGTGGTGAGTTGCTGAAAAGCACTGGGTTGAATGGAGACTGGAGAATCTATCAATATTCTCTACATGCAGGGTCTTTAACTGTGGAAAATTGGAAATCTTTTACTGTGTTATCTGAGAAGTCTGACAGAATGTTTGTCTATGCGTATCTCGAGCAGTGCTTGCACTTGTTCTGTGTTCTCTGCTACAGGTGGAGATTTCCCTAACACCGGAGAACTTATCGAAACTGCACCGGGTGCCTATGCTGTTTGAGCTGTATGGACGCTCTCGCGATCACCCGCTGAGTCCGAGTGCATCGTACGTTGTGCTGTTATGACCTTGTGCTAGAGATGTGTGGATATTTTCATGATGTGGTATGACTGGTCTGCATTTCCTATTGTATGCAATAATGTCCAGGTGCTGTCGTTGACTTTGTCCTCTACGGCCATTCTGATCAACCTCTACTGTGTGTGTGTCTGTCTGTCTGTGTGTCTGTGTCTGTGTGTTCCTGTCTGTGTCTGTGTGTATCTGTGTGTGTCTATGTGTGTGTGTGTGTGTGTGTGTGTGTGTGTTTCTATGTGTTTCTGTGTCTGTGTGCCTGTGTCTATGTGGTTCTGTGTCTTTGTGTGTTTGTGTCTGTCTGTCTGTTGTGTTTGGCAGGCGTCGCCAGTCCAGGACTGTATCGCGGTCAGCAAGCCGTAAGTGTGACTGTGTCCTGTGCCCCTGACGGTGCCCTTACTGTTCATGTGTTCACAGTCACACTAGTACTCATGTTCATGCACTCCAGGATTATCCACTGCTCTCAGGTATACGCTATATTCTAGCAGTAGAAACTACAAACTAATCACCGGTCTGTTCCTGTATGGACATCCAGTTGCAACTCAGTGAAGCCATTGTTGCTCTTTTCCTTAGTAGCTGTACATTGGGCTCATATTCATGCGTGCTCATGCTATTATGATAAGCATGCTGTGGAGGTCCTGGCGTGCATGCACCTGTACCCTGGAGTGCTTACTGAGACTAATGCTTGCTTCTGTTATGTCGTGTCGAGGGTAGTTCACTGTCTATGGTATTGTAGAAACCGCCCAGGAAGGCTTTTTCACATTTGTGCTTTGCTTTGATGTTGTCTTTGCAGAGGCACCCATGTCGAGCAACCCGGCTGAGTAAGTTCCTATCTGACCTATAAATCCTTTCTTACACAAATACATGCGTATATGTGTGCACATGTGGGTGGGTAGGGGCATGTGTGTGCAAGTGTGTATATGGTAGGTGGTATATAGGGCTGGGTGTATATTCAGTTTGTACTGTCGCACGGTGCCTGTTGCAGAAGTTGAAGAAGGTTCAACTTTTGCGACGTGCCACCCGCAGCATACATAAATGGATTACAGTTTCTACTCTGGGTGCACGTGCATAGTACATGCACTGCATAAGGATGTCGCGAAAACGAAAACACATAGTGAATCGTGTGTCGCGGTTGCAGCTCGTCGCAAGTCGCATGCCGCGTTGCAAAAGTGGTATTGTGAATCAGCCTTTTAAAAGCACTAAAGACCACACGTTTCTACCTCATTGAAATCTTGACAATGTCTGTACGTGTAGCGACACCGTTGTTCGAAATAGTATTTTAAGTCACATTAGGCTGGTCATGCTAATTGTTTCTCTCTCTCTCTCTCTTTCCCCTGCAGTAGTCATCTATACTCTCGCAGTGATGTTCTCATGTGGGTGGAGGTGTGCGAGCTTGCGCCGACAGGAGAGTAAGTGCAGCCACTGCTTTCTATAGTGTTAGGTGTACATGGCTTGGGATGTTGTGTTCTGTGTTATGCTGTCATCTTTGATCCTCATGGCTATTCAGTATGCAGTATGCAGTATGCAGTACTGGGTAAGCACCATCACATCTGTCATACCGTACTACGTATTGTTTTGCTTTAATATGACCTAAACCTAAAGAGTACTATCCGCCATTGCCTAATTCTGAGAGGTGTATGTGCAGACTGGACCACTCACATTTGTTCTGGAAGCAGTATCGTGCAACTCACAAACCCCTTCTTTATCTGAGGTGTGTGTCCATGCATCCATATTGTGGCTAAGAATCCACTGTAGGATTTTTGCGTCTATGCTGACATTGACAGCTATTGTTACGGCTTGTTTTCTGTTGCATGGTGTGTGTGTCTGTGTGTGGGATAATGCGTGTTTTTGCCTGTGTCTGTGTCTGTGTGCATGTATCTGTGTCTGTGTGTGCTATTGATTTCAGGTACATGCCCGCCACCGTAGATCACCATATAGACTCCCAATGCAATGGTGTATTCTGTCTGCAGCAGGTAAGCAGCTGTTCTTCCAATGCGTGTACAGGACATTTCGCATTGCTGCTTCCAACTTGTATGCAGTACCTGCTCCGCAGCTAGCTCAGCTGGGTCAGTGATCAGGGGGTGTGATAGCCTTGTTTGTAGACATCAGCCAGGTACGTGCAGACTTGGTTGAGGCTGGGTTCACTTGGCCTGTATGATCAGGCAGCTGAGGCTGTGTTTATTCGCTTCAACTAATTCCAATCAAGGTGGATGACCCGTGTGAGAAGGTAGTGGCAGGTACAGCTGTACCCGGCTCACCCCCAATCCTCCAGACACAGGCGAGTGAAATCCAACGGTACGATTTAGGAGCTGTAGCATTGCATAGCCCTGGCACTACTTACAAGATTCAGTTGGAGTCTCACGCGAACCGTAAAATTTATTAAATCAATAATGACTCGATATCCAACCAAGGCACTGAGGGACAGGCATGGTACACATTGGGCTGTGTGATGTTCTGTGAGCCAAGACACTGAGGGACAGGCATGGTACACATTGGGCTGTGTGATGTTCTGTGAGCCAAGACACTGAGAGACAGGCATGGTACACATTGGGCTGTGTGATGTTCTGTGAGCCAAGGCACTGAGAGACAGGCATGGTACACATTGGGCTGTGTGATGTTCTGTGAGCCAAGGCACTGAGAGACAGGCATGGTACACATTGGGCTGTGTGATGTTCTGTGAGCCAAGACACTGAGAGACAGGCATGGTACACATTGGGCTGTGTGATGTTCTGTGAGCCAAGACACTGAGGGACAGGCATGGTACACATTGGGCTGTGTGATGTTCTGTGAGCCAAGACACTGAGAGACAGGCATGGTACACATTGGGCTGTGTGATGTTCTGTGCGCCAAGACACTGCGAAATAGGTATGATACATGTAGAGCTGTGTGATGTTCTGTGCACGTCTTCTATACAGGGTATTCAACGTCGCCTGCGCTTCACTCTGGTGTCGGAGAGCAGCGCAGAGGTATCTTGGCGCCGTGCAAAGCAAGTCATTATTGGTGAGTTTCCCCTTGTATCTGGTGCCTCTTGGTCAGTGCAGTGTCTAAAGAACAAGCTAATAGCTGCATGTGTAGATCATTTGTTAGTGCTATTTTCTATCGACCTGGTGTGTGTGTGGGTGTGGGTGTGTGTGGGGGGGGTGTTTTATGTGTACAGGTCGTGTGCGTAGTGATTTCATGTCTACTGGTGAAGAGAGTAACTCACAGCCACTGAGCTTGAACATTCTGCCGAGTACGACCAAGTTGGACAAGGAGGATCTCAGGTCAGTCGCGTCCCTGTGTGTGTGTGTGTGTGTGTGTGTGTGTGTGTGTGTGTGTGTGTTCCGTTTGCTCCACCATCTCCGGCGTCATCAGGCTGCGTGCTCCATCTTCCTCTCTGATGCCCCTCCGGGGCCAACGTGACCCCTGTCACAGTGGCTCTACAGGACAGGACATGTGTGTGTGTGTGTATGCGTGCGTGTGTGTGTGCGTTTGCGCACGCACACGTGTGTGGGTGTTTGTGCGGGTGCACGTGTGTTCATGCGGTTGTGCGTGTGTATCTGTGTGTGTGTGTACGTGTACGTGTGTGCACATGGGAGGATTGTAATAGCATGCGGGTAAACACATGCTCTCTGGATGCAACTACAGGAGCTGGTATTTGTATGCCATGATGTTCACTTGGTCTGTTTCTCAAGGCACATTTCTTCATTAGTTGTTTGCTGCTTTTGTGTGCTTTGTATGTTTCAGGACCTACCATACGTTTGAGGCTGTGTGGGATAGCTCTCTTCATAACTCTGTACTACTCAACAGGTATGGCTGGCTGAGGACTTATCTTGCAATGCATTCAATGTATTGTGGCCATGTTGGGTAGGCATCCAAGTAAATGCTTAGCTGATTTTGTGTAGCATCAGCGGTACGGTCTCCTGTCTTTTCTCTTTCTTTGACTCTGTGTCTCTGCCACTGTGTCTTGTTTCTATGTGTGTTGTTATCACACAGGGTGACCGCCTCAGACAAATGTGTGTATCTCACTCTCACCATCTACATTGAGGTAAAGTCTAGCAACCCTGTGTGACTAGTCTTCTTCTTTGCAGACTGGCTGCTGAATTCTCTTATAGGTACTCCTACATACTCCTCCAGGTGTTGCCTAGTGTATGGCATGCAGTTGATAGTACATGTACGCATCTGCACTGTCCCCGCACAAGCCATGCAAGCCCACCAGTAGGCAATATGCAAGGGATATCAGGGGCGTCGGACACTGTACGGTCACTACGGTATTGACCGTACCACTTTTTGTTCCCGGTACCCCGTGAATCAATGAAATACACCGTCAACTGGGCTCTAAATTTCCAAAATTTTCTGCTCAGCCACCCCTCCCACACGAGTAAATGGTACTTCAGATGGCTGACCGTCTGGATATGTATGTAGTGTCAAGATGGTCGCCACAGGAGTGGCGGGTCCTTATAATTTCCATCGTGACAAATACATAAGATCTTTTTTCGTTGTGTGAGCGTGTTGCTGCTTACCATGGTATTACGTTCTGTTTGGTCTCGTGACTCTCTCTTGACACCATGTCATCTTTGCTCTGCTGTAAACCCTGAGCTGTAACCTGCATACTTGTGCTGTGCTGTGCTGTGCTGTGTGATTGTGCCTGTAGTTGGATGGTTGCAGTGAACCAGCCAGTGTTGGCAAGGACATCGCCATTCAGATGCACTCCAGAGATTCCAAGCCCGGCGGAAGGTACGCGTCCGGATTTGTCCTGTGCTGCCTGCTCATCTCTGTTGTTCTTTGCTACATGTGCTGTAGGTGGTTGTGTTGTGAGGCAATCAGGTCAATACTATCTCATACATAGCCCAGTGATCAAGTGTGTATGTAATATTGATGAGAAACTAAAATCCATACGTCATGTTCTCTGTAATGCTTGTTCTCTGTAATGCTTGTTCTCTGTAATGCTTGTTCTCTGTAATGCTTGTTCTCTGTAATGCTTGTTCTCTGTAATGCTTGTTCTCTGTAATGCTTGTTCTCTGTAATGCTTGTTCTCTGTAATGCTTGTTCTCTGTAATGCTTGTTCTCTGTAATGCTTGTTCTCTGTAATGCTTGTTCTCTGTAATGCTTGTTCTCTGCGGTCACTGTACTCACAGTAGTGGTGTCCAGCTGTGACTTTATCACCATTACGGTATGTATCAAGTTTTAACTATCAACATTTCATCTTATTTGCTGCTGCAGGAGTGTATGGCAAATGTTGACTGGCACACTGACAGGGTCTTTACCGAAGAGTCAATGGTATGTATATCCGATGTGACGTTCGTATTGTGCAGTCTCTACAGTCATGTAGTCGCTATCCGTTAGCACACATCAAAGTTTTACTCGTAGTGTTGGCTTCTGTCATAGCACGTATCTCACCTGTCTCTTTGCCCCAGGACCAGCCAGCTGAGCTTTCCGTTTCAACCGTGCCTACCTTTCTCCTGTCTGGAAATGCTGTACTTTGAAGTAGGACACACAACAAATGCTCTACCGGTAGCTGTGGTTCTTGCCTCAATAGTAGCTGTTCCTAAGTCACACTCACGCCCTAGCCTTGCCTCTCTGATCAGTAGTGAAAGCTGTTGTTTATCCCATGTCACTCGCTGCTATGAATGCCGTTATTTGAACGTAAGCCCCCTTGGTTTTTTTCTGTTGTCTCTCTTTGTACTTTCTCAGCAACCGCAGCTGTGCTGTCTATGATCTATGCTTACGCCGGTCACAAGGAAAGAAGATCGGTAAGTTCTGGTTGGGTGCCTTCTTTCTGTATTTCTGCATATGTTGGTGCCAAGTTCATTGTCCATGAACTGGATATATTGTGGTGGTGTGGCAATGGGGTCTCTCTCTATCTATCCATCTATCTATCTCTCCCTCTCGCCCCCCCCCCCCATCTTTCTCTCTCTTTTTTCCTCTCTCTCCTCTCTCTCTCTTTCTCTCTCTCTCTCTCTCTCCCCCCCCCCCTTGTATCTTTCTTGAGCTGACTGCTGACATGGAGGATGTTATGTTCATTTGGACGTAGCCATGGGCGGGGGTTGATCTAGATGTTGCTCAGTACTCTTCTCATGTACCTTGCATAGTAGAAAGTATAAACCACCCAATTTTCGCGTCACTAAATTTTCATGATTCCTCAGAACCAGCGAGTTTGCGATGGCAATTGTTCACGGAGCAAGTATGCCACGTGCATACACCAACTGCTGTAGTTTGATTTCACGATGGGTTGTATTCACGTTATGCTTTTCTCACAAAAGTAGCGAATATCAAGCAGTTTACAGTAAACTGATCGTGTCGCTGTTGTGTCTACACTGTCTTTCTTGACTTGTAGACACCAACCAATCTCGTCAGATCACGGACACATCGTCAACGTATGTGCGCGGTGAGGAGAACCTGAAGGGTTGGCGTCCTCGCGGCAGCTCACTGATCATTGATCACCAAGACCAACTAGATCGGCTGGAACGATTGCATGAGGTCAGTGATATTCCTTCACTGTGTAGTTTGGTGTCCTTGTTAGGTCTTGTTTACTGTGCTGCTTCTGCTATCTGTCACATCATGAATGATTAAGGTTGTTCCCTCTGCATTACTTGTGCTTTTGCTGTAGTTGTTCGTGTGCGTGTTGTGTGTGTTTTGTCTGCACTGCCCCAGCTTGTTACTGATTTGTGCATTGCACTGTGTGTTAGTCTGAATTTTTTTAAAGATCAATTCCCTATACTGAATGACCTCTTGTTGGTTGAGTCCTCTATTTCAAAATATTATGTTCTCTTTTACAAAAAAACAACAACTCTGTCTTGCCTGTGTTTTAATGATGTGTTTGTTTATTTCTAGGTGGTCAAATGTCGGCATTTGCTTGCTCTCTACGAGAAAGCATTGACTCTACCAAACACGCAGCTGGGTAAAGTGGAGCCTCGCCCGGATGTTGCGGAACGACTTGATTCCAAAGGTTTGTGAAGCCACTGTGCTAGTTTGTTGCCACTGTATGCTTTTTTGGTGTTGTGGTGTTTTGTCCTTGGTGTCAATATGTCTAAACTTTCCTTCTTCTTTTTTTCGTGCGTGTACTCAGGTGGTGACAGTGGTATTTCCACACCATCGCAGAGTCTGTCTGACCTCGACGAGGGGATACGACTGCAAGGCACTGGAGAGGCGCCGTCTCGTGCCTCCATGCTGACCTTCCGGGTAAGCTGTTGTCACACGCACATGCATACCCATACATGCTTCTGCTTTCAATTTTTTCCCACCAGTTGTGCTTGTACATGTATGTGGTGGGTGGGCCGAGCGAACAGATGGTAAATATTTGGTCATCCTGGGCAGGACGCTGGAATCTGACACTAAGGGTGCATTCTTTTTTCTTCTGCTGATTCTTGGAGAAATGTCTCCTGGAAGACTAAGTGTGACGGGCTGGTCTTAATTAACTGTGAATGATCTCTCCTGTGCAAAGCGCCAGCCAGCCCATGACACTCAGAGACCTAAGCACTGTACATGATCTTTTTGGTCTCACCTTGTAGCACTTGTACTTAATGGTACTCCATGTGCGTAGATCTATAAACGCCGGAATCTTAAAGTTTCAACCAACAAATGTCATAATTATAGCTTCGGAAAATCTTTTACAATTTAGAGAGGATAAAGGAACGCTTCTCCAACTTTTGCAGATTCTTGGACTTTTCCGAGAGGATTTAAAAGAGCGCATTTAATATTTTACCTCTCTCGCTGCATTTGTTGAGTTTCAGGGGCTTAGCAGGGAGACTGCTGTTAGTCATTACTCTTGTCTGTCTGTCTGTCTGTCTTCTGTTCTCTGTTCTCTGTTCTCTGTGACTACAGTATGCACAGCTGATGCAGAGGCCACTGCTGTCCCAGCGCGTTCTCGAGGTATGAGTGACACTTGCTGTTGTTTGTTGCTTTGCTCTTTATTACACTTCATTGTATGTGCACTGGCGATGGTGTTTGCTGTGGTAGTTTGTGTTGTCTCTTCCTGCAATCTCACATCTTCTTTGTCATTGGACTTCGCACTGTCCACATTTCCAAAAGTTATTTTGCCTACCGTAAAGTCTTGTATAAAAGCCGCGGCTTCTATGACTTTCTTAGTGAAATTTTGCAGGCTTCTATGCGAGACAGGCTTCTTTACAAGACAGGTATTTCTATGTATGTCAGCACTAAAACCAGGCTTCTGTGTGATTTGATGGGCCCAAAATTGCGGCTTCTATTCGAGGGCGGCTTCTATTCAAGTGCGGCTTTTATACAAGACTTTACGGTATACTGTAGTGCCATGTTTGGAAGAGGAATAGGTCATTTGCTATGGCATCCATAGCTTTGTAGAAATAGGTGATCATTGTTTTATTGCTCGGTATGCATGCATATGTGTCTGTGTGTGCACATGTGTTTGCACATGTGTGTGTGTGTGTCCATGTGTGTGTGTGTGTGTGTGTGTGTGTGTGTGCACGTGTGTGTGTGTGCGTGCTGCAGGCTGCTGATGACATCACCAATGGCCTTGTGGGACGTGTGAATCGTCAATCGTTCCGTCAGTCGCTTGTCCCGGAGATGCAGGAAATTCGACTTGGGTATGTACCTGCTCTGCTGTTGACATGCTGTTGACATGCTGTTGACATGCTGTTGACATGCTGTTGACATGCTGTTGACATGCTGTTGACGCCTTTGTATGTGGTAGTACATGTATAGTAAAAAGTACATTGTGACCGTTTGCGTACACTTCTTGACCTTTCTTACTGGGTCTCACGCGAACCATGAATTTTTCCTACGGCCAACTTTGAACTAGTGGTTTCTCTTGTGCTGTTGTTGTTTTCCTCATCGTCGTGGTTTTTTTGTTTTGTTGTTGCAGTAAATCGATTGCGATCAAGGGCTATCTGAACTTCATGCAGCAGTGTCGCAGTGGTTGGGACAAGCGTTTTGTTGTCATTCGCCGGCCATACCTGCTCATCTATGAAACTGAGAAGGATCCTGTAAGTTATGAATCAGACATTGTCTTGATGAATGAATGCTGTACAGTCTTTTCTTCTCTTGGACTTGGGCACAAGTGATAAGATTGTTGCCATCAATATTCAATGTATGGTGGTTGTGTGCAGATAATCCGTGGTGTTGTCAACTTGACCGAGGCTAAGCTGCAGTATGGAGCACAGCAACCCATGATCAATGTAAGTACTGCAGTGCACTGTCCTCCATTCTACCTACTACAGCTGCATACTTGTCCTGTGCCCCCCCCCCCCCCCCCTCCCCTTCCCTCTCTGTCTGCCTCTCTCTCTCTCTCTCTCTCTCTCTCTCTCTCTTTCTGTAAGGTGAGGGAGATCTTTTGTGCGGCAAACTCTTCCATGTGTGATTCTCAATGTGCTGTACCAGAGTACTGTATTGTAAACGGGAAGGTCTGCCAAGTCGACAATTAGTTAAAGGGGAAGTCCGGTGAAAAATTTAAATTGCACAGTCTGTAGAGTTCCGGTCGCTGAGTCGAATAGTCTTTATCCAAGGTGGCTGCGGCCTATGGTTCGTCAGATACGCCCAATCGAACATGTGCGAATTTGAGCGCGCATCACCCAGATCCAGGTGATGACGTCACAGCGTGCAGCCAGGTAGCCACACCATCTAGTTGTGTACAAAATGGCCATATTCGGAGCGCGTTCGATTGGGAAACCGTTTGTCGCAGCTTCTTCGGACCAAGACCATTCGATTCAGTGTTACAAACACTACGTACCCTGTGATTTTCAGCTCGGTATACCTCGAGGTTATACCGTATTTTAGCCTATCGAGTTGGACTTTTTCCGTCAGCATGCCTATGCCTATGGCTATGGCTCTAGCAATGCGCTGCGTGCATGCTAGCTGTAGTGCAGTCAAAAAACTCATCACACTTGGAACTACTCCGGCACTGCCGTGCTGGACTAGCTACAACAAGACTCGAGACACAAGACTCAGAAAACTAGTCAACACACGGACTTGTCGTCTACTACACTCGTGTCAGTCGTATTGTACAGTCATGTAGTCAGAGAACGTGCATTTCTCCTTGCCGGTGCCGGTGGTTGTGCTTTGAAAAAGAAAGTTTTAGTTTTCCGCTCCAGTCCCGCCTCATTATTTTATGCTACAGCGATGAGTGCACAACCGTGACAAGTGACAAAACAGCGAACAGCTTCCGGACCTAGAACTTTCAGATTCCATAGCGTTGCGAGCGAAGAGACGTGCCCGTGGTTCAAAGAGCCTGCACTGTTCTACAATTTAAGTCCGAAATATGCCAAGTTCGCACCTAAACATCACCATGTGGCAGGCTACTGCAGTCTAAGCAAATCGGTATGGAACAACATTTAGAGTACTCGCATCACTCTTCTCCATTTTGGCGACCCTGCTCTCCAGCGATCTGATAATTATATCAGCCTCGTCTGCAATAGCTGCTGTTTCTTCATCAGTCGGAAACTCAGTACTAGACAGTAGCGCTCACTCTTGACCGGCCCGCGCGGCCATTTCTTCAGCTGAATACCGAGGTTCTCAGCCCCAGACAAAACTCATGAAGATCAGCCATGGCTGCATCCTCACTCTCACAAGGAGTTAGGTCTTCGGGGTCGCTTGCACCACCTAATATCAGTCGCCAAATCATTTGAAATAGCACTGACACTATTGCTTTCACGCACTTCTTTTGACCTAGCTGCACGCTATGACGTTGCGGAGGGTGTGGCGCGGCCGCATGACGTCATGGCGCAGCCCCCGAAACTCAGTTTTTAAAACGGAAATATCTCGAGAACGCTTTGTCGGAGACACGTGGGACAAACACCATTCGACTCAGCGCCCGAAACTCTACCGACCCTGAAATTTAATTTTTTCACCAGACTTCCCCTTTAATCTTTTTGACTTGTAGTGACTCAGTCATTGCATTCTGACAGAATTTGTCACATTTCTTTGGTTGTTTTAAAAACTTTCCTGTTTTCCAGTGTTTATCCAGTCACTCTAACCATGAAGTTTCTTGTGTGTTCTACTGGCTGTTTGCAGGGTGCCCCCATGTTCTCTGTATGCACAAAGAACCGTGGTCTATTGTTGCAAGTGGTGAAGGCGAAGACGTGCGACGACTGGGTGTATGCACTTAACCCGCTGCAAGCTGGTGCTCTAAGGTAAGTTTGTGCTCGGGTGTTGCTAACTTGACCCGGTATTGGTATATGAGGCAGCTGCACACGCACTAAGTGCAACGACTGGTATGTTCTTGTATGGTACATGTATTGGGCATACGGTACTTCCATGGAGAGTTACCTGCCACACACACGAAATTAGCTTTTTATTTATTTATTTTCCGGTTCGAATTCATGATATACAAACATGCAGTGAATGAGATTTTTGGTCTTTGACCACTTTGGGTGGGTCTGATCTACATAAATTCATAAATGGATTGGCATAAAACACCGTGGTTGCAAAACAAATAGAATGGATTTTATCTAATCTTTTCACTTTTAGAATCTTTCGACCTGATGTGCTTACAGCAGAATGCCTTTCCTTGTGTAATATCATTCTGCCCTGCCTCTCCCTCCCTCCTCCTCCTCTCTCTTTTTCTCTCTTCTCTCTCTCTCTCTCTCTCTCTCTCTCTCTCTCTCTCTCTCTCTCTCTCTCTCTCTCTCTCTCTCTCTCTCTCTCTCTCTCTCTCTCTCTCTCTGCTTCTTGGTGTCTGTGATGATTGTTCACATGGCTATCGAGAGGAGGCATTTAAAGATAACCTGGCAACAGAGCAGAGAAAGTATCACTTGTTGCCATCATAGACTGATCAGTTATTTCTGGTGTATTTTTTTATCCTTCTGTTTTGTGACCGTGTGTTCAGGTCATCGCGTGCCGCCGAACCTTAGTGAAGTTGCACAGCTGTTGATGTACTGCATGTTCGGTGACTTCTGCGTTATTCAGTCACCTTCGGAAGCTGCTCTGGTAACTTGTTTAACGTATCGACTGTTCACGATGCCGATGATTGTACTTGTTTGCTCGTCTGTAGTTGCGAGCATGCACATGTGTGTGCCTTTTGTCAGTCGTGTGTGTATGCCAGTGTGTCAGGTGTGTGTACGTGTGTGTGTGTATGTGTACACTCTGTACATAGCTGCATGCTGGTGGCATGTTTAGTATTGGCGTGCACACAAGAGTTTTTCCCGCAATCGCCCACTATATCTAGATACCCTGGCCCAGTGTGTTTGCAGGGAACGGTACGGTGTCATTACTATTAGTTAGCTGTGTGGAGAATGTCCACCCTATTCGCTACAGTTCAAAAAATAGCTCTGTCCAATGTGATTCCCATCCCCCTCTCCCTTCTTGCGACAGCCACTGCTGTTTTTGAATCATACCACTTCACTACGGCTATTTGCATGTTATCTGCATTGTACCCCTCTGCTAGAATGCCTGTATGCTGCTTCACAAAACTGTTCTTGTTTACTTGTTGCATGCATTCTCTTATTCAGATTCCTTTCCACAATCACAAATTGCTGTCCCCTCTCCCAGCATGCTCGTCATCCACACTCTATATATTTCATCTATTTTTAGATCGTCATTTAAGTATTCGGAAAGGATTATCTGTCACGATGTGATTATTTATATATTTTCGAATTCCCCTGCATGTCTGGTGAATTCATTGGCCAAGATTCTTTTTTATTCGGAACAGAAGTCATTATGATGACACGTTTTCGTGAATCAGGTACCGCCGTTTTGTGACTGTGTGCAGTCTGCATTCACCCAGTTGGAGCTGAACTAGCACCTGTAGTAGGTGTTATATCTCTTCAGGTGTGACTCTATCTCACTGCAATTCAAAGAACTCTTGTAGCAACGGAAAGGATGCACGCAGCAGCGGCACACAGCAGCAAGGGGGAAATAAATCTAAAGCAAGACATAAAGGAAACCTTCAATTGATGATATCAGAAGACAAACAGGTCTTATACAACACCAACGCCACCACTCGCAAGATCAAAGCAAAGCTGGTTGACAGAATGATTTTACTCGCATGACAGCATAACCTTGGTCACGACTGAAATACACACACACACACACGCACACACACACATATCCTATAATAAAGCGAGACATTGAAATACACACATACCTTATGAGATGCAGATTAGATTATAAGGTTATGACCAGTGGATGTCCGGCTATAGCTATTAGCTAGTGATGCTTCAGGTGAAAGAAAAATCCGTTGGGAAGGCGCGACACTGGGCAATATGTATGGCAATGTGTATAGACAGTGCCGAGGAAAGGAGTGCGGGAAATGCTGCTTGCCGTGCAGTTCGCCCAGCCAGCGTCAGCAGCAGCAGCAGGAAAGAATGAAAAAAGGTCTAAAGAAGCGAGTTGAGGCAAGGCGCTGAACGAGATCTACACACGCATACTTACCGCAGGCTGTTGGTTGGCTGATGACCTTGCCCACGTTGGTCGACCCGGGTCCAGGCTGCAGCTATAGCGACGGCGATCTCATAGTCATGCAGCCAAACGAGCGAGACCAGCACATTCTTAGACGTGCTTGCTGTCACTGTCATCTCGGATGTACTTGCATGCCAGGATAATACCCAAGAACTGGGAGGAGAACAGACAGGCGAGCAGAGAGAGAGGCAGATGTGAATAACAAGCACATGTACCATGGCAGAAACAGAAAGAACAGGAAAGAGAGTACATGAATGCCGTCATGAGAAGAGATAGTCTACACTTTATACACCAGAGCACCACCTGCTGTACACGTGTCGACGACTCTGACCCGCGGGACACTCTGTGGACGTGGATCGTCCACTGCGATTCACCGCGGTGTGCTTGTAACATTATGTGCAGTGCTGGTGTACGTATGGCTGTAGTACAACGTTTATAAATAAGTCGACCGGCCGACCCTGGTGCGCAGAGAAATGGGCAACCCAAAATTAATTTTGAGCTGAACCACCGTTTCACATTGATTGTGTGAGATTTCAGTGTACATTCAGTTATGCTCGGTGAAATCCGACCTAACGTGCGTATTTGGCACCCTCTACTTGCACGGTCCTTGATGCCCTGGAAGTGGTACGCATGCGGCTGGACATACACATGCACCAGCACAGTGATGTCATCTGAACTAGTCCAGGGCGTCAGTTTGGCACTTTGGGTCGGATTTTCGTACATTAATGTTACAATGAGGCTACGCAATGCGTCATTCAAAATTTCGAATAGCTTTGAGTAGTCATCATCTTACCTGAAGAAGAGCTACCACAATGGCAATGACGAACATGCCAACACCAAGATCACCGATCTCGTCAAACAGCTTCTCACCGCATCCCTGAAGCAACAATAGCAATATGTACGATTAAGACTCAGGGAAAGGAAAAAGAAAAAAAGCTTCAGGCTCTCACAAGCAACATTCACAAGTTGAAAACTGTTTCCACGAGCACTTTCCATGCCTTCTTATCAAGTGAATACAGGCAAAAATAAGAAACTCAGAATAAACAAGCACAGTGGATTTCATACAGCAGACAGCTGATAGAAACAGCACTGTGACAGAGAAGAGTACTAGCAGCCGGAAATAACACCGCAAAGACCTACATTAAAGTCACAATAATAAAGTGTGTGTATGATATTCAACATGTTCATGTATTTGTACAAGTTGTACCAAACTACAGCATAGCACAGAGGCAATGCGCTCTGAGGAAAATAGTCGAAGCAGCAATGTGGCTTCGTTGACTTAAGTGAACGGCATTTCATGAGTTCACCTCGCTCCTGGCGTCACACATCACACCGCCAAAAAAGCTGTTTAGCCACACTTTATGGTGACCTGTAGGGTGGTGTACTTACGACGAAGTAGTAGTTCTCGGTGGTCACGGCCGCTCGTCCTCCGTTAGCTAGAGTACAGTTGCCGTTCATGATACGACAGCAGGAATCCGGGATTCGAGGCATTCCACTTCCAACAGTCGCGTTGGCGTAGTCACTGATGTTGAAGCCACCGCAGCAATTGAACTACAAACAGAGACCATTGGCAAAGCTATCGGTGAGTAGGACACTAGCACCGGCTACACTGAGCCAACATGCAGGTCTCCACTGAGCCAACATGCAGGTCTCCACTGAGCCAACATGCAGGTCTCCACTGAGCCAACATGCAGGTCTCCACTGAGCCAACATGCAGGTCTCCACTGAGCCAACATGCAGGTCTCCACTGAACAAGAGGCCATAACATTATCATAGTTTAGCTCTCAGCAGCTGCTCCTTGAGCGCCAGATGCTTGCTTAGATCTGTATTTTCCTAGCAGTAAGCAAGCAGAGTGCCCCAGCCCCGCTACCCGAACACTGATCCATGACATGAAGCACAACGTCATCATACTCAGCTCTCCTTGCCGCTTAGTCTCACATCTGTCCGTTTACCACATTTTCTGATGTGAATGTTCCAGTGAAATTTGTTGCTGCCTAGCGGGGAAGTAAGATTGTGTGTTAACTGTTAACTGTGAGTTCTTACCTCACTCTGCAGCTCATCCAGCAGTTCCGTGGTTCTAGTCGATTCTCCGCTGTAGGCAGTCTGCAGCAGGTTGGAGATGCTCTCCTTGGCACTCTCCTCACCCTACACAGATGATGCAGTGACAAATGCACACGCACACGCATCACACGCACGTGCATCACATACACACGTACGTGCATGCACACGCATGCACACACACACACACACACACACACACACACACACACACACACACACACACACACACACACAGATGCATGGAAGCCGATCTGCGACGGAATTCAACTTTTCAAGCATCACATGCATACTACATGACAGATGACACACAGCTCAAATCCTATCTTACTTCAACTGATGATACCATCATACATGTATACGAGTCTCGTAGAACAGACCCAGCAACGCAACTGCACAACACAGAAGTACACTCTTTGTACAGAACTAGTCCTTGGCCAGGCTAAGCTAGCAGAACACTGCCATTGCTGAAATTATACATACAAGTGTGACGCTCCAGCCATGATTGCATGAACACTACAACTTCATGCCCCCCCCCCCCCCCCCCACACACACACGTGTGCGCGCGCTTGGCTGGATCAAGACACATCTAGGAAAGGGAGTCACGTGCAAACTGTTCGTCTGGACTCGCAAATTTGTTTGGTGGCCACTTCCAAACCAGTATCATTGTTATCTCTAGTTACATGTGCATGCACAGCGGACCGGCCAGTGAGGGCAGCTTGAGAAAGGGCTCTATGCACCGGGGTGCACAGCGGTATACACAAATACTACATGTATGTGCCACTACAGGTGGGCTTTGCGGACACAAGTGAACCGTTCTGTAGCATGCAGTAATAGTATGTAGAGTCTGAATGCGTCTGGCTACAAACAAAAACACACTAGGGGTTACCTCATCACGGTAGACGAAGACCAGAACACAGATGGTTATCTCCAGAATGATGACGATGATGATGAAGAAGACGAACTGCAGCGCAAGGAAAGGAGTTCACACGAGAGCAGTGGCAGTCATTAGAGCATTCACGCATCACACATGCAAACACATGCACACACACACACACTTGTTACTACACTATATGCTGTGGCGTTTTTGGTAAAATAGCTTTGCAATGAAATCCGATCGTGCGAGTCAAGTCGACACTGGGCGCTGTGCAGGCCTGACGTCAGACCTATAAACACTGGGCTGCGAAATGGTGCAGGGCGCAAACTGGACTCGTGCCATCGGATACCATTCAGCATGACTGTATTGTTTCTGGACTACAGTAAAACCTGCTGTCAAGGTGACCACCTGTTCCAGAAGACCAGTGCTACCAGGACCAAGGGATGCTATTTCCAGTCAAATGACCCTGGATAAGGAGACCACCTGGTAATAGAACAGAGACCAGATTTTGAAGGTCCCTTAAGTCGTCTGAGACAGGTCTCACTGTATGTGCATTGTGTCGGTGTTCACCAAGCAACAGACAAGTAGCAACAGACAAGTAGCAACAGACAAGTAGCAACAGACAAGTAGCAACAGACAAGTAGCCATAGAGGAACTGGTACAAGCACAAGCGAACGTGTGGATCAAGCATAACTGCTTGGTTGACGCTGCCGCGGGAAAGCGTATCATAATAACAAGAAGAAGGCAGCCGATCCCTAGTCTAATGTTCATTTCACTTACCGCCTTGAGCATGCATCCGTTCTTGCAGCACAAGCCACCTACACCGAAGATACCGACCAGGACCAGGAGACAACCGACAAACAGTGCCAGTCCAACGAATCCCCAGAGGAAGCGCTGCTCAAAGAAGTCTTCCCTGGCAAACTTGCCATACTCTGCTGCAACAATACCGCCCACTACTATCAGGGCAATACCACATGCCTGCAATCAGCCAACACACACACACACACACACACACATACACACACACACATACACACACACACATACGCACACACACATACGCACACACACACACACACACATACACACACACACACACACATACGCACACACACATACACATACACATACACATACACACACACACACACACACATACACACACACACACACACACACGCACACACACACACACACACACACAAGATCCACACACACACACACACACACAAACACACACACACACACACACAAGATCCACACACGCACGCACACACACACACACACACACACACACACACACACACACACACAAGACACACACACACGACGACCACCACCACAACCACATAAACAGCACACACAATATCAGAAATAAGTTTTGCTCGCTGCTGGAATGAAGTCTCAATGTGAATTAGGCACTATTTGCCCCCCCCCCCCCCCCCCCTTTCCGTCCCCCACTGTTCCAGACAGGCTGGGATATTTAGACACAAGTAATAGTTAGTTGCAAGGACAGGTATATCTGGATCCCCGGACTTTGCCTAGGCTTTGGGCCCATTGGGATTCTTTGCAGAGTAGGTATTTACGAATTTGTGCTACAAAGTAATAGTGCAGGTACTCAGTTCCACTGTACCTTCGTGTAGGTACTCAGTTCCACTGTACCTTTGCCAGGCTTTGCCAGGCTGTGGGCAGTACTAGCACTCTGGTTTGTATGCTTGCCTAGAGGCTGTGAAGTGTGAGAAGTGAGTTATGTGCACAGCAGGCTGCTGAACAATTGAAGGCAGCAATGATTTCAATTAGTTCAAGCAGTGCTCGAGGGTGCTTGGCTGTAGGCTACAGGCTACATTCCACACCAACCTACCCTTCTCGACACACAACCTGTAGCCAGCAATTGAGGCAACCCAATGGGTTGGGTTCACCTAAAATGATGTAAACACACGGACTGCTGCACGTGCTTCTCTGCTATGCAGCATGCTCTCTGCAAGTAGATCATCGGCACATGTTTATCCCAGTACTACTAGCATAGTACATACTCAGACACAGAGTAAGTACCACGTGTGAGGCCATGTTTCAAGTCAAACTGGACATTTACGGCCATCCCTTCTGGACAGGCTGGATCCATGGAGTGCAGGGCAGGGCAGGGTTTACCTAGGCAGCTCACCCGGTATCCAGAGTGCAATGCTGATGGCACAGCCAAGGACTACTACTAGTACGTCTGACATTCCGGCGCACCAACATGCCCCCTTCAACATGCCCCTTTCAACATACCCACTTAGAAGCCTGAATTATCTACCAAGACAACAACACAGGCTGGCAGGAGTGCACACCTCCTTGCTAGCTGCACGAGGTCAGATGGGCTGCTAGACACATGGACCTCAGAGCAGGAGTCAAGCTAGGACCTTGTCCTTGATAAGTGGGCAGCATTCACAGTCACGCTTCACTGATTCTGGGCACAAGCATGCATGGTCTGAGATCATTGACATTGGTACTCATTGTGCACTGACTGATACAAGCCTTTTGAGATCATCGACACTACATTTTACCCATGCTAACTGACTAGCCAACCGTTGAAAATATGTGCCAGCCTCTGGGCAGAGTTCAACTAACACCCTAGAAGCCCTTGAACTACTAATACCCTATACCCTATACCCTATCTACATGGTATGTAGCACTAGATGATCCATAACTAGCATAAGATGTGGTTCGATAATCTGTGGTTCAGATAGTTCACACTTTTACACAGGCCACGACAAAAGAGTGCTCAAGTTTCAGTCTTTATTGACAGGCCAGTAGAGGAGAGAGTCGGGGCTACCTCGCCAAAGAGCGATTGCTATAGTCTGGTTTACATTCATAGATCTCCTCCACACTACCACTAGTGTTCTTACATTGTAGACCTAGGGTCTACCAAGTACCATATCAACGCCAACGGTATCTGATCCTTGGGTTGGACTGTTTACATATTTTGGCCCAGGGAAGCCAACCCACAGTGCGACAGGGACGAGCGCATATCTCCGCAGACCTCACTCGACTTGAACTGTGGACTTACTTGGAGTCCACTTCCAACTCGAAATAGACCATGCCTAGCACACCGAGCACCTACACTACCTACACTACTGAGTACTGAGTACTACTGTACTGGAAGACAGCGCTTCGTGCAACAAGCTCCAGGTCACGTTAGTTTTACAACATCAATACACACAAATTAATAGGTCGCATACACTCTGTCACACTCTGTGCCCGAGGAACGGCAATCAGCAGGGGACGACGGACGTCCTGGTGGAACGTTTCACACCGATCTCCAAAAACCAACAACAGGCGCCGCGACTAAGTAACACAGTTATGTACATGAGGCCACTGCTAACAATGCAAATGACGGACGGCTCGTGAAGAAGGACGATGCATACTAGTAACTATTTTTGATTCACACAAGTAAACGAGTTACGTACACCGAAATGTTTTTTAACTCCTTCTCCATCCTGGAGAAATATATTGTCACCGAAATGTAGCATTTGGCGAAGAGCGAGGATCAGACCTTGACAGAAGTAATCAAAGAGACTTCCGCAAAGCTGGCTACTCCCGTACTCGGACATACGATGCCTGATGGTTGTCGCACTCACCGGCCGTTTTCTCAGATGCAGCACACTCACAGACAGTCAGTACATGCACTGTTTACTACAATGTGTACATGAACGTTTCCGAACAGACGCTCGCTGCATGCAGGCGATACACATGCAACATTCTCAGTGCCCAAATGTAGGGGAAAGAGTGTGTGTGGAGCGCTACGGTCAGACCACGGAGTCGGAGGAGAACTGTTTACCTACAACCGGCCCTGAACTACAAATTAAAAAGCTTAGCTAGTACATGTAAGTCCAAATCAAACCTGGCATTGGCGAGAACACAAGTCACAAGAGTGGAACTCCGGCTAGGTTAAACTTAGACGTCAGGTAATACACGCAACGGAAGTAAGGGAGAACAAGCAACGACGCTACAACGCCACAAACACACTACAGGCACAATCATAATGATTATGTACTGAGTCTGTACACGACGCAACCAGACTTTTCGTAGTCAGGGACTCACCAGCAAGAAGATGTTGAAGAGGAACAGGAGCACCCTGATTATACCCTCGATACACTTGCACATGGTTGCTGATATCTGCGCTACAGTGCTATCCTGCAGCGCACATGGCAAAAACAAAACATCACACGAACCGGAACGAGTCTGCATCAAGGAACTACCGTATTTCCAGCAAAGCGGAGCAGGACAGCACCCGTGGCCGAAAGTGGCAAACGCTCACGACAGAAGCGATCAAATGTCGGCCACACTCTACAAACGCAGCTTACCTAAACAGTGAATGGTGAGCTGAGCGGCTCAACGTTCCGAATGAAGACGGGCAGGGACAACGTAACGTCGTTGCACTAGTCTAGCTAGAATATCGTCGACAAACGGAGCTGGCGAACAACAAACATACAGGTGAACACCACAAACACAAGTGACTCGTCCACTGCGGAGAGCGCCAAAGTAAAATCAAAATCAGCCACACTACTCCCGTTTAGTAGATCTACTGTACTAGTACGTACTGCTACTGTGCTAGCCTGCGCTAGAGAGTCGTGCCAAGCTACAGCCAGCCGCCCGGGCCAAGGTCAAGGAGGTGCCGAATCCAGCGTTCGAAACAGCATCGCGCTGCACTGGTGACTTCATATCAGGGGAGTGCCTTTTGCCTTGTACGGCCGGCCGATGAGTATCAGTATCACCTGGCACTTACTTATAATCATGTACATGTACATGTGTGTAGAGTGTAGTGGCAGTGCTGCCTATGCTGGTACATGTACATGCACGTGCACATACAATCATGTACGACATGGCCAAGGCCAAGCAGAAAAGAATGTAACCAGTGGTTACATCCACACTGCCACTGGTTACATCCAGATGCTAAGTACAGTATTTGAAAATTGAAATAATGCAACTACATGATTGTAATGAGTAATGTTACCAGCTTGCCCAGTAGGCCTTTCCGGATTATGTGTTTGCATATTTTTGCATTTTGGGGGTCAAAATGCATTTTGTCCATTTTGACCCACTTTGGGCCAGGGAGTCGTAAAATACCGGTATTTTACGACTCCCTGCAAGCGATAGGTACTTCACGATCACCATGAATGATCACCATGGTGCCAAATGTCACGCGACTAGCTGTCGCCATTTTGTTACCATGGCAACGGTGGCATTTTTTGTGCTTTTTGGGTAAATTTTTGCATTTTCTTTAGAAAAAAATTTGATTTATAGGGGTTTTTCAAAACACTTTCCATTTCCATTTTAGACCAAGAAAAAACGCATAATCCGGAAAAGCCTATTGCCCAGACATGTACATGTATGATGTATCATGTACATAATCCCATTGTATCTAAAAACTAGGGCTGAAACGATTATACCGAATAATCGAGTACTCGTTTGATAACTCTAACGATCGAGCAATCGTTTATATTTAGATTACCGATTACGATTATTTTGCGTTTTTTTTAATTGTTAATTTCTTATACGCGCAGTGCATGCAGCGCAGAGTATAATAATTATTTATAGGGCTCAAACGGTCACGGCTTACCCCCCCCCCCCCCCCCCCATCGGTTAACTGCTAAGCTAACGGTCGGTTTAACGGTTATAACCTATGCCACGGTAATCCTGCGGGCTTTTTTTAACCGTATATTTGGCTATACTTACTAGTATTCAAAAAAATGTACCCTATTCAGTACAACGCACACATGTATATTCTCTTGCATGCTCATTCATACATACTCTCACACGAAGAGACCAGATATGACCGAGTTGACAGCCCAGAAATTGCGTACGCGTGCGACAGCCTGCGAAAGTGCATACTTTGCAACGACCTGATACTTGAAAAATTGACTGAAAAGTTACTGCGTAACCGTTATCTTTATTGGTTAACCGTTAATTCTTCGTAACCGATTAATCGGACTAACCGTTTGAGCCCTAATAATTTATACCCCCGGTACTACACACTGCACGCGCGACTCACCTTGTAACATATTTATTAATTTTTGCTTTGTTTTTGTTTACTGCCATGGCTGGCTACCGCCCCCCTCCCTCCATATTGGCCTGTATTCTCTGGCCACGGGAAGGTGAAATAAATAAAATAAAATAAACATGCTGTCAAAATCGAAAAACAGTCCTAGTGTAGTACAACGAAGCTGGAGCATGAAGCTCGAAGGTCAAGGTCGCGTCCGGTCTACATACATACATGTAACACTTTTTTGTGCAAAATGTTGTACATATTTCCACTTTTGGCCATTCCACGTACATGTACATTGTACATATTCTAGGTGCGACCTCTTAAAGATTATAATCGAATAATCGATCGTTATGATAAAGAGTAATCGATTGGGCTAAATGGATGATCGTTTCAGCCCTACTAAAAACATAACAAGAGTATTTTTCATATCAAAGTTGTTGGCTGAAAAAAGGTGTGTGTGGCGGGGGGGGCGGCGGGGCGGGAAGGAGGGGTCGTTCGCACCCTCCGAAAACCCGTTGGCCTTGGCTACGTGCCTAGTAGATCGACACATGACTGACAAAAAAGTCTGTACTCTGTACATGGACATGTACATTTATTATGACAGTCATGTACATGTACATGTACATGTACATGTACCATCAAGAGTATACAGTGGTGGACAGAATTATTGTCCCACCTTGCATTTTGGTCATCTTTTGGAATCTAAAGACCAACCTGGACAGTTCTGTGCGCCAAACAGCCACAATGTTGAAGCATTTCAGGTATTAGCAACGAGTTTTGAAAAAGCTAACCAGTTTTCCAGAATACTCACGATTTACCGTACAAAAAGTGGGACAAAAATTATGGCCGAAATGTCACGTGTCCGACTGGCAAAACTTTTGCGACCGATTTTTGCGGGAAATTCAAAATCTTCACCACGTGGTGTTTTCCGAACCTGCTGACGGCTTCCTGACAACAATTTGAGTAATTTCACTTTGGTTTTCTGCACGATGGGGAGAGGAAAGGAGCTCAGTAAAGATAGTAGGGAATTTGTTGTTCAGATGAACAAGGAGGGTCTCTCGTCGCGATCTATAGCTGGATTGACGGGTCTCTGCGATCGTACGGTACGCAGAATTATTTCTGCGTTCAAAAAAACTGGCAAAGTCGATACGAAGCCCCATACTGGCCGCCCAAGGAAGACTACCCCCAGGTTCGATCGCAGGCTGAAGGTGCTTTCAATGTGCAATAGGTTCAAGACGGCAACAAAACTGAGAGCTGAGTTGGCGCAGGAGGGTGAGAATACCGTCTCAGTGCGAACTGTGCGTCGCAGGCTGCAAAACAGTGGATTGCGAGGGTGTGTGGCGGTGAAAAAGCCTTTTATTTCCAAGGTAAACAAAGGAAAGAGGCTGAAATTTGCTAAAGCCCACAAGAATTGGACGTGTGAGCAGTGGAGCCGAGTTCTGTGGACGGATGAGTCTAAGTTCAACCTGGTAGGGTCTGACGGGGCTGTCTACGTCAGAAGACGACCAGGAGAAGCCCTCGCAGACTCGTGCACACGCAAAACGGTGAAACATGGAGGCGGCAACATCATGATCTGGGGAGCGATGTCCGCCAAAGGCAGAGGCCGCCTGTACAAGGTCGACGGCAAATTAAACGCGCAGCAGTACTTGGGAATACTGCAGAACGTGATGCTGCCAAGCATGCAGGATGCGTTCGGCGATGCTGGTGGCATATTCATGCAGGATAATGACCCGAAGCATACAGCGCGCGCGACAAAGCAGTGGCTTCAGGAGAACAACGTCGCCGTTATGGAGTGGCCACCGCAGTCGCCGGATATGAATCCGATAGAAAACCTGTGGCACATCCTTGGCCTGAAGCGCCATGAGCTGCAGACCAGGCCCACCAGCACAAACCAGCTGTGGGATGTCTGCAAGCGTTCATGGAACCTCATCACTGCCCCAGAATGCGCGCGCATAGTCAACACCATGCCGGCGCGCATGGAGGCAGTGATCAAGGCCAAGGGTGGAGCCACGAAGTGGTAAAACTGCGTGAGTTTCATCAGATCAGGATTTTTTAGTGGTGCTAGCCTTAATTTAGTTCAATCCTAGCTGTATTTAGGTAGAGTAGGCAACCTTACCGTATATACTGGATTTCGGCCATAATTATTGTCCCACATTTTGCCCTATTATCTTCACGTATATCTGCTTTTACTAGTTGTAAACCATTATAACAAGCAAAACTTGCCTTTTCTATCAGGTATCTGATGTCTTTATCACATCAGCTAGAGTCTAGGTAGTAACAATCAACTGAATCACATTTTAGCATGGGTGGGACAATAATTCTGTCCACCACTGTACAATCATTGTACATACATGTAAGTCATGACTCATAAGTCATTGTGCTAGAATTACCCGTTCACAATCTCAGGAATCGCTCGGCCTGGTACTGCCCCATGCCAGATTGTATTTTGGCTATCACTCTGTATCTTATCTTGGAGCTGACCGATGGAACTCCCTCCCTGCCGCGATTCGCACCATATCCCTACCTGCTGCATTTCGCTCCGCTATCTTCACGTGACTAGGGCACCCTGTAAGAAGACCATAGCCTATGTCAGTGGGGACTGCCCTAGTAAAATATGAATCAGTTTTGTGCCTAGTTATTGCACTTTCTGACTGTATATAGTATCATGTTACAGTGATGGAGAGTTACTCTTAACTCGTATCCATATGTCTTTTTCTCTTCCACATTTATTTATGGCTCAACATCCGAGTTTCAAATAATAATAATAATAATTGTACATGTACATGTACATGCTCCCCTGGGAGCTTACACTTGAAATAATATTCACCAAAATGCCTCATTCTTTAAGTTAATAGCATTCTTTTATTCGCTTCCATGTAATTGGGCGTATTGCCCATTTGGTATTGCGAATTCAAATAAAAAACAACAACAACATGTACATGACATACTGATCAGATCAAATCATACACGTACATGTACATTGTACATACTTGAAGTACATTGTAGTAACTGTTGATGTGCAGATGAAGAGTTTGCATTGACACCATGTTCGGTGACATTTTTAGCCTTGGCCTAGATAGAAATTAGAATTGAAGTTGAACTGCCAAGTACGTGTACTAGTAACCAGTACTACCTGGTAACAGCTGTAGTTGACTGTGGCCTTTGTGCGGGTGTCATCAAGAGACTGAGTACATAACCCCCCCCCCTCTCTCTTGGTGTCATTGACCACACTGTCCACAGTGTCATATGTACATGTACATGTACATGTACATGTATGACTATGACAATAGTCATTGTCATAGTCATTGTAGTATTTGTACAGGCTACAGGTAGATCTACTACCGGTATGTACACCATGTACCTGTGCCATCCGCGGCATTCCGCGCGTGGTGTGACTTATATCAGAGAGGGAGTCGAGTGGGCGATAACAGTTACTGACTTTAGCGATCTGTTGGGGGCTTGGGGCGGATTGTTGTTCTCCGCAAGTGAGATGCTAGTAATGGTGGATTACTGATTCAGTATTGTGGAGTGCATTCAATGCCGTTCAGGCGTGTTGTTGGCATTTTGGCG